GAATGTGTGGTTATGAACTAAAGAAATAGCTGACTTGGCCACAATGTAGATATCACTACTTTGATAGGTTGACATTTTTGGGAGGTGGTCTGGACTTGGCCTTTTTTCACTGTTAGGTTTTTGTTAGGTATATATTATACATCATATTATATAATACAGTTGGTTTGGTTTTGGTTCCGTCTCAGGCACCGGTACAGCGATTAGATTGAACACTGCGAAATGATCTGCCGACACAATAAAACGCAGCCATAAAATCAGATTGCTTCGAAGACAATTTTTTTTTGTCATATTTTCATGATACGTGTACACGGTTTGATTTCGTGTACACGGTGTTCCCTTTGCCGTTTTTCCTTCCACGGCATTATACATATATGATTAGACACATGCCATGTATAATAATAATGCCGTTACACGAGAGCGGAATAAAAAGAGAGCAATCGGTTGTTCGCGTGATAAATTCCTCAAAATATATATATCTATAAAATATGCGTATTTTCATTCGCCCCTTCAGGGCGTGTAGTAATTTTTCAAATGTATATTCCATTCCTACACGAGTACAGTGGGTTGATGTCATTATAACAGCCGATCGTTCTGGTTGGTTTTCGCCTAGTATGTCTATAGATTAAAATACCAGTCACAATCTTTCATCCCTTCATCGATTCGGTTTTCTCCCGCTTTCTGTCCATTTCAACATCAAATATTTGAACCTAAGTATTGCTATATGACCCAAGTTTATCTGCTGTCCATTAAACTGGTCCACAATATATTCTCATAAGTCATAAGTCGTACAATAATGAATGGTGTTTTATATTTATATTAATATGTATATTGTATATATTTTAGTAATGTCAGAAAACATTAATTAGTCGTTAATAGTTTAGCAAACATAATGAAATGCGTATTTAATAAAAAAAAACTTATAATATTATAATTTTGCCGTTAAAACAGATCTAAGAGTTGTCAAAATAAAGAATTGTTGAATGCAGAAATCTATATTTTCTTTTTAACTAACGAACGTTTTAATTTTTTCCTACACTCTTTAGTTGAACATTTTAATACAGTAACTATATAAATCAACATTATATGAATAACATTATAACACTGGTACCGTTCAATTAAATACATGTTTGAATTATTTCCTTATTCAATATAGACTTTCCTTTATGTCGGTAATTTTTTTTTCTATTCTTATTCCGCACGAGGTCTATTGATGTATTGACACTAACATAAATTACATGCGACCTTTATATTTAAAATAAAATATAGGTACATCGTACAGTAGTTAATCTTTGTCTTTTATTGCCAACTATTAAATAAAACAAATTATACGCAAAATCAATGTTCATTTGTCCTGTTAAGCGTTTTAGTTGCTGTCAAAAAGGACGGACATTGCGTATTTTGCACTACTAAATCGAACTGCCATTTCCCGATCGTTCATTGGTGGTGTAATTCCAAGCACGTCTTGACTGTTTGCCATAAAGTCGTGTTTATTAGAAATTTAACTCGTTTAAAACTCCTGTGTTTTTTGTTTACTTCCCTCGTGGCCATTCACAGGTCAGGATAAGCTAAAAAAGAGGAGCCGATCGATAAGCTTTTGGTAAACGGCCAAAAATACCGCTGGCACGCGACACCTTAGCCGCCAACGTAGCATTGCGAAAAAGTTTTTTTGAAAAGTTTTTTCAACAAATAACAATAGGAAAACAGGTCTGGTGAAATTACTATAGCAGCGAATAGAAGTAAAAAAAAAAAAAACAACAAGGTTGATGGAATTTTTGTAAATCAATATGTTCCCCGGGGAAGACATAAATAATTTAGCTATTTCAGTTACCGAGAATCGAATGTAATGTATCTACCGTTAAACTAAGTATAAAATAGGAACGAGTTGTTCGATGTAAAGAAATAAATATTTTTTTGCTCGATATAATAATAAAATGAACACTATGATTCATTCCAAAACTTTACAAGTATATACATCATTGGAATTTACAAGTAACAAGTATTCTATATTTCTTATGACAAATTGGTTGTCTTAAAATATCGGAGTATCTAATGTTATATTTTAACACTATCTCTAGAACAATGTCATGATTTTATTATTTTCAAGATTACCATTTTTTCGTGTTGTCGCTTTCATCAAAATAACATTTTTATTTTAAAAAAATTTCATAATACATTTTTTTATATAACTCGTAAAACTAATACATTTTGTTGAAAAGTAGTAGATTTTTGTTTTGATTTTAGGAGTTTTATCTGACGTTCAATTTTATAGAGTTAATTTAACTAAATATGTACGCGTCAACTAGTAAAAAAATACGGGTTTAAACCAACGTCATACAATACAATTTAATTAAGTTTGTAAAACAACTAATAAAAAAAAGGTTCAAGTGCGGTGAGTTTAAAACCAAAACGCTATTGCGGGTTTTCGATATCAAATAAAACAAATAGATGTGAAAAGTGCTCTTTGTGTTTTCTGTTATCGATACCTAGCATACCGATATAATTTAATCATTAGCACAGTACTAAACAAATTATCTGGCTGGTATCTTCTGTCAATATCATTCATATAATTTTGAGTACGTTCAATTAATGAACACAACTTTTCATGAGCATAGTACTTATACAGTATTTACATTTTAATACTTCACAAAATATGAGGCTATGTATTGCAAGTTTTTAGTATATAAAATTATATTTTCATATTGTTTATTTTCAAAATGGAATTTTTTATAGCTTTTTATATTACTAAAAATGGTTGAATGATAAGCTGTAAGACAATTTATAACGCGCGACTGGATTAAGTATAGTTTCAGACTTAAAGCACAATTATAATTAAACTGTATATAATTGAATGTCTTCATTGCTAATCCCTAAGTAAACCGGTGTGGCACATTTTACTAAATGTATCGGTTTCGATTCCGTAAAGTTTACCCACTCCGCCCTAGTACAGCTCTATAGGCTATTGTTTATCATACAATATTGAATAAAGTCCTTGCAAACAGTCAACATAAAAGTTCGTTACATATTTACTCGTGTTCACACAATACGTTTTAAATAATTTTAAGCATAATTAACTTCGGGTATATAATCAATGCTGCCGTAGGGAATATAATGTACTAGTCAAATAATGTTTAAACATATTATTATAGTTATTTCGAATACTATGTAATACCTATATATCTCTTGTATTTGACAAAAAAGATTCACTGTATACTAAATCCCCATGTTTAAAACAAATTGTATTAATTAACATTTTTTTTTTTTTTAATACTTGGGTTATAATAATATGTAAAACATAATGTAGTTGATCGTAACCATTATAGGTAAATTGTATTTTTTTTCCCGGATTTCTGCAGCACTATATTAAGCTGAAAAGATGAGAATATTATCCAAACGCCCGCACTAATACAATTTTGATAATATAATAATCGAAAAAAGTGTACACTATAATTTTCGTGATATAATAAAATAAAATAAAATGTCCCAACACGAACGTTTCTTGTGCGTGCATTAAAAATGATCCCTTCCGTGCAACCACACGTCACTACTAGCGGGCGGTAGATCCATATCAAGCCATGTGTATGATAATGAGTGTAGGTACGATAATAAGGAAAAACAAAGAAGGAAAAAAAGCTTGTTATGAAAAAATTCTGTCCTCTTTATAGTCTTTGACACGTTTCGTTCAATTACTCTAGTTTTCGTTGTATACTTTTATGAATATAGTGTACTAGGTATACATAATATATACCTATACATATAACAGCTTTTAAGTTAGTCACGAATTAAAATAAATAAAAAACCATTGCCTTCTCAGCTTTGTACCAAAGCTAATACGTGTTAATCATTTCACTAATTAACCTAAACTTAGAGTTACGTATTTCATATTTCTGTACCGTTGGTCTAGAAGAGCTAATTTCTATTTTTGGCCATATAATTATTATATATTCAAAGTGAAATACTTTAGGTTACTTTATAGTTAACTTAAACTACAGTGTATTTGTATAGAAAACTTACATAAATAAGCATTTTCCAAAAGTTACTACAAAAGTTTAGGAGTAGCAGATTGGGCAGATTTTAAAATGTAGAAGACTCAAGACACAGTTTTTTAGGTTTTATATAGTCTTTAAAACAATATGTTTTATAACGACTAATTTAATAAAGCGTTATACTCTATTTAGAATAAGAAACCTGGTTTTACGTGGCCGCCTGGTGCGTTCTTATTCTGAATAGAGTATAGTTCTATACTTAACTTAAGTTAGATAACAGTTGTTAAAATTTTTTAAAAAAGATGGTGAATTTTGCTGAAGGGTAGCTCCTTTGGCAAAATGATATGTTCGAGGTAGATATTTTTACAGCTCTTTTTGGCACGAATCACATATCAGTTAGAAAAAAGGTTCACTTTTCTAGCTGGTAACCTTTTCCTAAGTTTTATTCTAATAGTTTTTCCTAATAAATAATTATCTACTAGGTATATATTAAATTAACTTTTGTTCATGTATGTCTTACAACATGCATTATTTACTTGTTCTGTTGGAAGACGCTATGCAACAATTTATCTATTAAAAATCAAATACCATCTTACTATCAAAGATTATTAAAAAAAATATATAATATCAATTACCTTTAAAATATTTAATTTGTTGTACTAAAAAACGTCACTCGTTATAAAAAAGATCTTTGTTAAATTTGTCATTATTAAAGTAATCGTTCTAAATTATGACCTTATAAAAGATGGACCGGATTCATAACCATTTTAATGTAATGTGATATTATTTGTTTATTTTATTATGATAAAAAATATATTACATTTCCTATTTTAAATAACAATTTCTATATTCATTTAATAATTTTTTTAAACGATACATCAACCTAAACTTATAAGGTGTACATCGTGAGATCTTCAATCAATCTCTGGTCAATAAATACGGCATTAATTAATTAGGCTACAAAATAAAACCGGTAAAATTATACTAAATAGTATGATTAGGTCAATGGGTACTCACGTTAAACGTCTGTCCTGTGTGATCAAGCCGAGTACATAGTATTCTCAGATATTGTAAATAGATAATGTTTTTTAAGGAACACAAATTATTAAAAAATATTTATCATCGCGGCATATGACGTTCTGAATAACAACCGGGTGGCGTTTACGGCACGTTCGTGGAAACTGCTGTGTTTTCCACAGTGGAAAATGCCACTCGAGTTAGCCCACCCCAATAACAGTTCGAGGGGGTTGGAAGGGAGCGTAGTTTAGGAGGGTTGAAAGAGATGGTCGGACGGTCATACACGACATCTACCGGAACACCCACGAGCCTTAATCTTACATAATAATGTATTTAATGCATTTATATTTTCTACAGTAATTTTGCCGTAATCTAAATTCTTATCGCGTTTTGAAATATTTGGCCAACATTTTTTTGGATAAAAAGAGCGCAACATTTAGAATATTAGAATATAATTTTTCATTTTATAATTATATAAATGTATACACTATATAGTTGCCGATATTTAAATTTATCTTTTTATTTTTATTTTTTCAAAGCTCTATCAACACTGAAAACTTCTATGGTAACGGATATATTTAATTAACTTTTTAGATTAAGAATAATTTGATGAAAAATGACTAGGTAGTCGATAACCAGTATTGACACTTACTTTTAGAGTTACTAAAGTTAAAAATTTTGGATGGGAGGAAGGTGTGTGAAGTATTATTTTTATCTACATGCATTATTCTACCACGCTCCACTTCCGGTTCTAAATTTAAACATATTATTATCTAGTACATTTTTTTATTTTTAAAAAGTATTCACGGTCGTCAGTTACGTCCTTCGCACACAATAGGTAATTAATACCTAATTAATAATTAGGTAATTACCTAATTGGTAATTATATAAATATAATTGTTCACTTCCAATTATTCTATGCATTCACCAAAATGTAAAAACTATTAATTCCAATTTGACTTCATAAACATCTTACTGCGGTTATTATTGTAATTTTATTAGTATTAATGGTTTTTGAAACAGTTTTATTATTTTAAAGAGAAATGTATAAAATAGCTAAAAAGTAGGACAATGGGATCACAGGGGGGTTAGCGATTTAGGTAAGAAGTATGCATAAAAACAATTGTAATAAATTGATTGATACAAGTGTGTAAATAATGAATACCCTCTTAACCAATCGAAGATGTATTAATACTATTCAGTATTTTGGCATATTTTATAGTAGTTAATTTGGTCATTTAGTAATGACTATTGACTACTTAAATCATAAAAAAGAGCATTTACACTTTAAATATCAAGTGTTTTCCAAACTTTTTATCAAAGCTCGTATACAATAAAATGATTGTGTATAAAATATTATGATAATGCGTTTTTTCAAGTCTTATCAAAAATATGGTCTTATATTGTTTTGTAATTTAATCAAGCATATGGAGTACAGGTGAGTAGGCTAGAATCAAAACTCACAAGTTCCAAAAATTACATTTTTTAGAAAACGCAAAAACTGGGAGAGGGGTTTTCTAAACAACAAATAAATCTATACAAAATTATTTGAATTATTTTAGGCCAAAAAACTCAAATATGCATCAAATTATAGAAGTTTAGTCGATAAACATTTTTTTTTTTATGAAGTTTGGAACAACTGAGTTTTAACTCCAAGATCATGTGAGTTTTGAAAATAATTTACATGGAACATGAGCCATTTTGACACCAAAATGTAAAAAAATCGAATAAAACAAAAAAAATGTTAATACCTACGTTCATAGAGTAAAACAAATGTTTTTTTTTCAAAACACCTTAACAACATTTAAAATTAAAATCATAACGGTTCTCTTAAAATCTAATAAATATAAGTATTTTTGAATTATTCTCGTTAAAAATATTTCAGTAACAAAACCCACATGTTCCTGTGGAATTTGTTAGTTTTGATTTTTAACCACTACATGTACACAATATCTATAATCGTTTTCAAAATATCTAATAACACATTCGGATTTACCGTCAATAATCCAGTAAGGTAGTGTTGCCAACTCATTTTTTGGATTATGTGAGTTTTGATTCTAGCCTGCTCAGGCATTGTATGGTGCGCACCAGCACGTATAAAGAATTACTCAAATATAATATATGCAACATTATACATGTTACTCCGGACCCGCGTCAGTGCGTGTGTGCTATACGTTGCTTCCACACATTATATTAAATCGGTTAATATTGGGACACCACCACATCATCAAACTGTACGTCCTTGTCTATAGTACTTTTTTCACTACTACAACTACCTAGTCATTTCAATTGTTACGGTGGTTCGCATTAGTTTGATGTTTCTCGACATAGTTCGGACGTGTGTCGTGTACGATGAAATTTGTTTAAAATATTTAATTTGCAACTATTGTGTTGGCGTTTCGTTTTGAATTTCATTAGCTAACCTGGGACATGGATAAGCAAAAAGTAAGTGCCTTCACTTTTATTCACATATAAAAAAAATCACAAGGCGGTAATTAGTATATTTTTTTATAATGGTAAACAAACGCGGGACGTTAAATAACGAAATATTGTAATTAATAAATAGTTTTATTTTATTTATTTTTATTAGCCGGGCCCTCAATTAGAAACGTCCATTAAAAAAAAAACGCATGGCGACGATTTCGATTGTAATAGAGAAATTAAATTGAACATTTTATAATAAAAAAATATTTTTAGACAACTTCTTCTAAGTCTGCTAATACTATTAAAGCTTTATTAATATTACAATTTCAAACGTTATTCATACAAACTCATAGCATGTTATACCATTATTGGAAACTACCAAAGCAGTAAGGCTATTCAGCAATCTCAATCAAAACGTTATCTCTAAAGTTCAGTAATGTACAACGTTCATTCATAAAATTTATACTTGTACCTAAACATATTTGTAAACATTAATACAAATAATTAGTATAATATATATTCATAAAATGTAAGAGAAAGAAACATATTATGTTTTTATTAACACATGTTGAGTAATAAAACTAACTTTGAAGTACAGATATGTACATACATAGCCATGTTAAAACAATGTGTACTCACACGGAATATAAAATGTTAAGTAATATAATATTAATTGTACATTTTACGTGAGCTCAATGGAAATCTCTCAAATAGAAAATGAATAAATAAAAGTTTTTTTTGTAATTCCTGTTGGGCTTCTTGCCAACTTAATTATAATTTATAATTTACTTAAAATAGAATATTTTAAAGTATTACAGCGTTAACTTTTAAAATCATACTAAAATAGATTTTAAAAATGCTTCTCATGTCTCTACCATTAATAATGTTGTCTGACCATTGGGGATGGGATTTTCAAAATCCAGATTTACAAAAAAACGTTAGATTCAACTAATGTTAAAAAAGTAGTATTAATAAATTGTCTAAACATAAATACTGTACTAAAAAAAATTGTAAAGTATTCATAAAACATATTATATGATTAGGAAAACGTATTTTTTAAGAATTCGTATTTATGTAGTCCCTATATGTACGGATTGTTGTGATATTACTAATTTCTTTAAAGGACAATAAGAAACAGAGAACTATCATTGAGTTTCAATTACTATTTGAAAAGTAAAAGTAAGATAATGATAATATTTTATAACGTTGTAGCATTAACGAATCAATAGTAAAAGACTACTATTGTTTTCCAAGTGTCGAAGATTTTATTTCTTAGTTTTATCGCAGCATGAACTCATTGAAAGTAAAAAGAAATGTAACTATAGCGTTTCGAAAGATACTATACTAGCTATCATAACAAAAGACAGCATAGTGGGAACGGAGCATAGTGAGTTACTATCACAGATCATTGTTTCACTATCAATGATCACAGATCATTCGCAAAACCCCCCTTTGATTCCAACCTGTAGACGGTAAACGTATTAAATATTGATACAACTTATAATAAAGACAGTTAATGTATAACAGGATATCTTAAAATATATTTATGTAATATAACATTTTAGTATGGAAGAAAAAGATAAGTATTATGTCTTACATACACATTGTGTATTTGTTAAAAAAATGTTTTACGCTTAACGAAGTAAGGATAAGTTAAAATGCGTATTGAACTAGACTCTAGAGTATTTAAACGCTTAGGCGAGGGAAGTAAAGTAGGGGAATTTTAAATGAGTCGACCATGCTGATAAAAATAGTATTACTTAAAACCTCTCCCCTGTCTATTTTTTTTTATATAATCATTAGTTTTAGAATAATTAGTCAAAATACGTTTTCAAGTAGTCCTTCTTTTAGTAGTACAACATTCGTATGCCTTTAAATAAAAAATTCCGCAGAGAGCGTTTGAATCATTTAAAAATGTAATATAAATTAAGAATTTAAAAAAATTGAAAAATGTTATGAATAATACAATGTCGTAATCATGTTATTGTACGATTGCTAGAAAATTGTACACAACTCAGAGAATCTAAGGTGGCTTTGTTAATTATCAACAGTAAAACAAAATTAAAAAATATTCAAAAGGAAAGCTCTTATGTCCATTTTACTTTATAAAAGTCACTATTTTTATCTTATTTTTAGAAGTTAAATTCTTAGTCCCAACTAAATAAATCGGAAAAATTACTCATTTCTGATAGAAAAAAATTGTAAATCTTTTGACATTATTAAATAAGGATAAAAAATTAACCCTTTGCTCTTAACTCTACATTAAAACTTAAATATGCGTCAATATATCTGTTATGTTTGATTTTTTTATATCTTCGTAAAAATAAATATAAAAATTTAATCTAAAATAAGTCGGATCCATAATCTTATTAAGTATACCATATTTAAATATCTAAATAACATTTCATAAATTGTATAAATATACACAATACATTAACAAATACAAATATTTTTATGTTAAACTGAATAAACATTTAGAGTTTTTAATTATTTTAAAGATACAATGGCTGATAAAGGTCTGCAAGTAAACCGAAATCCTATTTCGGACAGTATTCTAAGTTTATCACTTCTGAGTACTTCTAATGCATCAAAAACATTGCCATTTTGCTTTGTCAAATCACAGTATATGTTTCTCAACGAATCTACTAAATCGTCCAAATCAGTTTTTTTTTTAACCTACAATACCACGCATACGACGCTATTATAATAATTAACTAATATTCTTACGTATATAATATTATTAATTACCATGTAGTTTCTGAGACATAACACTAATGTCTTAAACAACGTTTCCATTGGTAATATAATTAAATTTTTCGGACACTCGTCGTGCTGGCTAGGTATAACATTTGTATCCATGATTACGCTAACAGCCTTGGCTAACCCGATGACAGAGCATTCGTCTCTACAAAAAGCTAGCAACATAGCTATATAGTCCAATTTACCATCAATAGAGAATGTTAAAAATATTAATTCTTTGATGTTCAAGTATCGAAGAAATATTGACGGACTTGCGGGCAGAGTATTTTCAAACCATAATGGGACTGAATCAAAGGCGTTCTTACTTATCATACCTTCATGATACCTATGCACGTCTTCGTTAATATAATATAATTAAAATTTCTGACAACCAAACTACGAAATAATTAATTTCACAGCTTAACAACCATAAAGGTTTGATAATGTGTTAACACTTTTTTAACACAGCGTTGTGAAATGGTATATTAGTTTTTTAACCATTTAACTTACCAGTGGCGTCTCCGGTCCCCTCGTGATTTTTTTCTAGTTTCAAATATTCTCGTTTTAGATTTAATAAGTTCTCGACACTTACATATGGCAATTCAAAACAATTAATAATAAAGTCAGCCCAGTCTATAAAGTTAACAGTGTATCCGAACATAGCACGGGGAATCGAATCAGCATTACTCGACAGTCTATTATTATACCTAACGTGTTATTCAAATTGAAAACAATTGCTCGGAAATTAACTACACTTACTCGCATATTGGGTACCGCTTGGCGCGATTCGATAACAAATTAGAAAGCATTGCTATCGAAATACATCTTTCAGGACAGAACGTGCATAGTTGAACTATAAGATTTTTAATACGTCCGGTAGGCACAAGCAATCCTTCCTCGGGTTCCAGCAGTGGAAACGGATAAGGAGGGCGAAAGTCTGGATACAATACATTTTCTGCGTTGAGATAGAAACAATCGTCGATCATTAATATTTCATGTCGAACTATCCGTCCTTCGAAGATTGCCGTCTCAAACAATTCGCAAATACGTTTGGTCTCCACGAGCTCGTGTTGCAGACGATCATCTATTCGTTGGCTCATGTCTAATCGATGTTGGACAAAACACTTGCCCATTTCCTAGCGTGAAATCACAAAAAAAAAAAGTGTCCCGTTTGGTTCAGAAGTACGGTTACTGGTTGGCACGAAAGAAAAAACGCTACCTTGATGACCTGTCGAAATCTAGCCATTATTAATTTCAACTGATTGGCAGTCCTCAGCTTTTGCATTTGTAGTACATACTTCCAGACGATGAAATATGCTGGGGTGTACGCCGACGAGTCTAAATCAATCGTTTCGTTTATTTCCTCCAACCATTCAGCTATCGTGTTAAACACATTCGTGATCTTTATAGAAGCCAATCGCACGGTTTCCGCGAGTTTTTTATCTAGATCTTCGATGACACCCGTATTTTGTTTAGTTCGTGGACCGCGGTCGTCGGATTGTAACATATCAATTGGTTTTAGCAACATGGATGCGCTTAGTTTGTAGTTGAATATCTTTGACATGTAGGCGTTTACGAAAATTAACGTATTTATAGTACGATCCAACTAACAAAAATAATATAATATATTATTTCAGAAAAGATAATGAATTAATAAAAATGATAAAAACCTCAGCTTGTATTATACACTTGTAGACAGTAACTATAGAACTCATCTGTTTGCCCATCCAAGTATCGACGATTTCCTTTTCGATAAACTGCCTACTCTTTTCTATTTTTTGATTAGTCAATTGCGTTAAAATTACTCTGACGTCCGAAACGGCGGACATTAGTTGTCGCATAATGTCGGGTGACGTGTTGCCTATGTTTGCCGGCACTCTAGATAAATCGGACTGCAATTGCCTCACGAGTTCTAACTTTTTCATATTCTGAGCACTAAGCAATTCATCGAGAATACTTTTTATGATAACCACGTATGGTTCCTGCTCTGATACTAAAATTCTCCTGTGAAAAAAACAGCTTTCGATTGTCTCAATAAACAACCGTTCTAATGACTTCCATATATGTCCTAACACAAGACCATCGTCCCCTTGCAAATGATTATCAAACAATGCTGAAGCTACAACACTCATTTCATTCATTTGAGAAGAAAAAAGTGCCGAGTTCGAAAACATTTTTGATTTGATGTGATCCACAAAATCGAATTCTGACATTCCGCTTAACCTTTCTCTTCTAAACGCATTTCTTTTTACTGTCCTTTCGTGTGACGGCACTGAACGGGCAGTGGATATTTGAGCACTTAAACTACTTGTACTGTCGCTTTCCTCGATTACTGGCGACTTAGCAATATTTATCCACTGGACATGTTCACTCCAGTCTACTGGTTGTCCAGATAAAATATCGCAAAAAAATTCAATATCGTCGTTATCGATAACCGTGTTTTTGTCAGTCTTTTGCAATAACGTCAGAAGTTCGTGAGATTTGTAATATTTGTCCATAGCATTTAACTCGTCACTTGATGGAATATCAAGGGATACGATCTTAAAACATAATGAAACAAAATTAACTGAGTTTTTTTGTGCTGTGCATACCTAATATACCTTTACAAATGAAGTAAGTGACGAACGGTATCTTCCTTTATCTCCTAAATCTGGTGCTTTAAAAGGTACCATTACTGTTAACTCCATCTCGTTCATAAAACTGTATAAACCTTGAGGAGGAAAGTTCTTATTGGCCAACCTCTCTTCGAGTAACATTACCTCTTCTGGTGTATTTGGATACCCAATTATTACAAAACCTTGTACCATTTGATTCTCTTTAATATAGCATAATATGCAGTCGGTCAAGTAATGTTTCGGTAGAGTTTTCCCTTTATAAATACTAAGAAACGCATATTTTCCACATTCAGCTCGTTCTTTTTCATATTTTTTATCATTTTCATTGTACGGTGTTTGGGTTTGTTTCGATTGTGGTGTATCAGGAAGTGATAAATTAATTTTTAATTCTTTACTTAGAGACGTGGCTTCTGTTAAGGTACTCTGAGTAAAATTCTGTGATTCTCCTTAAAAATATGTAGTACGTGCATTTCATTAAATTAATTTTCTAAAATAATTAAATAATATTATAAATACCTACCTTGCATAATCGTATTTTGTGTGTTGTCGTTGTCTTCTAATTCTAATAACGCTAGCAACTCATTACTATCAGTTTCTCGATAAAACGAATACATACAGTATTGAAGAGCCACTTCCGGTAGGACAGGAAGTATACTACGTTTGATTAATGATTCCATAAGCTGCTGTTTTTCAATGTCTCCGATGTTGCCATTTATAACGCCAACTGTGGATCCAAACATTACTGATCCCATATTGACAACGGGCGGCGGAAGACCGTGTAACGAACTAAGAACATCAAATACCAAAAACCCTAAAACGCGATCTCCATCCGGTGGACGTCTAATTTTTACATCCAGTACATTCTCCGACCAAATCCCAGTACCTTCCAAATAATGTTTTAAGTCTACTCGATTGAGAACGTGTTGAGTTTTCAGTTCAATTTCGGCATATGGCTTGTTGTCTTCCACATATTTAGGGTCTAATAAAAAGCCAAGTGCATCGTCTAAACTGACCAATAATGGTCGTCCTTTAATGAACATCTCCAACCAGCTTTCCCATGAATGTTTTGGAATATTCCCTGCGTTTTTTTTTCTATATTCACATCCTCTTATGCTAAAGTCCATTAATTCTAAAACAATACTTTTCATTGCATTTGTTTGATTGGTTTTCTCTCGTTCATTGTTAACATCTAGCAGCTGTAAACAATGTAAATAGAAAACAGCGATCATTCATTTTTATTTTCTTACTCTTTTTTTTATTTTCAATTTTGTATCATCATCGACTTTACAATATTCCTTAGGTTTTAGAGATCGTACACCATAGTCGACAAATTTCACTCGGTTATCTAAAGTACTAGTCTTGCGATCATTTTTCTTAGAGCGTTTCTTGTGTCTCGCATTATTAATTTTTATTAACATTCTTTTCTCACAGTCGGATATGAGGTTGACAGTATCTGGCATCGATTTACGCCTTAGCTCATTTTTATTAAGGCTCGTTTGATCATCTAAATTTTGTTTCAGAAATGTGTTAATTGTCTCTTTACGCCAGCCATTATATATTTTTGAGAACTTTTTACAAGCCTTAAGATCTGTTAAGTACCTTTAGAAAAATCAGATCAAAATGTAAGTAAATTTATTACAAAATAATAATACAAAACCCGATCGAGTATATGTTATTGTTACCTCTCACAAGTTTGATCTCCCCTGTGTGTCCAGGCAATTATCTTTTCTGGTAAACTGCGCTCGAAATCTTCAAACTCGTCGCAAAGTACCTGAAATTCTGTTTTAGTCGCCGTATAATCTCCTTGTGCTTTTTTAACGTCATCTAACTTGTCATTTTGGAGTTGATACGAATTTCTTTTAATACATTTTTCGAACACTTCACGTTCACGAGATTCAGATTTTTTGAGATGGGTATTCGCTTGTTGTGCACGAAAAAATAAGTTCAAACTGTCGGGGGACTCCAAATGAAAACATAACCTGTATAATAGTCCAGATATAGCAGTATTTTGTCCTGACAACACTTGTTCAATAGTTTCATCATCCAACGAAACATTTACTGTGCCCAACCAGCTTCGGAGTCGATTGATGTTTAATAATTTAGTTGCTTCGTCATCTTCATCGACTAATAAAGCTACTTGTTCAGGGCTTAGAATATTATAATTTTGCAGAATTTGTCCAAAACGCACCCCATTTTTAAATTTAGAATACAAGTTATCAGGCGACAAAGATTGAAATTCTATCCCTAGTTGGTGAGTAAGCCATTGTCTTAAAAATTCATTCATTGTTTTTATCAGAGGAAATAACTATTGAAGAAAAAAAATCACAAAGAATTAAGAGTATAAAAATCTACGTATAGTTTTTACATATAATTGTTAACAATGTATCCTAGCAACACCATTAATTGTCATCTCTTTTTAAAAGATCAAAACTAATAATAACTTGTGAATTAAATTTTGCATTTGAACTAAATGAAAAAAATATATGTATTTTTATTTAAACAAATATTCACGATGTACATAATATATATATATATATATATATACGCATTTGTCGCTCTCTATCTTTAATTTCTGTAATGAGTAAAGTATAGGTACACGATAATTCTCCCGAGACATGTTAATTGTTATTATATAAAATCAACTACATCGAATAAGTTGACATCCACAATCCCTGGAAAACCCCCTCCTTGGTAATAACAATGGTCCCGGGGACCTATTTTTGAATAGGGCTAATTTTTCTTCTGAAACAGTTTTTAGTTTAGTGACTATTGTCAAATCTTATTAACAAATTTGCTTATACTTTACTCGTCAACAAATAAAAAACGTATATTTTATTCAGAAGGTAAACACTAAACCACCCCTGGTGGGCGGCGGCTGGTAGTTAGTGAACAAACTTTTGAAAACTCTGGTGTACGAAATTCCTAATTGTAATTTACGCATTGATTTTATTGTATGTTTGAAGTAAAAAAAAAAAAAGTCGCACATCTTAAGATTTCTACAAACAATCGCGTATCCTTAGGTGAAAATTGACATGCAGCGGCAGATTTATGGACATGCAACATTAGGCAGTTTGTTTAGGGCGGCGAATTGTTTCGACGATGTAAAAAGTTGTATTGGAGGCGGGCCGGTAAATACAATTACTATGAATATTTAATAATAATAAATATAAATATTTGTATTATTTGCCCAATGACAGAACACGTTTAAATCTGCCTCTGCGGACGAGTCATACCCAGTGCTCGATTGATAGTGGCTACTTTCATAAGTCAAATAGCGTATTACTACGAATTATTTTTGCTCTAAGGAAATCCGAGTTTTTAACTTAATAACAGTCGTCCTTCTGATTTCTTATCGCAATTCAAGCACCGATCATCACGTACATAAAACAAGATGGTCGACCATTTCGGGTTCTGTCATAACAGTCAAAGTACAACGGCGGCGTTCGATGAAAAACCGGTCGTTGCTGTTTTTTTTTTTCGCATATCCACGGTCCACCGACATGGACAGTTGTTTCCCGGCTTTGGTGGTTCACCCCGGACGGATCGCCTACGACCGCGGCAATTGCGGGCCGAGGAAGGTTGGGCTCAAGATGAAGTGTTTCTGCCACCGACATAGTCGGCCCAGCTTCTTGGACTCGAAATTTTTTTATCGCGTTTGCCATGTAAAGCCGATGGGACTTTGCGATTAAATTCCACGCTTATCGCCGTCGGCATTGATATCGGTCAAGGTCTCCGTCGGGTTATCTGCGGGCATAAAACCGTAAAAAAAAAAAAAAAAATACCGACTCTAAAGACTAAAAATCTAGAGCGATATTATCGGCAGCAGTTGTGTAGGGAAAAAGCCAGCCGCGGCCTACGCGCCTCCCGCGGTCCGCCAAAGTTTGACTTTTTGCCGCCAAATTGGAAAAGCCCGTGCGGTCATTGGCGCCTACCTCTTGCTCTCGGGGTTGCCGCATCCAAAACGCACGGCGCGCATACACGTGGTCGCCCACTCGGCGGCCGTTTTCGTGCGCGCGCACCACTCGCGAGCGTAACGCCATAAGCGGCGGCCGTTGCCGCGTACCGTTGCGGGTGACAACGACCGGTAGCAATAATCGTAGTAGCGTTACTCAATATCCAATAAACAATAACAACGCTATACATGCATGCGTGCACAATATATAACTATAATATAATAATATGTATCACTGACGTTATTGCCGTTGTGCATTTTAAGAATTCAGCATAATTGTTACTATTTATTGTAATCGTATATTCCTTTCCAGCGTTACGACTGTCGTCGGTAGTACGTACACAAGTTTAGATAATTATTTTAATAATCGTATAAATCAATATAGGACACGTTATAATCATACATAGTGTATAGTTATTATACTTGTACCTCAAGAGTAATATTTGAACAAAACATTATCTTATCTGTCGTATTCGTCAACGTTCTTCGAATTATTTTTTTAATTGGCCACCGACGGCACCAATAGTGTGTGTGGTGTGTGTGTACTATCATCGTGTCGATTTATATTTTGTCGTCGGCGTACGTGATTTACGATAGTAAATAGCAATCGTACATAAAAAAAAAAACGTAATTAAGAAAAATACAACATATTCACGCCCGAATAGCTATAGCTAGTTCTGTCAAACCGCTACCATCAAAGTTTTTTGTATAAATCTCGATAACCTACTGGAAAACATTTTTCAGCGTTTGGACTTGATTACGTTTTGTTTTTGCAATTTTGAGCTGACTCGACTGTTTTTTTAAATTTTATGAACGCCCAAAAAAACTGGAAACAATAACCATGTCATCCGAATACTCTTTAGTGGTGAGGAATCCAAAACGCCCCTTTTTATCCCGATCTTTAATAATATGCTATTGACGGTGCATGTCTGTTTTTGTTGATATTAAATTATTTACCTATTGTTGTTGTTTTCTGTGCACAACAGCCAACTGTAGAAGATCCAGTGTCCAGGCCGACCGAGACGACGGGCCTTTCCCGGAAAGTAGAATACGTCGAAAAAGTACACATTCCTGAAACTCAGTCGGTACGTTATAATCTTTTGTGAAAAATGCATAACCATCTATATTGAAAATTGTATAATTCAGGTCGGCTTTAGCTTTCGTAAACTATGGGCATTTACGGGACCAGGTTTTCTAATGAGCATTGCATATCTCGATCCCGGAAATATTGAATCGGACTTACAGTCTGGAACTCAGGCTAAATATAAAGTGAGATACTATTCAATATCGGATTATATTCTTAATATTCATTTCGACTTTACTATTATACAGCTATTATGGATTCTAATGAGCGCGACCGTGTTGGGCCTTGTGATGCAAAGGTTGTCTGCCCGTTTAGGTGTGGTCACGGGCTATCACCTTGCCGATATGTGTTACCGCCAGTACAGACGGTTTCCCAGGTTGTTCGTCTGGCTCATGATGGAAGTAGCCATAATAGGATCAGACATGCAAGAAGTCATCGGCACTTCTATTGCAATATATTTACTAAGTAATAAAATGTAAGTATTTATTCTAACTACACCATTTAAAAATTGCCTTTTGTTTTTTTGAAAAACAATGTTGTAATTAACCAGTGGCGTTAATCGGCAGGAAGGTGAGCAGCGAACATTTCGATAATACTATACTAGCAATTACACTAGTCTAATGCATTGTAAGCTCGCAATGAAACATAAATTTGCTGATGCCTAACCGACTTGTGGTAATTCCTATATCATTTTACGTTTTGTCTAACAATAACTTTTATCACTGCTAAATTGAGTATTCACAAATCTGCCGACTTGAAATGATGCCACTGTTCAATTACTATAATATTATATGTTTAAACATCTTCCTTTGCTCCTTTGCTCAACGACTTCAAAATTTAAAATAGTATCAACATTTAAATGGAAAACAAATATATGTAATTAATTTAGGATACCGCTTTGGGTAGGAGTGTTGATCACCATCATTGACACATTATCTTTTTTGATGCTGGATAAGTACGGACTGCGAAAATTAGAACTAGTATTTGGTCTGTTCATTGTTATTATGGCATTGTCGTTTGGATACGAAGTAAGCAGTATACATTAGGTTTTTTTTTTATGATTATAATTACATGTTTGTTTAAGTTTGCAGTCGTCAAACCAGAAATCAATGAAATGGCCAAAGGATTAGTAACTCCGTGGTGTTCAAACTGCAAAGAATCAGCTCTTCTCCAGGCTGTTGGCATTATCGGCGCTATTATTATGCCACACAATCTATACTTGCACTCAGGTTTAGTAAAGGTGTGATATGAAAGTTTATTTTATTTTACGAATCTCATTTAAGACAAACATAATAATGATACTATGTCGTATGTTTCTTTTAGTCGAGAGAAGTAGATAGGACAAAAAAGGACAAACTTAAAGAAGCAAACTTCTACTTTTTTATCGAATCCTGTGTAGCACTTTTTGTGTCATTCGTTATCAACGTATGCGTCACATCTGTTTTTGCTCACGGTTTGTATGAAAAAACAAACAGCGATGTGGTAAGACATTTGTATACAAAATATAAAGTTTAAAAATTTAACATATTGTCTTTTCAATAGTATGGTGTATGCACTAGGAACAACAATCCATTTGCTGATGTTTTTGCAGTAAGTCTCATAGATAAATGCTAGGTTGCATGAAAAATGATTTTATGAATCATTAAAATTTCATGGAATAATATTTCAAACCATTGAATTATGTTTAATATACAAATTAATGTGCTATTGATATATTATTAAACATTTAACGTTCGTGCATAAATCTATTAAAATTGAATTAATAATAAAAAAAGAGACATTAATATTGTATTTACCATTTTCCAATATTTTGTATTGTTATTTTAAGTTTGTCTAATTCAAACGGGCATTATATTTTTATAATTATTATGATTTAGAAATAAAAATTATAATTAGGCACATTTCAAGTAATTATATTTTATACCTTGTGAAAGAGTTATTTTAGCTTCTATGTTTTAAAATAGCGTTCACACATACAATTGCATTCTTTCCAAACGCTACTTAACAATACTTACATATACAATACATAATTGGGACTAGAATATATAATCTAATATGCATGTGAAATAAAAACCAATCAAACTGACCTTATTTTTTGGTGCAATTTATTTGCACAGTCTTATGAATTTTATTTACATGTGCAATTTGTTTGCTTAAAACCAACAATTTTTAGTTTTGAAGATCGTCACAACCTCATTTTTATTTTTAAAAAAAATTATTAAATTCTATTATTATTTTTTTTTTCTTTCTAGAAAAAATTGTTATTATTCCATTCTATGTAATAAAAACTCATAACTAAATTAAACTAACCAATTAAAATTCTTTGACAGTCTTTTTAAAACAAAAAGTGTAATTAAAAACATTTTATTTGTTTTTTATTAATGCCTATAAAGCTATATATTATCACAAATACTGCCTTTAACTTATCAATACCATTATTGTAATAGCCTAATTTTTTTTTTAGAACAATACCAAACAAGTAGATGTAGACATATACAAGGGTGGAATATTCCTCGGCTGTCAATTTGGCTTGGGCGCCATGTACATTTGGGCAATCGGTATTTTAGCTGCTGGTCAGAGTAGTACAATGACCGGCTGTTACGCTGGTCAATTTGTAATGGAAGTAAGTGCACTGACTTTCACCTTATTCAATTTACAGTAAATGAAAATTTCAGGGTTTTTTGAATCTTCAATGGAGTCGATGGAAAAGAGTGGCTTTCACACGGTTAGTCGCTATTGCACCAACATTTTATGTGGCATTCTTTAGCAATATCGAAGAACTGAGTGGCATGAATGATTTGCTTAACGCTGTAATGAGCTTGCAGTTACCATTCGCTACTTTACCCGTTATAGCTTTTACAAGCAATCCTCATATCATGGGAGAATTCACTAACGGACTGTAAGTATATATTTATTGATTTGCAGTGGTGTCGTAAGCAAGGGTTCGAAATAAAGTTACGAGCAAAATTTAGAAATTACTCTTAACAAAAAAAAAAAAATTAATATTAAATTTCCTGTACGAGTGTACTCATATTGTATACTCTATCAGATGGTAAAAGATTTGATTATGAGTACACACATACTTAGAAAAGTGGCACACAGCGTCAGTGGCGTAACTAGGGACTAAAACGCCCAGGAGCAAGACATTTTTTTTGCGCTCTATATTACGTGTTAACATGTATAGTAAACCGTACAAAAACGTCTTTAAATAGAATCACCCAGGAGCAGTTGCACTCCCTGCACCCACGGTAGCTACGCCACTGCACAGCGTATACCCTATGAGCACTACCGTAATCATTTGAAGGGCAGCCAAAATTTTATTAAAAACAATTTTTTTTACTTTATTTTCAGAGTCAACAAAGTAGTGACACTTCTGCTGTCTATTACAATTATAAGTATAAATATATATTTTGTGATGTATTTGTCGATACAAAATCTATCTTTCAATATATACCTAATGACCGGAGTCTATTTGTATAGCGCAATTTATCTATTAATGTGTGGCTATCTCGCGTTACATCTGACAGTCAGCATGATGGGAGACTGTAGTGTCTGGCATAGAAATAAAGTGAGATTCCATTTTCATTTACATTATCATTTGTCAAATGACATTTTTGTAAATTTTTGTATTTCAATTCATGTTTATTTAGTTAATTTGTAAGTTATTCGGTACAAAAATCACTAGTCATCACAATCACCATCAAGAACCCAATTCGTTACCAAGGTAAAAAAATATTGATTTTAAATAGACAATAATATTTTCCAAAACCTCATTTAAAACTAGTTAATAAGTTTTATAAGTACGCCAATGGATTCATTTTTTAAATATTTAACGTACGGAGAAGTGATTCTAACTATTTGGTTTGAATTAACTTGTTCATTTAGTAATTTTTTTCAAGAAAATTAACTCTTAACTATAGTGGCGTGCAGTACTTCTACTTATTTGATTGTGGCTGTACCTTAAGTTTATGGGTGAAATCTAACAAATTTGTGTACTAACTTTATTCAATGTTTTGTTTCAACTAATAAGAATGAACTGATACAATAATAATTAGAAATGTATGTAATACCGCAAGTCACTAGTTAAGGGTTAAGTAAGTAATCAAATATACCTGTATACTTGCGAAATTGTTATAAGTTACTAATTGGTAAACAAATTGTATAGATAACAAACAAAAATGTTTGGTTTTTGGGAAAAAGGTTCAGTTATTGTGCTGTTATTAATATTGGCTGGCATATAGTGAATAAAGTTAAGACTTTTTAAATGACAATATGAATTATTTTCATGGTCCTATAATATTCTAATAATATAAACAATTCTCTATATTATTTTTTTAAGATGCTTATACATTTTTAAAAAACACTCAAGTGTATAACATATATAGGAATTAATATAAATTTCATCAAACGGTTTTTTTTTAATTTTAATACATATTTATATATTTTTTTTTATTGAATTAATGTTCCCAAAACTTTATAAAATGTTTAAAACTTTAATTCAACAATCAAAAAAAAAAATTACCATTTTCCGCCGTTTACATTATTGTATAAAAAGAAAATACATTGCATTATTTAGTTCTTCCTGGCAGTTCTGTATTTCGAGTCTAAAACAGCCAATCTAATATTTAGTACTTTCTGGCAAACAATGCACTAATTAATTTTGTCTTGGGTGTAAACACACACTATTTCAGTTGATAAGAACACGTGTATTTAATTCTAAGGTACAGCAATGACAGTGAATACATAGAGTAGTCCTAACTCATTTTCGCCAGCAATTGATATTGACTCTTTAAAATCTAAAATTCACAAAAATGAATGGTTTATAAATTATACAAAAAAGGGTGCATGTTCACTTGAGGTTATTTTTAAGATTTTTTTTTACACTAATTATTTTACTAAGTTATTTACAATAGTATTGAGTACATTAAACTTGCCTTAAAATTTCCAAAAACATAGATTGAACATATTGTACAAAACAAAAAAATTCTCAAAATTAACCTTTTTGTTAAGCTTTGTAACCAAAAATAAAAGTTTTATTTTATATACCAACAGCACTTACATATCATTAATTGTTGTTGTCCATTTGTAATTAGACAATTTACTATGGTTCAGTTTTTTATTAACAAACGTTAATCAAAAAATCAATGTGGGCACAAACCCAGGTTTTTCATTAAAAAGTCTTGACTAGGTTAATTTCTTTTTTGGTGTACTTAAACCCAATTGAACAATTTTTGGATAAACACTAAACATTTTCTTGGCTTAAACAAATAAATACATATATTGATTTTAACTATTAGGTGATTGTTAATTTTATTTGTTATACCCCATTTGTCTAAATAAAAATTTAAAAAAAAACTCCAATTAGCAACAATTATAATTAACAACACCGCACCTTTACAAAAACAAATCAAATTTTATATTAAGTCTTCTTATCTGTTTGAAATAAACAATTGTTTTATGTTGTGTTTTTACATTATTTGTTTGTTGTGATTTCTCGATAAAAAAAAATGTATAATATATTGCTAGTCTAATATTATATTAAAATTTCTTAATTTTGTGTTTCAATAAAATGGATTAATTTAATTTTAAAATATATAATAGCAGTCAAGATGACTTACCCGGTTTCAAGATGTATTCTTAAAATGGTACTCAATACCTGTACAAAACGGACGGTACTTAACTCGATAGTATTAAGCAAGTATGTTACTAATATTACAATTAGTACTTTAGATTTAAGTTTTGACTAATATTAATGTTGTAACTCATCAATTATAATTAATTTTAACAGTTGTAACTAGAAACAATAATAAAATAAAATAAACATTCACCTCAATTAAAATTTGAGTTGCCAAAATCGTATGAAATCTCTATTTTTCAAAGATTTCATTAGATTTATCTTTCTACAAAACAATGTCTCCACTCTGTTAAATTTAATTAAATTTATTAATTGTTTAGTTTACACATGCCTTGAATTACCCAATAATTTTTTTAAATGCATGAACATTTTTTTATGATTCATTAAAATTTATTTTAGCAATAGTACAAACCACCGAATGATGTTTAAGAAACCAATTAATGTGTAAACTAAAAAATAAATGTGCTATTCATTTTTCAAACACTACTTATTAATATTATAATTGGGACTAGAATATGAAACCTGATGATTCTTTAAACGCCCTACACTAGTTAACTCTTAAAATAATTGCAATATTGTAGTGTTTCTTTTTAAAAACATTTTTATTTATGTTATAGTACAATATTAGACAATATTCAAATTTTTATTTTTTTTAGTATTTGCTAGAGCTTTATCAACTTATAAAACTTAAGCAACAACATATATTTAATTAGCTTTTAAAATTAAAAATAATTTACTAAATATTTAACCAGCAAAAAAATGCATGCCGATAAATATTACTCTCATCCCTTCCTCCTATTCTAATTTTTTTACTTTAAAACTGATTATTCAAAACTGGTTATCGACCAGCCAACATTTTTAGCTAATTATTCTTAATTCAAAAATTTAATAAAATATATACGTTACCATTTAAATTTCAAAAGTTGATAAAGCTCTAGAAAATATATAAATAAGAAACAAATTTCAATATTGTCTCATATAGTATATAGCATAATCAAAAATGTTTCCAAAAACAAACACTACAAAATTAAATTATTTTAAGAGTAAAATAGTGTAAGGCATTGAAAGAATCACCCTGTATATTATATGCATGTAAAATAAAAACTTTACTGGATGTGAATATCAGCTTTTCTAACTCATTGTTGCCATGTTGTGAATATTAGTGCTTTTAAAGAAATTGTTATTTTAACATTAAAAAATAATTTTAATAGTTTAATCGTGAACCTATTGAGTTACTAACTTATTTATTTTATGTAATAATTAAATAAAAGAAAACAATTAAAAATAAATAAAATATATTTAATTAAAAATATACACAATAACAATTTAAAAAAAAAATTTGAATGAGTTATTTAAACATGTAAAATAAAAATGTGTTTTAAATAATTTGTTTGTTATTTAAACAAAAAAATCTTATGTTTTACTGCGCCAGGTTTAATTTGATTAATCAATCCAACTATTTATTTATTTATTATTTACAAATACATTTTTTTATATTTCCATCACTCAAAATATTATGCAGATTGAATAAATACAAATCTTGGTAAATATCAAACCCAAGCTTACTCAGTACATTTGTAAAAAATAAATAAGTTTTTTAATTATTTTAGATGCTCTAAATTATTATATTGATAACTTTTTAATCATAAAATACACACATTTTATTATATATTGTTTTATTTAAATTTTGCCCAGGTTTTCAAATAATTTGTTATTTTTTAAATTATTATTTTATTTGTTAAGAATTTTGTTTTGCCTAATGCTTGTTTCTAATTTTTTATTTATATATTTTTTTTTTATATATATATATAGAAATCATTCTATACAAGAATAGAAGCCCGTGAGATTGAGTATTCAGAATTTTCGATAGAAAATCTTTATTTTTTTAAAAATGTAGTACTGAAATAGATTTTACTAATACGATAAAAACTAAAATTGGTCGTTATTTTCAACCTTACAGTTGAAAGTTATATTTTTCTATTTATCTAATTTGTATTTTTTTATTGTTGAACTTAATCTTGAAAATGTATATTACGTTTTTATGATGAACACAATTCCATTCGAATTTTTAAACATATTAATTGTAATTTCACTGAATAATATCTATTTGGTCACGATATTATTCCATAATATTATATATTAATATATAGTGTTCCTGTTGACGTTTAAAAACTAGTTTATATAGATTTTACCAATTAAAATTGAGAATAATTATGCCAATACGTTGTTTATTTTGTTTTTAACTATAACGTCCAATTATTATATTTAATGTGATAGTAATATGTTTGCTAAAAATATATATATTTTCTTTTTAAGATTTATTTTTGTTATAAATTATTACAATTATAGGACGTTACCTATAATTATTTAATTATTGTTCGTAATGTTTTTTTTATTGTACCTTTAGGTTAATTGTTGACTTAATTAAAAATTATTATTATTTTATAATATATTTTTTTTAATGGAAAAAAAGAACTAGAATCACTTTTTTACACATTTTCCTACTCGTATAAAAAAAAGAATTTGATTGTATACGAATTGTGTATATTTATTTAGATTACAAATTATTATCATTGTGCCAACGGGTTAGTTTTAGTAGCATTAACAATTATATAAATAGCAAATTTTGGTGTTACCCTATTTAATTATTGTTTTATGTTAAAAGTCACCTAAAAAAAAAACATATTTGGTTATTATAAGTAACGATCAATTCTAAATATTTAAGAAAAATTATGTATTATAAAATAGTGTACTTAAAATATATTTATTTTGGCAATTTACTTAAAAAATATATATTTATACAGTATATATTCAATCATAAAATCTACACATTTATTTTTGGATGATCTCGACAATCATTCTTATATTTCCTATATTCCTTAACACCTGATAAAAATTTAGGTTTCAGTAGGATAGATCTAGTCTACCTGATGTTCAATGCCACCAGCTAGTATAATATTGTATCCACTCAAAAGTCTAGTCGTGACTATTTGTGCTGATCGCGTGACTATTTTACGACATTATTTTGATAAGGTTCCTAAAAATATTTTATGGCATGGAAAAAATGTAACAGGCAACAATCAATAAAAAAACTATAACTAATGGAATAATAAATTAGTTATATTTATAAACAACATATAATTTTTTACGTTACCAAATGTGTTACTTGGTGGTAGGTATTATAATTATTAGTTTAACAAAATAATAAAATTAATACATTAATATTAAAAATATATATATATATCGCCTAGGAATCGAAAATAAATTTGTCTTGATAAATGAAAAATATACTTTTTAGGTTTACTATGAGCAGACAAATATTATGTAAGATAATAAATCATTTAGCAATGATTAACTAGATCGTGCAAAAAAAAGGGTACACCTATGGAAATCAATGACATTTTCTCGATGAACCCTGTAATACTTTATACAAACTGTTATAAGTGTTTATAAATGTAAATATATATATATATATATATAATATTACAAGTGAAATTATTAGTTGACGGTTAATTAATTGAAGGCGTAACTCCGCCTTTCCATTGTATTTCAATGGACGGCCATTTTGTTTGCAAACACGATTGCAAAATGTTGTCTTCTACTATGCAAATAACATCAGATTCTTGAATCACTGCATTTCCTTCGATATAGGTAACCTTTGAATTTGGGTTAGATCTAGGCTGTCCGTTATAATGAAACACCATAAAGATGTCGGGAGTTTTGTTTTCTTGATCAGAAAAAAACTCGTCCATAAATGACGGCATCAAAATAATACCCAATCCCTCGGAATCGAGCTTTGTTGACATCAAATTTACACTAAAAAAATGAATTAACATTTTAATTGGACCAACTTAAAAAAAAAGTTATTTATTTATTATTTTGTGTACACACTATTCGTCGTCAGACACTAGGTCAAGTTTTTCTAACAAAGGTTTCAAACACTGTGTGCTTATAAAATTATTTCCGTCCTGATCAAACAACTTGAATGTTCTCCGCGCGATATCGGCTTGAGTTTCTTTGCTCACCAAGTTTTGATCAAATGAAAATAACACTAAACAAACAACATGCAATCAATTTCACTAATTTTTTTATACAACAACATATCTTAATTATTATTTATGTATTATTATAATTATTACCGGTAAGATGTGTATCACTACCCAATACCCAAATGGGATTGCACGGATTTTTTAGGTACGTTCCAACTTGACAGTACCTTAAGTGTTCCAATAACGACATGAACCCAATTTCACTTTGTTTTTCTATACCTTGTAACTCTATTAAGAAAGAAAAAAATTCAATATGTAACATAATTTGATTAAAATACACTATTATCTACGTAGATCAATAATTTTGAATTGGCAAGTTTTTATAGGTAACATAAATTTTGGTACTTGGTATACACTAATATCGAGGACAAATTTAACACTAACCCAATACTATATTACGTTTTGAATTATAAAAAATTCTGTATTTTAAGAACATTCTTTATGTTAACAAAAAAATTGATCGTCTTAATTGCAACATGTAACCATACAAAATTAAAATCAGAATTAAGTTTATGTTCTTTTGTGTTAATATCAAAAACTGAAAATTCTAAATTAGGTAATTCTTAGACCAGCCAGACAAACGTAACATAGAAAAATAAAATAAAAATTTTATTTGAAATATACTTTTGCAAATTATCCAGTTAAACTGCAAAACGCTAAAAAACCACAAAATTTACAATTTTGGAGGATATTAAAAAAATTAATTCTGAATTTTACAGTACTTTATAAAAGAAAAATATATTTCTTTTTAGTCAAAAAATGTAAAGTACATTTTTAGCCTTTTGCTAAAATGTCTAGTTGATGACTTAATACGCTCATCTTATGCAAGGTTGCCATAGGTTTGGCTACTTTTATAGACAATCATTAAATAAATTGTTAGACTTAAACAAATATACAATACTCACTGGGTTTTATTTGCTAACTCTATGATTGTAATACATCTATACTAATATTTGTTATATTTTCATAAAATTATAACTAGTACTCACTCATTCCAGCTACGACTTGAACATTGTTGAAAACATTAGAAACTGCTTGTCCCGTTATCATCATATTGATCAAGCTCTGACTACCGTAACCAAATTCTTTATCAATCAATGGCACTTCAAGATCGCTAATTTCGTCTTTTAATTTCACTAAACCCTAATTAATGAAATTTCATATACAATATTTGGTTTTCAGCATTTTACCTCATAAAGTTACCTTAGAATGCATAACTGTATACAAGAACAATAAAATACCGAATGTGTCACGCATGAAACTAATCCGTTCATTGAAAAACGCTTCGATACAATCTTTGTTGACTCTTTCTACCCTAACAATTGCATGAAATACACATGTTGTTAAATGTTAACTTGAAATTCACTTGCCAAATAAATATAGCATACTTAAGCATAGAATGGAATCGGCTATGTTCAAGGCATGCTTCCTTAGTGTCGATATGTACAAATTTCAATTGGTCACGTCCAGCCGTTGCTTGGCATAGAATATCACAGGCAGCTTTAGTCAGAAGAAGGTTTTGTTCGTCATTTTCCACCTATACAGATAAATTGTTTTTTGGTGAATTCCTTGTTTCATGATATAGCTTAGGGTCTATTTTATTGTAAATAGTAATTAAAAACAGATGTTCGATTAGAAGTTTTGATTGATCATAATTGAAAATCAACATTTGATAAACATAAGATTTTAAAAAATTCCTTTTATAATCAATTTTTAATGAAAAAGATTTTTTATTCAATAAAATATAGACCGTCCATATCATATCTAGAAAAAAGTCTGTCATTAGCGCTGAAGATGACAACATTATTTCCAAAATACGTATACGCAGAGAGTGCATTATATTATGGTTAAGGGTTTTAAATATTAATTTCTTTATTTTGGCATAACTGCTTATCTAATTGACTAAGCTTGACTTAAGCGGCCATTAGTATAATTGAAGCGATGGACCGTATCGGAATAAATAACTAGGCCATAATTGCTAAGCCAAATCTACATTGCAGCACAAAATTTTAGCAAACGTTTGTCAAATGTGTAGGTTTGTGAGAAAAAATGTCTTTGATGTTTGGATGTACTGACAGAGCACGAAACATTGGCTCAAGCATGTGAGTTTTGAATGGCAGTGTAGAATCTGCTAAGGTGTCTAAAGTTCTATATCGTCATTAACGTCATCAGCCTAGTCTTCTATACCTGTTCGCCGAGAGAGCATGCCGCGACCCGACGAAAATGGGCGGTTCTGCGCATCCCCCCGTAGTACCCAGTGTGACTAGCGTTCCCCCCAAGTCCGCCCTGTCTGCCAGCCTTAGTCTTCAGTCTACATGCCCAAACCCGGCATACTCTCTCAGCGAACGGGGTATAGGCTATTTGTGCAAAATTGTTACGACCAATTAATGTAATAATTATAATTACCGTTTTCCAATTGTCATTCACAGACTTGTTTTTGACGATATTTTTGACTATGTAAGCTTGCATTGGTGCTAGGACGGCACAGGGACCTCCTTCGTACTGCACCAAAGCGGTGGGCTCGTCATCACTGAAGCTAAACCCTGAGAACCGCCGTCAAAACAAATTAATGATATTTACATACTAATCGCATACGACCAGCACTTACCCTGTGTCCATCTCTGGAATATGTCCTGCCGGACTTGCTGACCCCAAGTGAGTTTTATGATTTCCTCCAACTCAGTATCGACAGTCGTTTGTGGCACCTCAAGCGCCGCCATTGTGTCAGCTCACGGACGACTCATGCCGAAACAAGTAATAAAAAAAAAAGGTTTGTAGATAAATTCAGTTGTTTAGGAAAACTCAATTCCGTTTTTTATTTAGGATTCATGTTTTCCACAACCAACTTTAGTTTTCCCGTGAAATAACTCCATAAGAAAATAAACAAATAATATATCATCAACACAATATAAGTAACATAACCTACAACTATTTTATCAATAATTTGATTTGATTAATGACGATTTTTTTTTTAACATTTATTACGGTTTTGATGTATTAATTCCCTGCTAACAGTTCACACCAGCGGATCGTTTTAAATTTATCGTGAATTTTTTAATTTTTTTTAAGAAAAACACGATTCCTATTCAATACCGCTTGATTAAATTACGTCTTAAGTAATTTAACGAACAGCAAAATATTAATTGCTTTGGCCACACTGTGGCGGACTGCTATTTACCTCCACTATGGCACTATCGTGTTTATTTTGGATAGTAATTTTATCTTCGTTTTGATTCCGCTGCATGCAATCACAAGTTATTGTTCATCATCATCACCCAGCTTCTGAAAGAACTCAACTAACATTGGCCAGACGCTGTACAGATATTGGGATATGGAATAACAGACATTTAAAACGCTTAAGGTACTTAGGTGCAGATTTTTTTAATGTTTAATATTATACTTATCGTTACTGTACACCCAATGTGTCAGAATGCCGTAAAAAGTTACGCAATGAACCTATATCCGCACAACATACGACCTCAATGTTGACAAATATGGTATCAAACTTACTGTGTTATTCATACGACTAAACAACTGCTTTCTTACGTTAATATTCATAACAATGATTCTATGTAGTTTCTGTCCAATTAATTTCCATTATATTATAACGTTATTGGTTTTTGTTAAATTTTAAATACAACGCATTTTTTTCTATGTAGTTTTTCTTATGATAACTCAAAACCAGTATACAATGGTATTAATACTTTATTGTTTTTGATTATTATAAAATCTATTTTTTTTTTTTTTGTTAATGTATTTTTTAATATTTAGGTATACGTACAATTTTTTCATTTCTACCAAGTAAAGTGTTGTATGTTTATGTTAAAACTGAATCTTAAGGAGGCATTTTAAGAAAAGTACAAAGAATTGTATATGACTGTTTTTTGGATGTATTTATAGTAATATAACCTTGGTCAAAACGATTATTGACATGAAGTTTACAAACAGATAAATTATGCATGCGCTATTGTTCTAATTTAATATTAATTTAGTTTTTATAGGAACACACAATGGTTGGGTTAGGGCCAATAATTGCTGTTGACATTTAGTTGATGATAATTATCACTAAGTAATTATGGACATAATATTACATGTTATGTGTTTAGAGCTGTTTTGCTACCTATATATTGAATCCCAAAATTAGTGGCATATTTCAAATAATTTAATTCAAAATTGTTGTTTTCAGTACATATTTTACCTAAATGTTTTTACTGTAATTTGATAAAGAAAGGGAAGGGCTTCTTTTTTTTGCCTAATTGTGATAAATATAATAACCCATTATGAAATCTCTAGAAGGTGTGAAATTACATCAAGTACTGTAAACAAGTGTAAAGAAAACTTTAAAATTGTCATTTTGTACATTTTTTTTAGTTGTACTTAACACTGCATAATTACTATGTAAATTAATTAAATTATATGTTAGAGTGCCCTACACTTTATTCAGTTAGATTTTATTATTCCATGCAATTTTTATTTGTACTAATTTAATAGTAGAAATATTATTTAAAAAGTCATATTATGTAATATGTCAATAAAATTGAAAATAATATTGCTTTCTACAATTTGAAGCCTAAGATGGAAGAAAAAAACTACAAGTTAAGATACTTGTAGTTTTTTTGTAAATTTGCAACAATTAATAATTATTAATTAAAATTATTTTTTTTTTTTTAGGTGCTACGTTAGTTTATATTTTATCATGTCGCTTAAACCAAAACCAATCAATTTTACTGAAAAATGGAACACTCTTCAAGAGACCGTGAAAGGTGTTATAACTTTAGATCGAGTACCGAGAGATGCATGGAATGAACGCTTTAACGATGTTTATTCTATGTGTGTGGCATTCCCCGAGCCCCTCGGAGATCAGCTTTATGAATCTACAAAGTTATTCCTCGAAGACCACGTTCTCGAACTGCTGTCCATTATTCAAAGCGGAGGCACTGCCAACCTTTTACAAAATTATTATATGTATTGGCAAAAGTACAGCAAAGGTGTCAAGTATCTCCATTCACTCTACCAGTATGTACTTTTTTTTATTATACAGAGTTCAAAAACATGCAACATGTCTATAATGTGTAGGTATCTGAACAACCAGCATATCAGAAAGCACAAATTATCCGAGGCAGAAGTTTTATATGGAAACATTACTCCAGACGCAACTGAACAAATGGAAGTCGGAGAGTTGGGACTTGACGTATGGAAGCATAATATGATTGTGCCGCTCAAAGAGAGTATGCTCGGGTTATTACTTGATGAATTCGACAAACAAAGACAGAATATTTCTACGACTACTTCCTTAGATATAATTGCTGGTGTAATCGATTCATTTGTGGTCGTTCAAGAATTCAGAAAGAAATATCCACTAGAGGTAAGTAAATACTTTTCTGATAGGTATTCTGGTACAATTTTTCAATATTTATGTTTCAGCTGTATCAAAGCTATTTTGAAAGACCTTTTTTGGAACAAAGCAGTGAGCACTTCAAACGCGAAGCGGCTCGCCTGCTTCAAGAATGTTCTGTCTCGGAATACATGGTGAAGGTTTTGCAAATCCTCAAAGAAGAAGGAATCAGATCAAAAAAATATCTTCACGACAGGTAAAATATTTCAGATTTAAATTTATGTGCAATTCACAATAGTTATAGTTATAATTAAATATTTATGTTATAGCACTTACATAAAAGTTCGTGAACGATGTCGTCAGCATATGGTTGGTGATCATTTAGAATTTTTACATAGTGAATGCGAATCTATGGTCAAAGAAGAACGCCGTGAAGATATGCATAATATTTACTTACTTTTACGTGAAGTCAAGGACGGAATGAATTCGTTGGTGGATATTTTCCGAGAACATATTAAACAACATGGAATTAAAGTTATCGAGATGTTGAAACAAGAACAAGTATGTTTTGTGTAATTAATAGTACTAAGCACCTTTGTACTAACTGACTAGTTTCTTAAATGTGGTATATTTTGATAAAAATTATGTCAACAGATTTACGTGCACTTTGTGGAAGAAGTTTTGGCTGTCCACAAAAAGTATAAATCCATGGTAGTCGATGTATTTGAAAATGATTTATCTTTTAGTGGAGCCTTGGATAAGGCTTTTACTGTAATTATTAACTATAAGCAAGCAAAGAATCAGCCTTCTAAATCTCCTGAATATTTGTCGAAATACTGTGACAATTTGTTAAAAAAATCATCCAAAGGCATGTCTGAAACAGAAATTGATGATAAACTGTCACAGTCAATTACTATATTCAAATATATCGACGACAAAGATGTTTTTCAACGATTTTACCAAAGACATCTTGCTAAACGTTTAATTCACCAGCAAAGTCAGTCCATGGATGGCGAAGAAGGAATGATTAATAAACTGAAAGTAAGATATTACTTTCATATTTTCTGACAACTTGTAATATATGTTTTACCTTGGATGCGAAGCTGAAAAGGTATTGTTTTTGCAATGATGTATTTTAAATTTTCTACTTTGTGATTAAACTCTAATTAACTTTTTGTCACTAGACTGATTTCTTTATGTAGCAAGTGTTTGTATCATAAATCTTTCAGGAAATGTACTTCAATACATCAACATGAAGTTAAAATTCTTTCTTCGTATGCATTTTTTGGGGCAGTATTATGATTGGAGGGGGGGAGGTTGGCTATTAATTGACTATAGCGATTTATCACTTTCAGTTATAGATAATATTTCTTAAAGACTTAAAAGACCTCTTTGATTCTAATATGTCTGACCCCACTGTGCTGCCTTTTGTTGATAATTTAATTTATGTTTTAGCAAGCATGTGGTTACGAATTCACAAATAAATTGCATAGAATGTTCACTGACATCAGAGTGTCGGAAGGATTAAATACAAAATTCCAGAATGAATTTTTACCGGCTTCTGGAGGAGAATTAAATGTTTCTTTCTCTATGTATGTTTTACAAACCGGAGCTTGGCCTCTTGGAGCATCTTCTGTGTCGTCATTTGTCATTCCCGAACAACTAATACCTTGTATGCAATATGTAAGTTTTTTTTTTGTTAAGTTTATTTATTTACACAATGCTAGTAATTATTTGTCATTATTTAGTTTGAAGAATTTTACAAAAAAAAATTTAATGGTCGAAAATTAACTTGGCTTCATCACCACTGTCAAGGTAATAGTTATTAATAAATCCTCACAATACTTTTTTATTTAATTCAAAAAACACATCTATTTACAGGTGAGTTGAAGTTGAACTATTCACAAAAAGTGTATTTGGTCACTATGCAAACATTTCAGATGGCTATCATGTTATTGTTTGAAAACCTAGACTCGTTAAAATACTCAGAAATACAAGAGTTGCTCCAACTCTCGAATGACCAATTTCAAAAACACATCAACAGTCTTGTAGAGTGTAAGCTCTTATTGCTCGATGGTGATGTAAGTATATTTGTGCAGCCGATAAATGCAATCCAAACCTCTGCTATACTTATGTATCTGATGTAACAAAATCAATTTGTAGACTGTGTCATTAAATACGTCATACTCAAATAAGCGTACAAAATTACGTATAACTGCCGCTCTTCAAAAAGACACACCTCAAGAAATTGAGCAAACGGTCAATTCTGTTGAAGACGATAGGAAAACATACCTGCAAGCAGCTATTGTACGAATTATGAAGGCACGTAAAGTACTAAGACACAATCAACTAGTAAATGAAGTGAGTACAATTCATTAGGAATTTGGTTATGTTTGAATATAATAAATGTGTGGCAATTTTTAGATATTATCTCAATCAACATCGTTCGCACCTTCTATTGCATTAATAAAAAAATCCATTGAGACATTAATTGATAAAGGTTACCTGGAGCGTACGCCAAACTCATCTGATGGATATAGTTATGTTGCGTAGTAAATTAATAATTATGTATTTTTTTTTTTTTTATAAGTCAATTTCTTCTGCTGTTCAATAAACCAAAACCGGTTTTTTTTGTACATAATAATTAGTACTCTAAATTATGTTATAAATTTTTGTTATATACTGTGTAACTATAATCTATAAATTGAATAGGTAATTTAGTATTTACATTTTTTTTTTTTTTTTTTAAATAACGGTGCAAATACTATAATTACATATATATTGTTATCCTAACGCCATGTGTTGTAGCTGTCTTCGATATCTTATTGAAAAACTTTTAATAGTAATAAATACTCATACTAATTACATGTTATACAATGAATAGTTTTAATTCAATTTTATAATATAATTTAAAAAATCTACACCTTGGTCTGTAGATTTTTATCTACTATTTAAATAAATGTTATTAAATCTAAAGAATATTAACGTTTCACAACAATACACATATTTATTGCTCTCTGTTGAATATTGTTTGTTAGAGTAGTCTTTAAACCAATCGTTCTCTCACCGCTATGACTAAGCAATGAGTTCGTAAAGCTTGCTCTCATATTAATATGTGAATACATAGAAAGAAAAAATTATTGACACTTAATTGCAGTTCTTAAGAATAACCAGCAGATTTTTAAGTCCAGCTAATGTTTGGTATTTAACCAAAAATATGGATTTAATTGGCTTTAACTTGCATACATAACCAAAAAACTTAACTGGGTCAGATTTTTTTTTTTACTGGATTAGAGCCAACTGCTTATTTTTAAATTGTCATAATATGCAAGTACACCTAAATACTATATATTTTACCTGCAATAAACCTAAAATTGGCCAAAACGATAAATTTACACCGCGAAAGTATGTTTCAACTTTTTAGTAAAAATGTTCAAACTTTTAATTTCTCGCAAAATTAGATGTATAATGGTTTATTACAAATGAAAATGTACGCAATATTTTATTAGTAATGGCCAAATTTAATTTCCGGGCTATTATGTCGTTGACAAACGTTTTTTTGTTAATTTCGTTTTTTTAACATCTCGTGGTAATTTTTTATCGTTAAGGGTTTTAAATATTTTATCTCGTGGTAGTCGCATATTATAATAACTCATATGGAATATTAAGTTGACTGTAGAGACATAAGACATACCGTCATAGGCTCGATATTCTATATTCATAATTCTAAGGTTACACATATTATTGTTAGAATGAAAAGAAAAAAAATCAATGTGTTATGCAAGAGAATCGTCGACCGAATCCGCTGGTACTAATCAGCGGCGCACTTGTACTGCTTCTGTAGAAGCTCAAAAGTTCGGATCAGCTATCCTTCGTAGACCAACATAGAACAAACGTGTTCATGTGGTACTTAACGCCTGATATAACGCGCCCTAGATTTGGCGGGCGGCAAAAACCCAACAATGTTGTGCGTATCGTCGTCCTAACCGAATTAACACTCATTTAATTATAATAATATACACGCAGTTCCAGTAGTGATTTGTTATAATTAAATTTACCGCGGCGCTCACAGGTCAGTAGTGCTATTTGTATTATCATTTTATAGTAGCGTCCGTAAAAACCTACCATGGGGTGTTTAGGGGTATGGAAGATAAGGCGATTTTGGACATTTCGGATTTGCGGTGTACCGAATCCGATTCCGGCAGCACGTCGGCACTCGACGGTCTACTTGGAGCGGCCGCGCCTCGTTACAACGGTATACTTACCTACCGAAGGCGCACTTCCTATACCAAACAGAGTTGGACAAAATTCGGATTTTGAAAACCCAAATTCTTAGGACAATGCGAGTCGTAACACTATTTTTAACAGAAAATGTCTATTTTAATTGTTAAGAAACGTTTCCTTTAGGGGCTGAGGCGGATTGGCCCACAGGAAAAGAGGGATTCTGCTTGTGAGCTCTCGTCTATCTCGGTGGCCCCCAAAGTATCATTATATTTCAAAATAAAATTAATTCACTAGCGAAGCCAGCAAATTTGTCCCCATATTGTGGCCCCTTGAAAATATTTCCCTGTTACAAAAAAACTACAAATCCACCCGTGTTCAGAGGAAACAGCATTGAGCCTTAATGACCCGTTAAGATTAAAACATTTTTTTAAAAAGGAGCGCACCACGAATTACCCGGTTAGGCAGCATAAACAACTCTATAACAATCAAAACAAAGGTCCAATTAATTTCATTTATATATTTAAATACAATATATTTTAATACAAGACATATGTATGTACGAATTAAGATTTAGGGTGTTCCTCATATATCATGGCCAAATGAGTTAAATAAATCATCTAAATTTTTGGGATTCTTATTTGAATCCATTTGTTTTTCTGTTTGACATGAATATGCATAATACATTTAAATACAAATACATTTTTAACAATTTTTTACTTAAAAAGGTTTAGAATAAAGTGCAAATATGTGCCTATGCCTATGATCTTTCATAGGTCTAATTAATCAATTTCAAAATTCATCAAATCGGTCATCAACTATCCATTGCAATCTGATTACAATATAGTTTGTTAGGACAAAATGAATCAGTTGATCGCCTTTCCAACAGAATCAGTTTTTTTCTCAAATGGCCAACTTATTGTGAGACAACTAAACAAATAACTGCAGAGCAGAAAACCTCATATTCCGGTCCCCTTACAGTCCCTGATTTTAAAGCATTTTTTTTTTTAATTTGGTATATTCAAAATTCTGAAAATCCGCATTTTGCTCGACTCTGTCGTGTGATTTTCCCTTGACAAACTTTCAAACAGTAATACTATTTTAGACTACGAATGTGAAGTCAGAAGCCCGTCAGAACGATGTGACGACAACGACCAGTCGTCCGGTTCGTTGAGTGCCGATCAAAATGTCTGCATGGGCAATGTAAAGCGGAAACAACGCAGATACAGGCAAGTATTATCTAAGTATAGTATTGTAAGTTTTTCGAACGAAATTCGTTGTTACATAAACTTTTTACTCGTAAAACACAGAACCACTTTTACAAACTTCCAACTGGAAGAATTAGAAAACTCTTTTCAAAAAACACATTATCCAGACGTGTTTTTTCGTGAAGAGTTAGCAATGAAAATTGACTTGACCGAAGCTAGAGTACAAGTAAGTCATTTGAATGTTTTTAAATACATTTTTTTTTCTTAATGGTTTGTTTTTTAGGTATGGTTTCAGAATCGCAGAGCTAAATGGCGCAAACAAGAAAAAAGTTTAATCGGTCAACATCAACAACACGAACAAACCATAAATCCTTGTTTATCAGGTTTGGGACACTCGAGGGCTGAGGCATACGTTTATTTTATTTTTATAAATATACATGATATAATATTTTTATTTAATAACTGAATCGGGTACGGTAGGTTTATTAAAACGAAACGCATAGATTTATTATTATAGTTATTCGGTCTCCATTTCTTGTTTTAGTAATAGATCCAAAATCCAAAAATAGTATATTTTCTCGTACATGGTAATTTTTCCACTAATTTTTTTTAACATTTTTTATTCCAACAATTATAATGTTATATTATATACAGCCTAATATATATAAATATTGGAAAATTGACTGTCATACCAATAAGGAACTACAACCCCGAGTGTGAGTTTTATGGGGGAGGGGGCAAGGGGTCTACTGATCTCCCCTAGGTCTTTTTAATTATATGCAGAGTTTATCCAAGTTTAAATTCATACAGACTTCAATACATTTTTTTATTAAAATTACGTCACTCCCGTAAATTAAGATCCGAGTACATCCTTAGCTAACTTCAAATAATATTCCTGTACCTATTAAATAAAACATAATATTAAAATTTAAAGCTTTAAAAATGAAAGTGATAATTTAATTAATTTCACAACAATATTCCTAGAAACAGCTCATTTAATATAACACCAAAAAATATATTTGCCACTAATACAAATTTCTTAGCCATTTCTTCTATTCATAAATTAAGAGGGCATCGCACTGCCCATTTTTAAGGAGTAAAGTATTAGCAATTTTTTACAAAATCTTAATTTAAAGGTTAAACTGTGATGTGTAGTCAATACTTAATAGTTCAATAACCAGGACTCTATTTTGGTAGTTTATTTATTTTTTGGACTACCACAGCATCCTTGAAAGCGTTTTAAAAATGTTTTTTCATCTTTACATGTTTAAGCAAACTGAAAATAACTCGCTTAAGTTTGATTTTAGAGTAAAAGCACCCATTATAAAATTAAAAGAGAACAATATTCCGGAAGGCAAGACGGTGCGTTTTTTTCATTATTCCAAGTACAACGCTCAATACATAGTTTAGAAATAAAGACTATTTTAACATTTTTAAATGACTGTAACTTTTCAAAAAATACATTTTTTTTTAAAACGCACCGTTTTGCCCTCCGAAATATTGTTCTATTTTAATTTTATAATGGGTGCTTTTACTCTAATACCAAAATTAAGCGAGTTATTTTCAGTTGGCGTAAACATGTTTTTACCACTGAAAATCACCGGTGCGACACCCTCTTAAGATGTATTTATTGTATAATATGTATGTTATTTATAAATTGAACGTCAGTTTGTATATTAGTAAAGTCGCATCAGTTCATATGAAAATGATTTAAGTTTTTTTTAATATTTTTACTTTTGGTAGATAATCAGATGTTTGGAACCACTTCGAGCTTGCTTCCTCAGCCCGATTGGAACAGTTTCTGTTCATACAACTCATTTCAGTCGCCCTCGACGTTTGATAAGGACTTACAAGCAATCGATATCGACAATGATCTACTTCGGTTCAAAACTAGAGAAATTCATGAAGATGACATGCTTATGACGCCTCCGTCATAGACAACAGTTATTGTCATTCGCCTATTGGTTATGTGATTTGTTGAATGCAAACATATTGTTAATTAAAATATTATTATACATGTATAGTGTATACACCTTTTGTATGTCTCTCATTTATTTCATTTTACCATTAATTTTATATTATTAGATTACAAAATCAGTGATATCACAAACACCAAATATATTAAGAGTTATCTGATTCAGAATTCAATTTCATATGATTTATACGCACTGTACACGCTATTGTTCTTCTTCTACTTTTGATTGAATAGAATTACTGAATAATAGCTAGATTAATAGAACAATAGCCACCTATTATACGACTTGCGAGTAGACTAAGTTGATTTTAAAACTCCAAAGGCCATTCTGCATTCATCCTTTCACTTTGCTTTTCTGGATATTAGACTTCTGTAACTTTAGCATTTGAGAATGAATGAGATAATCGAGATATTTGATGGGAGTGTCATTCTGTTACATCTGTTACGATGTAGAACAATAAGCATAATAATAGATGTAATATTTACAAAGGGTAGATTGACAGAGTAAAGAAGCCTTCCTGTGGAGTAACTCGATAGAGTTAATTAAAGATATTATTCGCATTTTATTATTCTATTGAACTATCTGCTAGTTCAATAGTTACTAGCACGATACGACCGCCTTTTTAATAATTTTTAGGCGTCACGAATAGTCGCCGAGATAGGTCAGAGATGAGAGATTTATGATGATGATTTGTTCGGTTTCTTAAGTGTGTGTCGTGTAGTTTCACTAGTTTCAGTCACTGTAGAAATGTTTAGGTTTTTGGAAATTGAGTGATTGAAAACATAATATGGAGCTTTACAAATAGCACGTAAAACTTTCGATTGTAATCTCTAAATACGGTTAGTGTTTAGAACGGAAAATTTAATTGTTTATTTATTTAACTCTTGTTTCTTTCTAGCGACTTTAAATTTCTATTGCTTTTAATTGATTTATTAGTTACCGCATCATCTATACGTATATTCTTTAAGCACAATAAAAAATGCCCCATTTTGTAAACAACTCATTGATGAGGTTAAGTAATTAAACGATTGGAAGGAAGTAGTGTGCAAACAGTTCACTCCCAGGTTAGAGATTATTTAAGGGGAAAAAAGGTAATTAAACGATTAAAGTTTGTTAGTATAATATATTTTACTTAGTGCATTTTTTTTTAAATGTTTAAAAATTATATTTTTATTTTAGGTATAACAAATGGCAAACCATTTAACCATCTAAGTTTCAGAGCTTGCATGTTTCACATGAGTAAGAAATTACGTACTATTAATGCATTTATATAAAAAAACCTCTTGCGTTAAAATGCTATCACGTGTGCTGTGGACTGTGGAGACAAATTCTATGGCTATTGTGTTTACTTCTATGGTTGCTAAGGCAACGTTGAAACCCAAACATTATTATTGTTATTACTTTTAGCCATTCCATTAATTTGTGTATAGTATATACTGGTACTACATCATGATATCTACATATTTGCTTAAAATTATACTGTAATATGAAACTATTTCGGTAATTGTAAGAAAATACATTTTTTGCGAACAAATTTATAATGGTTCAGTTTGAGTTAAAGAAAATGTTGGCCGTTTCGGCGGATGATATGAACGAGCAAGAATTAGATCAACTGTATGATGAAATCACAATGGTTGAAAGTGATCAGCTAAATTTCGATTTAGATCAACTCCAAAGTGAAAACATGTTTAAAATGTTCAAAAGAATATTATTGTACAAAGGAGAACAAGTAAAAAAATAATACACGTTTGTTTAATTAGGATTTTAAATAATTTTCAATTAATCATAGGTAGATTCTTTAATGACTGAAATCGAAGAACTGGCGACTAAACAAGGAGAAGAAGAAGCGAGAATAATTAAAGATGGGGGAATGAATATTGTTAGCGCGAGCAATCAAAGTCAAAATAAACGTATGTGACTAAACGAATAATGTATTTTTTTTTAATTATCGAGGGTAGGTTCTATAAAATTGATATATTTTCGCAATGGAGATACATTCAGGAATTAAATGTTAATTATAAGTAAATGTTTATTTTTCGAAAAACATTTTTTTGAAAAATGATAAATGTGTAAACAACCGACTGTATGTTTTTTTACAAGTAGAAACTGAGTTTATTCAAAAAGAATTAAACAAATTAGAAATGGAAAATCAACGTTTAATGGCTGATGTACAAATGCATAAAACAGAAATCGACTGCAAAGTCAAGGAAATCGATAAGGTTAAGATATTGTTACATATTTTTTTTAATAACTCTCAATTAGATATCGAAACCTGACATTCTTCTGCATTAAACAGTTATCAGCACAGTTGTCAAAAACTGAGCGCGAAAAGGATTCACTCCGAAGAGAATTGGATGCCGTACAGGATGATTTTATAAATCGGCCATCCGACGACCAAATGACAGAAGGCCACTTAACAATGGCAGAAAGATTTAGAGACTTAACTGAATTGGTTAGACAAAAAAATCAACACATCACGCAACTGCTGAACGACATCGAAGTTAATAGCAATAAATAAGCATTTGTGTGCTAGTTAAACAACTAACGGGCAATTTATGTATATTTTAGGTATCAGAAAAGGAGAATAAAATGATAAAACAAATGTTAGCGTCCACGAGGGATGAACTCCGAAACGCTACGGTGCATATAAATACATTAAGTTCTGAATACGGGAACATTAAATGCTTGCAAGATGAATACATAGGTATTGTCTACTGGTAAACAAATAAATATTTTGTTTTTTCGTTATTAAGCAATTTGTTCATCACAGATCGGATACTGACTCTAGAGCTAAACGATAAGGGCCTTCGCAGTCAAATTGCTGAGCTAGTAGCAGAAAAAGAAAAGTGTGAAGAACAAATTGAAGAACTAGGCGATAAATTAGAATCCCGAATCAAACAACTTACTGTAAGTTCACATTTATCCGTTATGTACCTAATAGGCATATTCTTTAATAGCGGTAATAATTAACGGTTATCTTTGAGAATTATTTACATAATTATAGGAGTTGCTGTCCAAAAAAGATGAAGAAAACGTAAATTTAAAATCTCGTTTGGGACCATCGGGTACACTGGAAAGTCATAACGAATACTTGGCAAAACTTCAAGAAGTAAGAAAATTACAAAATAGTCAATAATGATAGTTTGAGGCTTAAAATTAACATATATATTTATACATTAATATTGTTAGACTGTAGCTAGACAAGAAGATCAATTAGCGGAGTTTCAAAAACAAATTCGTCAAGCCACTAACGACTTGAACCGAAGTTCTGCTGCGCTCGAGCACCAAAAGAAACTATACAACGAGTTGTAATTAACTATTACTAAACGTTTTTTCAATTGGAACAACAATTATTGTCAATTTAAATTGGTAAATTAGTTTATCCGTATAATTAATGTTTGTATTTATAGGTTAAACAAAAGCAACGAAACCCCTGAGGTGATTGACTTGCGGCAAAGATTGCACGAAACCAAAAAGCAGTTAGAATTGACTACAGACAAAGCGAAAATAGCAGAAGAAGACGCTACCAGGAAAGCAGAGCAGGTACAGTTTTTCTATTAACTAATTTATTGATAGTACAATAAATACTGAATTAAAGAAATTATTATTGTAAAGTATTAGAATACTTCTAATTAATTAGCTTATAAGTTTAATTTATTGAACAATATTTTGACAGATTAGTAAATTAATAATTCAAGTTCGCGATTTCGAATCGGGAGTTTTTGGATTAGAAGAAGCGTTGGAAGAAAACAGAAAATTAAAAAGAGATCTAGAAATAAGAGATAATCAAATAGAAGAGTTAATTGATTCCAGTAATAGATTGCATCAAGAAGCAGACCTCTTAGAACAAGACAATCTGGCAATGAGAGAAAAATTAGGATTGTCCGTCGACGAAGTTGTAAGGCCCAAAGGCATGATAGCAAGACACAAAGAAGCACAAACTAAGATGGCCATGTTGCAAAAAGAACTAGACGAATGCAAAGAAACCATTGTTAATCTCAAATTAAAAGTAAATCATAATCACATAAACTAGAAAAAGTCATTAATTGTAATATATTTTAGAATCGTAGTTTAAACAAGTCTACAGAATCTGTTAGAAATATTCCCCCGGACGGAGAAGGCGTTCAAACACAAAATGAGATTTATAAACACGAGTCTGATTTAGGATCCGAATTAGAAGATAACGTAAAAGAATTGATTGATGAAAACGAATCACTCAGGAAGGGAATGCATGAAATACTCGACAGTGTACACAACCAAGATGGTAAGTAGGGTCGGCCTGGTCAGGGCTGCAAGGTTAGGGTTTACTGTGTAAAAATAATGTTTGAGGGCCCTTTTAAAGATTCCGAGGTTCTTTTGACGTCAGCCCGACCCTGATGAATGATGATTAAAGATTTATGTAATGATTATATTTGACCTCTTTTTCCTCCATGTTTTTCTTCTTCTGACGCTCTAAAGTCTAACTATTTTAGCTATCTTTAGCTGGTGAGTAATATCTCGTAGTTGATGAAGCGGATAAGTAAGCCTCCTCTATTTCATCGTCCTTCTTCTACATGGCTATATCACGCTATATTTTTTATGTCTGACATTATCGCCGAATCTTATACATACATGTTCTATCATTATAAAATTATTTCTATTTTACGCAATCAAATTGAGAAAGTTCACTTCCTGAGAAAAATGGCAGTATAAGTTTAAATAAAATCCATTATTCATCTAATCCAGGACTTTTTTATAATTTACTAAACATTTTTAACAGTTTGAATATTACCAAAATAATTGTTGAGATGACGTTTTTTCTACACCATCAATTAATTCCTAAATTTATTCCAATGATATATTAACAATATTGTTGTCATTAAATTATAAAGTTTTAACGTCTTATACAGGAGCAAGTTTTATTAGGATCGAGTGTGAAAGCTTGGAAAGACTTTTGCAAGCTATGGATGCTAGACACGTCGCTGGGTGGTATCAACCCGGAATGCGACTTTTGGCTAGAATTCATCATTTAGATGGTGTAAACTCAAATTTAAGACATCAACTTCATTCACTACAGTAAGCTATTAAAATGCACTTGGTGTGATTGATCCATTTTTAAAAATATAAAATATGGTCGTTCATTATGTAGCGACGCCTTAACTGAAACTCAGAAAGAATTGCAAAGCGTACAAAACAGCCTACCAACGGCTAAAACCATCGAAGACAGTAAAGAAAATGATATTACAGATACAAATAATCTGAATAAGGTACAGCTACATTTTTATTATCATTTATATTTCAATGTTTTAAGACATTTTTTGTGCATTTATGGGTGTTAAGTTACAAAAAGAACAAGAGAAATCAGCTCAACTAGAAGATGAGGTAAAATTGTTCCAAAACAAGTTTCAGCAACTACGAGATGAAATGAAAACTTTAAATTATGAGTATGACGTAGAAAAAGATAAAATGCGGTCCGTAGTAGAGAAATTAGAGTTAGAGCTGCATAAAGCTCGCGATGAAGAAAAATCATTAAAAGAACGGTATTTCGAACTTGAAAAATCTTGGAAAGCCTTAATTGACGAACCCGATCAGATCAAGCGACAGCTTTCATACAATGTCATAAGGTTTGTATTGTAATTATACTAAATATAATCAATGAAATGTCTTAAAAAATGTTTGTACTTAGAGTGGCTGCGTTAACCGAAGAACTTCATGTCACTAAACGTATGTACGAATGTTGTCTTGATTCAGAACAAATCCAGAAAAAAGACAAACAGAAAGCGTTTGAAGATATGTGTGCAATTAAGACAGCGTATAGTAAAGAAATAGAACTATTATTAAAAATCCAAGTATGTTATTTCTAATTAAAAAGTTTATAGTAATATTATCGTTTTCCTTTTTAAATTGTGTTATTACTTATTATCATCTTTTTACAATAAATTATGTGATAATTCGCTAAAAAATAACAATTATTAAATGTATTTTTTAAATCCTCGCAGGAAGAAAAAAATAGCGAGGTGAACAAAATGAATGAACAAATGAACAATAGTGTACACATTCACATGTATCAATCATTACAGCAAGAACTTGAAATTTTAACTATAAAACACAGAAAAACATTACATTTAGCATTATTTAAAGTAAGTTAAATGATCAACGATTATTTAATATTTATACTAATCGGTACACTTAAAGTGTTTTAGACTATCACATTGCTTTTATTTGCAATCATAAAAAATATTGGAATTTATTAATATACTTTTTACAGGAGGATACGTACAAATTGCTGACTGAACGATTAATGGCGGAAGTTGTGTTCTTGAAAGATCAGCGACAAAACGGTGTGATTACAGCTTCAAAATTAAACGGTTTAGATAACGATCTGGCTATGTTAAAAGCGGAAAACGTTTCTTGCGTACAACGAGCAGAGCACGCTGAAAAAATGTATTCCTTAATAAAAGGTCATTATTAAAAAATATTTACTAATAAAGTATTTGTTCAAAATATACAGACATCGTACTATATATTACCACGGATTGATATTAATGTATTTTATAATAATCGATGATATTATTTAATTGTTTTTTTATAAATATCGTTTATACAGATCAAATGGGAGAAATGGAAGCCAGATGTAAAAGTCTCGAGCAAAATCTTTGCGACATGATCGATGCCAACTTAAAATGTCAAACAGAAGAAGTACGTTTGCGCGAGACAACTGTGAATATGGTCGAAGAATCCGAGTATGACAAAATAGCTGAACAATATAAAACTGCTCTTAATAATCTAGTTAGTTATTTTGTAATGTAATAAACACAATTTTATTTCTTTAAAAAATTATACATACTATATGGTACTTTAATATTTATCAGAATCAATCAATAGAAGAAAGAAACCGGTTACTTAGAATATTAGACATCACCCAGAGCCAAGTGCAAGATCTAGAACACCATCACAAACGATTGGATCACAATCATGATGTTATGCAAAGACGGATTATTGAATTGCAAGCTTTAAGTGAAGAAAAATCAACAATTGGTAAGACCGTTGGTATTTTATATTTATTATTAATGTAACAACTTATTTGTTTATACGCCGAGATTAATGACGTTACCACAAATACATGAAAACGATTAACGAAACAAAAATTATTTCGTTCTCCATGTGAAGATGGTAACATTTATAATCTCTACTCTTTGCTAAATTTGTTCTAAATTCAATAGACAGATTAATGCGGGAAATCGCAAGCCACGAAGATAAACAAATAGCTTCGGCTATAGAAGAAAACCGATTAAAGGCGTTAGTACAAGATCAGCAAACAATAATAGCCAATTTGGAATGTAAAAATGATGACATTTTAGAAAAATATAATTCGATTACCGAACGCTACAAAACCAAAATAATGTAAATTATTGATAATTAGTTTTATTTTTAATACATATTAACCAAATAAAAACATACATTTTTGTAGGAGATTGGAAAAAATTGTAGTCGATTTGCAAAACCGTTATTGCGGTGCAGTACCATTAGTGTCCGAACAAATTTGGGTAACGCACAAACAAAAACTTGAAGAAGCATTAATGATCACGTATCGGAAATGGCTTGATGATGATGATAAAGAAAAGACCATCGCTGACGATATAGTTTTCGTACCGATTCAAACATCTGATGATTATCGTTTAGAATTTACTCAGCTGCAGTTAAAGGTACGTATAAAATGTGAATACAAACCATGTGCAACAGACACTATGAGACACTTATTAAATAGCTATGTTTAATAAGTACATTACCATATAGAGGTTATTCAATCAAGATTTAAAATAAATCTCGATAATTTGTATAAAAATATCTACTTACTAATAAATAATAATTAGCTTTTTGGTTTTACGTTAAAGGAATTAAACGTACAGATGACTTGTGACGATTTGCGAAAAAAAATGCAGCTTTGCACGGAACGAATCGAAAAACAAGACTGTTTCATCAAAAGTCTTGAGAAAGAGATATTGAGAATGGATACCAAATACATGCATAATTTTTTATTATGGGGATCTAAAGACCACGAATTCATGGATGCCACAGAAAGGCCAAAGAAATTAGACAAACAAATCAGCGCTCAGACGGAAAACGATTTTGAAACTTTAGAGAACAAAATCGAAGACTTGAGTAGGCAGTTAATAACAGTTAGTGTCACTTCAATATTTTTATAGTTGGCGCATTTAACAGTGTACTAACCTCTAACTTGCAGGCAAACAACACAATTCGAGCGGAAAAAGAACGCAGTAATTTAGCAATTGAAAAACTGCAAGCATCAATGAATGATCTAGAAATTTGCAAGAATCTATTAGAAAATGAACTGGTTGAAAAAGACGACCATATAAGAAGACTAAACATCGCCTTGGCATCAAACGAACCGTCAGACAACAACACACAAAATCCTGCACTGTTGGCTACAATAGAAAGTTTAGAAACGATTATTAGCCAAAAAGAGGAAACCATAAATAGGCTTCAAGAACTTCTAAAGGAATGCCGAGAAGAACACGCGAAAGAAATAACGGAATTACAGAAGAAAACAGAATCTCTGAATTTAAACACTAAAAAGTAAACTATTATTTTTTTTTATTTATTAATTTACATAAGACCGATTTACATAAATAATAGAGAAATTTTAATTTACAATTGTTTTAGATCGCAGGAAGATGTGGTTTCACCCATTCGCTCTACCAACATTAGGCCTGTTGTCAATCAATACATGTTAAAAATAGCCGACTTAGAAGATAGGCTTAAACAAGCCGAAGACGAACTGAATCAAGCGAATTCAGAAAAAGAACATTGGAGTGGTGTGGCTGAAAGAAGGCTGAAAGAAATGGAACAAATGAAGACCGAGGACGAATCCAAAGAGAAAGATGCAGAGATAACAAGACTTAACGAAATTATAATGGGGCTACAAGCCAAGAGAGATACTTTACCAGCTCAGAGAGATAGATTAAGAATGGAAGTGGATAAAATGAAAAAAAAACAAGAAGATTCCGAAAGGCGTGAAAAGGAAGACAAAGCGGAAATACAAAAGTTAAGACAGCAGATAATTTACAGGTATGCAAATTAATGATAAATAAATCAATTTCTAATTTTATATTTATAATTTACTATAATATACCAGACCACCTGCCAGTGGAAAACGAGACGAAACTATGACTGTTGTGAAAGAAGAAGTCTTGTGCAAAAAAATAAAAACTTTGGAATCAGAATTGGACGAATACAAAAAAAGAGAAGAACAAAATAAGCTTCTCAAAAAAATGAAAGTCAGTGGATCTATGATTAAACGAGAAATAGATAATAATAAAAACACATTTTTTTTTAGTCCGACGAACTAGTCGGCAAATGGGAGATGAATAAACGTCGTCAAGCAACCATCGAAAAACTTCAAACTCAGTTGCTTGAAGTTACCAGAGAGTGTGAATCTCTACGGTCGTATAACCAAAGACTGAGAGAGAATTTGGCACGAATGGAAAAAGACCGGAACGGTTTAGAATTAAAATTGAAATCTGCCAACTGTAAATTTTCTCTTAACTTGTATTAACACTTAAAATTGTGTAAAATATAGATTAATTAGTATTAACGTTTGATTAGCCGCTGTACAATCGAGCGCGTTAGCAAACAGTCTTATCGAGGAATTAACTTTAGAGAAGGACAGACTAGCTAATGAATTGTATACTCTTCGTAGTGCCAAAGAATTGACATCAGGCGGTACGTCACTAGCCGAGGTGGTCGTTGAGCTCAGGCGCAAGATATCTGCTTTGGAATTACTACAAAAGGTAATCGATTCGGGGTTGGTTATAACTTTTGAGCCTTACCTCTTTTCTCTATACATCACTGAAACTTACTGAAAAATCAAACATCTGTTTTAGGGTGGAAGTAGTGCTTTGATAAAAGAAATAGAAAATTTAAAGGATAAAAAATGTAGACTGGAAAAAACAAAATCTGCACTCGAAGAAGAAAATATTAGATTAAAGAAGACCGTCGACCGATTACAGTCCGCAGATAATATGTATAACACCCGTTGTTCGATAACGTGGTCAAAAAAGGTTTGAATACAATATTGTGTGCTTATATTATGCAGGAGTGGAGTGTCCAGTTTGAGTTCAGAATCAGACCTTGGTAACGACAGAAAACGCACGGCAAAACTAGAGCGGTTAGTGATTATGCTGAGAACTGCCGTCGACAAGTTGAAGGAAGAAAACAAAAACTTATCTCTCGAACGAGTCGTTACTAACATTGATGATAAGGTCGGTCAGGTATTCAATTCTAAGCATGTTTAAATAAATTTACCAATTTTATTTGTATACGAATTAAATGTAATCTAAGATTTGGCAAAACCCGAATTTTTCTTAAAAAGACTTCACAGTTTATTTTTTTTTGGCCATAAAATCAATAAAACCTGTTTTTTATTAAATTCGAAACATTTTCTAGGATTTCGTTTAAGCTTAGAAAACGTCTTTTGGTTGTTAAATGAACTCCATTTAATAAAATTAATTGCTTTAGCGTAAGCCATAAATAAAGTAGAGCTTTGCGAGGACCACTGTAATCGAGGACTATTTAAAATAAACGCTTATGATGCATTAATTTTGTTGTCGAGTCAAGTGTTTAAGCTGTAACGATTTTTTGAATTTGTTGGTTTTCAGAGTTACGTTGAAAAATTACAAAAAGAACTGCAATCCATTCAAAGCTATTACTTGGACTCGAGCGAAAAGTGTTCTCATTTAGAACAACAGTTATGTGATTTTAGGTCGCAGTATCAAGCGGTGTTGGCTGAAAACGAGAACTTAAAAAATCAATTAGAAAAAAAATGCTATCTATTGAGCAAAACTAAAACCATGTTAGAAAAAGCAGCGGCAAGAGAACAGCTTATAATGGAGCCTGATCGTCAAAAACCAATTTCCAGCACTCATTTTATTGATTAGGCACCTATTTTTCTCCCACTCCTATAATATAATTTTTCTATTTTCTTTTTTTTTTATAACTGTTAAGTATCAAATTCCAGTCTACTCATGTGTTCAAAGATGATAATAGTCTTATATATTTTCAAAATATGTTATTTTTATATTCTACACTATACCTAAGCCCTTTAAATAAAAATATGTTTAAACCTGACATAAATCTAAATTTTTAGCAATAACCCCGCTCCAATTACAATCCTCTCAAATGACAATTTACTGTTACAACGATTTGGTAACCCATTTTTTCCCTCGTTTAATAAAACTTAAGCAAGGGAAGAATAGGATTATTGCATGGATTTCCGATATGAACCATCACCGTTACGGACTTGTTGATGTTATACTGGCTAATTTTTACACTTGTCATTGATGATGTTAGCTTGAAAAATATGAAACTTGTAAAAATTAAAGAAACCAAATAAATAATTAGTAATTGTAAAAGTTATGAAAGTTAATTTCTTGTCTATGGTTATGACCTTTTTTGTAGTTATCAGTCGAACTTACCCTAATACAGTAAACATTTTGACCCTACTAAGAGATTTTTTTCGGTTATCTACGTTAGCAATTAGCATGGCAACTAATAGTCCATAAATTATATGGAAATTAAAAAAATTAAAATTAAATATTGAGGAAGTTATACGTCAATGATTAAGCAGTGGTTTTTTTTTTAATTATTTGAATTCAACAACTTTGACAAGATACACATTCTTAATTATTAAAATTATCTAAAATCATTACTAAGTAGGTATCATTTTTTTTTAAGACGTTATATGTTAAGCGTTTTTTATTATTTACATTTTTAGTTATAAATGCACTTTACCGGATATGTTTTTTTGTTTGCCAATTTTTTAAGTTATTTACGCTGATTACGAATTTGAAGTCAGAATTAGGCGCACTCCTGTAGTTCAAAAGTTACAGCCACTTGAACTTTGAAGTTTTCCCCTTATAACAGTATAAACAATGGCCACAGGACATGTGACACGGCACCCAGAGCCTGCCGCCACGGGTAGGGGCGTAGGACCACACTGCGGTCGTCTCGCACAATAATATTCTTAAAGTTCAAGTAGCTGTAACTTTTGAACTAGAGGAGTCCGCCTAATTCTGTCATTAGATTTGTAATCAGCGTAAAAAACAGATTAACATGGGAAAAAAAAAGCTGTTCGGTAAAGTGCATACTGCATATTTTGTTCCCTGGGATGAAATAGACTGGAAAACCGTAACCTAACTGCAAACCGGTGTAAAATGTTAGGTTTAAATTTGTTCATTAAATAATAAATAATAATTCGCTCCCCCTCCAATTCGGTCAATCACTGTTATAAACCTGGTAACAATTTTGATTACAATGTCATTGACCCTGGTCCTATATATAATTTTTTTTGTAACGATTTGATAAGTGATAACAGATATCTTTCGGCATTCATTAGTTTTCAAAAATATGGAGCAAAATTACAACTGAATACTGATTGTGAATTCGTTAAGTTTAACAATAAAATTCACTTCAAACCTAATTGTTATTTCCTGTCTAGTCACATTACTTTTTGTATTTGTTTAAAATGGCCAGACGAAATGTTAATTTACATAACGTTTCTAGAATGGTTCGGTATTTTTCACAGCAAACATCCAATCAAGGTAATAGTTTTTAATTATTTATTTATTAAAAATCGGGCGGAAAAATTTGTTATTTGTAATAGGTATAATTTGATTACCTTGTTTTATATAGTCCCAAGTACAATATAACAACAGTTGGAAAATATATGTACTTGGGAGTTAACATGTGATTTTTCTTAAGTCATTCTTATACATTAAATTTGTCATAGTTTGTAATAATAATCATATTATTATATTTTCATATTCATCAAGCAAGTTATTATTTATGCTTTTAGAGACTAAAATTGTATCACGAATGGGGCAAATGAATGGAAAGCCTCTTTATTTAGATGCTCAAGCCACTACACCTTTAGTTAGTATTTGTCAAAATAGTTTTAAAGTTAATAAAATTGAAATTTATTATCTAGTTTATTTTTTAGGATCCAAGAGTATTAGATGCTATGATGCCTTATTTAACTCAAAGTTATGGAAATCCACACTCCCGTACACACATGTATGGATGGGAAAGTGAGGAAGCCGTTGAGACAGCTAGACAAGTATGGAATTAAATTATTATTAATCATTAATATTTATAATTTTTTATGATATTTTGTTTAGCATGTGTCAGATTTAATTGGTGCCAATCCTAAAGAAATAATTTTCACTTCTGGAGCGACTGAATCAAATAATATCGCCATTAAAGGAGTGGCTCGATTTTATGCTTCAAAAAAGCGCCACATCATTACAACACAGACAGTTAATATTTAAATATAGTTATACTTTATTTTTAGCGTATTAAGTGAATTTTTATGTCTACAAAATAGGAACATAAATGTGTATTAGATTCCTGTCGTGCATTAGAAGGTGAAGGCTTTGAAATCACATACTTGCCAGTAGGCACTACGGGTTTGATTTCACTAGAGGAGTTGGAATCCGCTATACGTCCCGACACTGCTTTAGTATCTATTATGGCAGTCAACAATGAAATTGGTGTTAAACAGCCCATAAAAGAAATTGGTAAATTTAATTTAAATTAAGCTGTTAGCTCACCTCCTATAATCGGTGATCCAGAATTATTCCCTAAGCTAATGCCTATTTGACCTATTTATTCCATAACAAATAAAATCTATTATTTCCTTAAGTTATTTGTTCTGGAACAAATGAAATCCATTCATTATGTTATTTTTATTGTAGCAATTAAATTATTTTCATATTTTATTTGCTCCGGAATATTACAGGAGCAATCAAATAGGCAACACTGGGCCACTTTTTAAAATAACATAATATTTTATTACAGGACTACTTTGTAGATCAAAAAAAGTGTTTTTCCATACAGACGCAGCTCAAGCAGTCGGTAAAATACCAGTTAATGTCAACGATCATAATATAGACCTTATGTCAATCAGTGGACATAAAGTTTATGGCCCAAAAGGTAATAAATACTGTTTATCAAAAAATACCTGCTACAAGTACTATTTGTCTTATTTTTAAATAAATATAAAGGTATTGGAGCCTTATTTGTGCGTCGAAAACCAAGAGTACGTTTAGAGCCTATCCAAAGTGGAGGAGGCCAAGAACGAGGTCTCCGTAGCGGCACAGTTCCAACTCCACTGGTTGTAGGTTTTGGTGAAGCTTGTAGAATATCAAAAAATGAAATAGAGGTATACCTAAAAAATTACTCTTACTTTTAGTTTTTTTTACATTTTTCTTTTTTCAAGTACGATCATGCATGGATGACAAATCTATCGAATTTACTGATTGAAAAAATAACCAAGAACCTTCCAGAAGTGATTCGCAATGGTGATGCCATACATACTTATCCAGGATGTGTAAATTTATCATTTGCTTTTGTCGAAGGCGAATCTTTATTGATGGCCCTCAAGGACGTAGCGTTATCTAGTGGTAGTGCTTGTACGTCTGCATCTTTAGAACCTTCATATGTATTACGAGCTATTGGAGCAGATGAGGATTTAGCACATTCTTCTATTAGGTGGACATTAAAAGCTAATAAAAACACAAATCTTAACTGTGTATAATAATAAATCAATATTATTCATTTATAGATTTGGCTTTGGAAGATTTACGACCGTCGAAGAAGTTGAGTACACAGTTGAAAGGTGTATCAAACACGTAAAAAGATTACGTGAAATGAGGTAAAAATATGCATATGTATTTAAATACTTTTTGCTTTTAACATGTGCTCCAAATTATGTAACAATGTATATTTATTTTTCTTTAGTCCACTTTGGGAGATGTATCAAGAAGGTGTTGATATCAAGTCGATTAAATGGTCTCAACATTAAACTATAGTAATCACAACGCATTACTAATTTATGATTAGGTATGTCTGTGATTGATTTAGTTGTAAACATTATAGTCTTTTGACGACCTCTCTGTTGCTTATTAAAAATAAACTACTTTAGAAATATAAAATTTACATACACTTATAAAATTAATTTGATGTAATCACTAAAATAAAGCCAATACAAAAAAATAGTAAGGTTCACATTTTTGATGTGATTATTGCAAGATTCATTAAATGAAATGAATAAATGTTATGTATTTTTAATATTTCTTGGTAAATGTCATAAACAATAGTTTTTATTTGTTTTTAGCTTGTTATGTGCAATAAAAATATTATTTAAAAAAAACTACTTTTTTATTTTGCTTCTCAAATTATTTTTAAGATATGATAGATATTATTAAGCATAAAAATAATATTTTTCATTATTGAACAAAAACATGACGTCATTTAAATATTAACACAGTAATAAAGGTATAATCCAACAAAAATATGTTCCTTTTGATAACACAGAAATAAATTTTTAATTTTGTTTTTGAGGTTTGTGCTGTTAAAAAAGGTGAAGTTTTCATATTTATGCTTCGATTTAAGTAGTGTTCAGATTTAAAATTTTAATTAAGATAAACTTTAATTATTCTAATTTCAAACTTCGAGTTTGAGACTACTCAAATTAATTGATTGTTTTGAATTCTAAAAAAGAACTAACAAAGATATTTATTCATTTAAATATAATAATAAAATAAAATCTAAAATTAAACAATAAGATTCGGTGTTGGTTCCTTGGATACACGTTTGCGCTTTGGCTTCATTATATTTAGCACATTGACTAGTGTTGCTAGTCGTCCGCTCAATATGTTTTCTGGTTCTTCGGCCAGTTTTTCAGCGGAAGAATCTAAAAATTGAATAGATAAAAATTATTACAATCAACGGTGAATGTATGAATCTGAAGTATTTTTACCAAAATCTGAAGATTTTGATGACTTTGACTTCTTTAGACTAGGCGATCTTGGCGTTGGAACTTTAGTGGATAGCACTTCTTTGGTTTCTTTAGGTTTTTCACAGTTTACAGCCTCGAGCTCTGTTTGTAGTCTCTTAAGTGCTATACAATTTCAGTCAATGTAAATGGGCAACTTGAAGCAAATTTCTTAGTTTAAAACTTTAACAGTTACCTTTCAATAGATCCATGTCATCCATTTCGGTATCGCTCAGCAATCTTAACTGTTTACAAAATTTTGTTGCAATTTTGCGGCGCACAAAGTCTGCTTCGATTTCTTGTTTTGTCCGAGGAATACGGAATCGCACGCAACAACACATTAATACCACTGAAAATGCAGTATCGTTTTTTAATATATAAATAATACACATAGGTATTGTAAATATTTAGTAATTACAATTTAGTTGGTTCAGCCTGACACGTAGCCAAAAGATCTATGGTGTCTGGTCATCAATTTTTTATTACCGCTCCACACTTCTGTCACCCTGAAATAAAGTCCTAGCTACATGCCTGGCGTCAACTATTGCAATTTATACAATGATGTTAATTTACCAAGTGTAAAGAAAACGATCATGACGAAAAATATAATATGCCAAACACGGTATCCATTGTATAGTTGCAACTCTAACCATTCTTCATCCACTTTCAATATGTTCAAGGGATCTAGTGTAGTCGTCGTGATAACACTTGTAGGGATTGGCTTAAAAATGGTCAAATCATATTATCAAGACACATTTATTAAATATTAAAATAACTGTGCTTTAATATAGTTGTTATAATTAGTGCAGTTAAAAAACAACTATTAATATTTATTAATTAAACAATTAAATTATCAATTTAATGGATTTTGGTTAAATGTTTGATCAGTCTATTAGTGTAGAAAAAAGTGACTAAATTTAATATAATCCTTGTTTTTTACCAATGTGTTTAGTCTTTGTTTTACCGTACCCAAATTTACACTTAAAGACTGCCAACCGGTGGTGGCTATTAACATTAATTGATTTATAATCAATGCTATTAATTAATAAGGGGCACAACATAGCCAATAATTGGCTATACATTTCTATCATGACACCTTGTTTTTTTGTATCGGTATTTCAAATAAAATTAAAATTACTTCGAAAAATAATGTTAATAATTTTTACTAAAATATATGTATCATACATTAACCGACACGCGGCGAGGCTACTAATTTCTAGATTAAACTATAACTTGATTAATAATAAGTAATAACGTATCGATGCTTTTTTATAAGAAATCTACCAACAATAATTACTATGTGTTAAAACAATGATTCTACCTGTCGCGTCTTTTTGTCTAATGCCAACACCTGTGAGCGACAAACTACAATGTTGATAAAAAATAATGACAATAATAATTTATAGAACAATAAAATAAAGAAGATATAATACTAATTACTACACTTTAAGAATACAGCATAATAAGAAAAACAGAGTGGATCATAGCACTATTCTAATAATGCCAATGATTGTTCAAAAGTACTTGTAATCAGCAAATATAATAACGATGAAGATACTTAGATACCTACTAATTAGTACTATAAGATAATTGTAATTCGTGACTATCTTGCTTTAATTTATGAATTATGAGTATACAGAATTGTCGTAATTATAATGTCTAAATTTCATGCAAGAACCAAGTACAAAATAATAATACGAAAGTAAAAATGTGTATAATTTTGTGCTTACGTATTTCAACGGCCTACATCGCCTGAAATTATTTTGTTGGGACATTTTTACCTCGTGACACACACTGTCATACTAAAGTCTAAAAGGTAATACGAGTTAGTGGCGGAAAAAACAAACTGAACCACACCCAATTATGGCTTTTAATTTTGGTTTTCAATCTAATAAAAGCAGTGACACGCAACTATTTTGCTAACCCAAATATACACTGCCACACCTAAACATATACAACAATAATACAGCCTGGAGATTTATCACACACCCCATACGTATTTGTCTACTCGTGTCATAAAAACGTATTTATTCCATACGGTCATAGTCGTCTCACTGACTACTGTGAAGATTATATTCAATGAAAAGTGTTTTGTAAATATTATGAAACGACATTTCAATTTTTTGATATTAAAATTTCATTCGAATTTTATTAGAATTTCATTGGCAAATGATGAATTTTTAAACACAAATAACGGGATTTTTTATTATTGATTTTACGTTATAACTTTTTGCGTCACTTCAAAAAAAAAATAGGCCGAAATAAATCATGATGGTACTTAGAAGATTAAAAGCGAATGTCAGCGCAGTGGCGTACTTAAAAGGGTGTCTAAGAGGTTAACCCCCCTCCCTAGTTTTATATATTTTATAACCATATAAAAGAAATGATATATTATCAATGATAACTTTAACGTTCTTAAGTAAGTGTTTAACGAGTAAATTTATACTGCTGAAACTTTTAGAGTGCGTGTACGGTAAAACATTAGTTTTTTGTAAGAAAAACACAGAACACAAATTAATTTAATAAACTTTTTTTGATTAAAAAAATCAAACGTGTAAAGCGTACCTATTAAGTACATATTAATTTAGTAGCACTTTGCACTAAAATACTCTAATTTGTATTTACCTATCATAACCGCTAGATCGATTTCTTAATTATATAGCAAGTCTATAGATGGGAAATCTCAAATCATACCATACAGGTACTTTTTAGAGCCAAAAATTAATAAAATTTAGTATTACCCTTTCTTCCAGGGTATATTCTAAAGATGTTTGTCAACATCGCATTAAAATTTAACATTACGCGAGTCGTGCCCCATAGACCCAAATAGGGTAGGGCTGAGGATGATCCCTCCTAATTTATCTTAATCTCTCCAAAAACATTTGTATGTAAAATATATATTTTGAAGTAATTTTTATATGAAGATGGGGTTCAACCTTCTATGTTTAATAGATATTTGTACCCATATTTTCTCTCCATATACTTTCACATAATCGACCTAAAATAAATCACAATTTCATATTTCATACTGCTTACTGAAAGTAGGTAGTATTAAACTTTAAAGACGTAATAAAAAATGTATTTAGACGTCGAACGCACAATATCAAAATATTTTGTTGAAAACGCTTTTTTATTGGTAATAGGAATTTTAGGTTAAAATAATTAGGTAATTATTTAACCAAAATAAATTTTATGTTTACCTTATCGACGGCCACTGCACTTAACCAGACGAGTAGGTCCGTTACACTATTTTGAAAATATATTAGGTTACCTACTTTCTAATGTTAAAAAATTAAAAGTAAACACTATCAAAAAGGTACTTGTATTAGATTTTGTGTAGGTATTTGACTAATACGAGCTACTTTATACTTTTTTTTTATATATATATGGCTAGAAAATAGAAAATACGAGCAATAAACCCCATAATATTCAAACTATGTAAACAATTATTTTCAACGACAAAAATGTTTTTCAACATTGCAAAAAACACTCAGTAACGCTTTAGATTATTATACACTGCTTTTCTTCAAAACCCAGAAGAGGTCGATAGTTTTGCTTTATTTCGGTTTTTTTTTAGTAGAAGTTAAATAACAGGGTCTAAATAATTAGATTAACGATAGATCGATCTAGTGTGTACCCGTACAAAGTACATAATTATAATTTGCCCCTTCTCATTATTATCACCCTCCCTCCTTCTTGACACCACATTGGTTTTTCACCCTCGGTCACAAAAAAATTCAAGATAAGTTTTGCAATTATTTTGAGTATTGCCTACATCAATGCACTTGCACGAATACGACTGTTCACTGTTGTCAGAAACGGAAGTCGCACACTGGGGCAAAGGGCCTCCAAAACTGGCAAAAAATAAATTTGAATTTAAACCACGAAAAAATTAGAAATATGTACCTATTATTATATTATTTTTGTTTGTACGATAACACGGTCAAATAGGTCACGCTATTTTAGTAACATGGTTAATTTATTGCTCGCCACCAAAATATGATATTATGGCACTTTTTCCCGCTCCTTTCACTAGGGCAAATATCGACGAGTCACCTCGATAAAAAATAATGTTTTATATGTTATTAATATTATTCCATTTTGTTTCTATTTTGAGATATTATCTAAATAATACATTTTTAAACTATGAAACCTTCGACGTAACGTATGTAATGATTCATTAGCCAATTTTTTGTTTGAAATGATTTACAATTTATATTTTATAGAAAGATTCTACAAACATTTAAAAGTTTTTAGTTATGTTCCGAAGTTGATCGTGTGCCGAATGTTTGTTTTTCTATTAAGTATGAGTTACAAGAGTAAAAAAAACTTTACACATTTTGCTACTTTCTGCTACTTTGTTAGTTATGTCCACATTTTGTCCAAATTAGCATAACACAATCTTGACTAAGGGGTTTCTTAGCTTACGCATACATCTCGCCATATGTTTCTATTTATATTTACTAAATAATAACCCTAATAAATGGTTTAAATAAAGAATAAAATAATAATTGAAAAATGAAATAAACAAAAATTGTATTAGTTTATAAATAGTTCCGCATTTTATTATATTATATTTTTTGCCAATTTTGGAGGCCTCTTGCCCCACTGTGCGTCGGACACTTGAGTGAGGGGGTTCGGCCATCTCGGCCGTTTTCCCGTATCGATTCATATGCCCTGCGTTAACTAGCGGCAAATATTGGCACCAGAATACACGGGAGATAAAGAGAAAGAGAGAGATAGCGAGCTATGTGCAAATGAGAAATTTTGTTGGTCGCTCCGGTACGATTCGCCGTCCGTCGGGCGTCACTGGCGGGTACCTACTGTGACAACACGTGTATTGTTGGTTGATACGTCTTGATAATATTCATTATTCCTAGTGAGTAGTAATAAAAAAAAAAAGATAGGCAATAGCCAACCGATTTTGTAGATTACAGTAGTCGATATTGTATATTGGTACAAAAATTGGGTAATAACAATTTACAATATTATTATATTTTATTAGTCGTCGGCTGTCCGGCGCACGGCAACGATTTTGCCTCCTATCAGTATTCAGTCGTCAGCGGTCAGCACAACGCCGCCCCGTTCAAATATCGTCGAGATTGTACACACACATTTCAAACAACAAAATATAGAGAACTAAACAATTCAAAATATAACAGAAAACTACTACACAATAGCATAAAGTTAATCATGTCGGTCAATAATTGCAACAGCAACGGCAACGTAGTCGTTCAGGTGGACGGCCCAAACGTACAATATTCCAAAGACTTCATCGAGTCTACCATCGAGTATCCGATTAACTACGCCACGAAAAAAGACAACATTATTTCGGTAATATATTTGTTTTTTTATCAATTTTTATCCAAAGAATTCAAACTTGCCGACTATTGAATGCGTTTTAAATGAAATTCAAAAACAATATACTCGATTAAACCGCATACATTATACGCTAAAGCTATAAAGTATAGCTATTGTTCGCTAAACACTTGCTAATGCTGAGATAATTATTGCACTTTTGAAATAATATGATGTTTTACATCTTAACAGCTGAAAAAATTTAAGTAGTAAATTATGAAGAAAAAAACCTTCCCAAACAAAGTTTAATGTACTTATATTGAAGCTGTAGTAGCCACAGTAGGTACACAGCTATATGAACATATTTTCATATAGTCTGTAGTAGCCGGTAGGTACAGGTGTCTCGTGTCAGGTTATCAATACTACAGGTAGTAGGCATTATATCGAATGTCAATTAGTTATTTTAGACCTGCAGACTATAGTGATTTTCAATGTCGATCGTTATCAGCATAATAATGTATATTGTTATCGTCACAATCGTAAACCGTACTGCGTACACAGCTGCTGCTGGCACGCAGGTAAATATATTATAAACGATGCCTTGTTTGATGATACCAAAATACTGATAAAAAAATGCAGTTTTTCAAATTTAAAGTTTACTTTATGCCTACTTTTTTATTAAATTTTCTTACTAGATTCTGTTTTATATTTATTTATAGTACCATTTCAATGCTATACCAACATTAACGATTAACCATACTTACCATCTCTTCACAAATCATATTATTGGCGATGCAAATGACATTTTGTTATGGACACTTGTTTATTAGGGTTCCTGCCGGTCGATTTGAGCCCTCGAAGGCCATAAAACTATTAACAATTATCTTATCCTTATGAAAAGAGGTTTATAGATTTAAAAAAAAAAATTATACGTATGTGTGAATATGAGTGTGTAACCCACTCTAGATCTACCTTCAGTCAATTTTTAGACCTTAATTCGTACTACACTCGAAGAGAAAAAATAAGTTTCCACCTCTATAGGAGAAAAGGTTTTTTGATAGTTGTTTGTTTGGTTTGTCAACGTACTAAGTCTAAACAATATTCCATACAAATCTGGAACTAATTAAAAAAAAAAAAAATAAAGCGCGCGAAAAGTATGTATATATTCTGGGCGTTTTTCTCAGTTTTGTAGGGAAAATGACGAACTTTTTAAATTTTAGTTCTAATATAGTACGATTTCTGTTCTATAGACTTGCTAGGTATATGAAGAAATCGGTTTAGCGGTTTTCAATATATCCAGGGTCTAGAAAATATCGTGGATCAGACACAAGAGTAAAAACTTATCATTTTAATAACCATACCTTTTTAGTTCCGCAACGAAGCTAAAATACTAACCGTTTCGAATTTAAATAATAAGGGGCAAAATATAGGCAATATTTGACAAAAAAAATGATTTAATTAATATTTTTAAAATATTGGTTTAATCAATATTTTGTCAAAAATTAAATGTCATGCAAATGTTGTTTAAATATTTGAAATAATTTTAGTATTTTTAATATTTAAAAACAATATTGATAAATTAAAAGATACCTATTACATTTCTGACCAAACTTTTTTTTTTAAAGGACGACTTTCTACAGTTTTCATTTATCACCGATTTCTGTCCGTTTCAAGGACAAGTCCATTTCTGTATGTTGTAATAAGAGGTTAATTATTATATAGTTTTTCAACATTTTTGGTAATTTAATAAAAACAAAATATGCGATCTGCGAGTTATAATCTCTCTTTTTATAATAAAAAAATTCATCATTACCCTAGTCGGCTTAAACCATAAACCCTCAAAAAGGTATTTTCATGGTCTAAGGCTTATTGTGTTTAACAACTTAGTCAATTCTGCAGTAATTATCTTAATAGATCACTGGGTCTTTTTAATTTAATGTAAGTTATGTATTAATAATTGTTTTTTCACAGGTCAAACCAACCATAACAAAACTTCGTATCCGTACCAAGAAAACAGTGCCCAAGACGGGACTCATGATGGTTGGCTTAGGTGGCAATAACGCTACAACGTTAACAGCAGGCATACTAGCTAATAAATATGGTTATACCTGGGAAACAACAACTGGTGTTAAGACCCCAAATTGGTTTGGGTCCATTTCGCAGTCTTCCACCTTACGCATTGGTATGGATGCGACTGGCAAAGATGTGTATGTGCCATTGAAAAGTCTGGTCCCCATGATCAACCCGAATGATTTAGAAATTGACGGCTGGGACATCTCATCGCTTGACCTCGGTCAGGCTATGCAAAGGGCTCAGGTAAGAAATGTGCATCGCCATAAGTTTTTACAATAAGTGACCATATTTTATCCAGGTTTTAGATGTTGACTTACAAAAAAAACTGATGAAACATATGAGCGAGATTAAACCGAGACCTTCGATTTATGTACCCGATTTCATTGCAGCCAATCAATCCGAACGTGCAGACAACATAATCAAAGGCAATAACAAATCTGGAGCAGTGGATCAGATCAGGGCAGATATTAGAGATTTTAAAGAGAAAAAAGGTTTAGATCAAGTCATCGTACTATGGACTGCTAATACAGAACGATTTAGTGACGAAGAAACTGGTCTCAATGACACCTCAGAGAATTTAATGAGATCAATATGTAAAAATGCTTCAGAAATTTCACCCTCAACCCTGTTTGCTGTCGCTTCTATATTAGAAGGGGTAAATGTTTTTAAAATTGTTGTTTTAGACCATAGTTATTATTTATTATTTTTTTATATTTACCTATTATTCATCTTTTAGAGTACATATATAAATGGATCTCCGTCAAACACGTTTGTAAAAGGTGTCATTGAGTTGGCTGAACAATATGATGTTCATATAGCCGGGGATGATTTCAAGTCTGGTCAAACTAAACTCAAGTCCGTGCTTGTTGACTTTCTCGTGGGCGCCGGGATTAAACCTGTGTCTATTGTGAGCTACAATCATTTAGGCAACAATGACGGTTATAATTTATCTGCGCCTCAACAATTTCGGTCTAAAGAAATTTCCAAAAGCAACGTTGTCGATGATATTGTACAATCAAACAACATATTGTATAAGCCCAACGAAAAGCCTGACCACTGTGTTGTAATTAAGTATGTTCCGTATGTCGGCGACTCTAAGAGAGCAATGGATGAATACACCTCGGAGATATTTTTAAATGGAAAAAATACCATGATTATACATAATACGTGTGAAGACTCATTACTGGCGTCTCCGATTATCCTAGACTTAGTTGTATTGGCTGATGTTTTTAGCCGAATCGAAGTTGGGTCAGACAGTTCCGACTACACACCTTTATATCCAGTCTTGTCGGTTTTATCATACATGCTAAAAGCACCAATAGTTCCAAAAGGTAAGATATAGTCATATAGTTCATACAAATTTCTTTTGAATGGCAATTTTAATTGAAATAATTTTATAATTTTCCAGGCGCTCCAATTGTGAATTCTCTTTTCCGCCAAAAAACGTGTATAGAAAACATTTTAAGAGCGTGTTTGGGTTTGCCAGCTGAAAGCAACATGCTTTTGGAATACATGCTACCGGCCAATGTATTTGTGAATCCCAAAAACGACAATCATACCAACTCGACATATCCAAAATTCCAACATTAGTACAAATTATGTCCAAGAGTTTTAACATAATATATATTTTATAAAAAAAAAAATGATTATAGTAAGGAACAAATTATCAAAAATATACGAATGTGAATTAGTTATCAATGGATGGAACAAAATGATCATAAAATGACCTCGTGTAATCTATAGACAAATCCTGTGTACAAACTGGTAGTTGCCCGATTTGGGTTCCGGGTGATCCTGCATAATGAGCAAATGACGGCACCACAGTATCAGGAGCCAGCACAGTGTTGTCCTCAATCATGCAACAATCTTTTAATATGCATCGTTTACCCTAAAAATAATAGAAAGTTAAAATGTGTAAAGTTGTACTTTAATTTTTAACTTACAATTACAACATTTTTGCCTATATGTACATAGGAACCGATAATTGCTGCTTGAACCACACTTTGCTCGCCAATATGAACGTGATCTCCAATTTGAAGAGCAAAATAAGTAAACCTAAAAGTTTTTATTTTATTTTAATTAGTAATTTAAAAAAAAATTTGTCAACTCAAACCAAGAATAGAACATTCTAATTTACTATTCAATAAAAATAAAAATAAAATAAAGAATAATTTGAAACAAAAGAACAATTAACAAAACAAATGTAGTTAGATGTATTATAAAAAAGTAAAAATAAAAATGCTTATACATTTTTTTTGAAAATAAAAATAAAAAATTAGTCTTCTAGCCCCCATTAAGAAGATGTTAAACTGTATAATAAAATTAATTTTTGAAATCAGTTCGGTACACTTCAGAAAGTGACTGCGTTTTAGTCTTTATTTGTAAAAAAATTTACGCTTTCTGTTCCCTTAATTTTTTAAACTGTTATCATCCGAGTCAAAATCAGAAAAACGAGATTGTCTGTTAGAGCATAGTTTTAATATAACAATTTAAATAGAAAATCATACTCCCCTATTCATATCACGATAATAAAGGAATATAATATCAAAGGGCCATTTATAGTTATTATGATTTCTTTTTACATCAGTGAAAAATTATATTAGATACATACAACATCATAGTACTTATTAATTACCCTCCACTGAATTTTTTACACGGAGGACGAACTACAGAACCTTTGCCGACAAAACAATATCGACCCATTTTGACGCTGGCAAGATCACCTCGTATCATGACGCCAGATTGTAGAATAACTTTGCCGTTGAGTATAATGTTTTGCGAGCCGTATATTTGCGCCTGTCTACTCACTTTGTTCCCCGTCGTCTACACAAAAAACCAAAATTGACAATGAGATGCACATACATTTTATCAATTAAGGACATCATAGTAAAAAAAATGTATAGAACAAAATATAGTTGTAACTACGTTTTGTTGAGAATCAATTTTAATAAAATAAAAGGAAAATAGAACAAATTTATTTTCTCAGATACCCCTTTTTATTTTGATAAATTATAGTGGTAATACATTAATCACAGTAGTGTTCAATAATAATCGCTGAATTCCTAGCTTTAAGTTTTGAGCCATTGAAGACTGCATATTTCTGATTTAAAATTGCCAGAAAAAATGTAATTGGGCAAAATCCAATTTAGGAAAACAAAGATGCTTGGTAATATAAAGTCATTCCGAAAACAACAGTACATAAAGTAGTATTAGACTAAGGCTCTTTATTTGTTTAACAGGTTTTAAACCAAACATATTTTAACTTATTATCCATAAAACAGTAATCAAATTATTATTGTAGGTTTACTTAAGAATGTAGAAATTTGAAATTAAAAAAAAATTGTTGTGTGCTATAAAAGTGGCAGTATGTGTATCCACATTTCTGTACTAAGAAAAGTAAATAATACACACAAACTGTTAGGTTTAAATTAAGATTTTGCGATATAATACCGATACTTAACTCCTAAATGAATATGAACTATGTAGTCCTTTTAAGTGTTTAACCAAGTAAGTTTACGCTTGTTACCGTTTCTACGTATTCGGATTTGCTATAGTATGTGTCTTGTAGTTCCATTATTTGTGTATAACTGTAAATAATTTAATTTAAAAAATCAAAATAATCATCAAAAAATATTCTTGTGTGAGCCGCGAGGGAGGTTTGCAATTGCCAGTTTCGCATCAAAATAATTGTAAATTGTAATCAATATAGTTATTATTAACCCAACAAAAATAGTTGATAAGAATACCGTGTTATCATAGCCGGCCAGTGTCGTGAAAAAACTTGCGACGACGGACGGGGGTGACGTTCAGAGCGCGATCTGACGGCATTCCGTCGCGTCCGCTTGTCACAATCGCCCGAAATCGCGTGCAATAGCCAATAATATCAAAACACTGTAATCGCGTATGTTCGTGGTGCGGTCGGTGATTTTTTTTTCTCTCATTATTATCGCAACAACAACACGGTCGAACAATAACAAATCGCGAAAATACATGTTATATTGTGTGCGCCCGTGAGACGTGAGTCACGTCCATTCGCAAGTGTCTACTGTTCGTGCGTGTGTGTGGATGTGCCACCAATCGATTGAAAACGCAACGTCTGTGCCGGAATTTTGATATTTTCATCGATTGCCAACAAGTGATTTTTGGGAAAATATTCGACCGCCACTTCAAGGTCGTCGACAATGGGATTTTCGCACGACATTCTGTAAATGGTAAGACGTTTTCCACGGAATGTTGGTTTTACTAAAACTAGTAATCTAGTTGTCTAATTTTTTTATAGCGTTTGTTCCGAAATTATTAATAGGTGTGGCGTGTAATGAGTTGTATGTTTTTGCACAGTCTTGTTCGTTACGATGACAGTACCGTATGTATAATGTCAACAACACATATTTAGTTTTGCTGATAAGCAGATTACAACTTTATACCTTCGATAGTTTTAAGCCGTTAAACCCATAGCTTATACATTTAAGTATGCCGTATACTCTTGTCTACAGCCGTCATTATTTACATATTATCTACATAGACAGTCTGTCCTGCACCTCACTTTGTTATGTACACAATTTTTTTTTCAATTAAACAGACACAAGAATAAATAATTTTTTTTAATTTGCAATCAACTATTTTAATTTACATTTCTCCGAAATACAACAAAATAAATGTTAAGCTTTATAATTAAATTACTTGAAATTCATGTTAAAATAGTATAGTAACTATTAGGTGGTCTATTTAATTGAATTATATTTTAAATATTTAAAACTCTTATTAACCAAGTAAGAAAAAATCCTAAATTTTGATTTAGTTAACATTAAGAGACCTCAATATGTTTTCTACTTATGTAATATTAAATATTTCTTACAACACTGTAAATAGGTATAATATTAACTAATACTTGGTGTATATTGTTAGTATATTAAAGCTGCTTCAAACTATGTAGCAATATAAACTCAATTTTTTAGGGTTTTTTTTCATTGTATTTTGTTATTAAGTAAATATTAGTGATGGTAATCCGAAAATCGGGAACGCAAATGATAATTTGTAAAAAATAAATATAATATAATAAGTCCTAAATTGGCGTTGGTTTTATCTATAATTGTATTTGTTGGTAATCAATGTACATACTAGAAAATTGTACCCTTATTTATGCAGTCATAAAAAAAATAAAAATAATAAAAATCAATGAATATAAAAAGGCCTTGGTAGTTGTCATTTAAACCTCAAGCTTTAAAAATATAAATTGATGTTAATAGACTCAGGGGCGTGTATATTTTTGTTGTGGAAGCCATTGTACATTATTCAAGTGCAAAAATCAATAACAGTTATTCTAAAGTAATAAAATTAAACAAAACTACTACACCTGCAGTAGAGATATTATATTTCAACTATAGCATTTAATAATAAGTAATTAGGTAATAAATACGAAATCACTGGCTATATAGGACATTATTGAGATATTAGATAACTGTCGATAATAATTGCCAAAAAAATTAAGCAAAATTCTTATTTAAGATTCCAACATTTTAGTCAATATAGCAATATAGCAAAATATATTGACACACAATTGGAAATTGTTGAGTTAAATATATTATAACACTGTTGTTATTGTTGATCTATAAAAATTATTATTAGTATTTAATATTATAAATAATTAAAAAATTTAAACCTCTATTTCATTTTTGTTCTGTTTTATAGCTAATAAGATACCCTAGTTAATTTTTGCTTTTATTTCTAGGTGTCAATCTTACAATGACCGTGGCAAAATGGATATTGCGGACATTAAGGTTAGGGTCCTTTACGATTTTGAGTACAAGACTAGAGAAAATAAGTGTGTTTCCATTAAAGAAGGAGAAAAATTACTGTTACTAAAAAAAACCAATGATGATTGGTGGCAAGTTATACGTAGCTCGGGACGACCGTTCTATGTTCCGGCTACGTTCGTTAAAGAAATACCACGTGCACCTAGTCGGCCTAGTTTGGCCAAGAGCGAGGAGAAGAGCAAATTTGAAAAACCTCAAGTACTGAAACGGACAATTTTTGAAAAGCCTTCAACTCCTTCCTACGAAAACATTCCAATAGAAAACACAACTGTAGTCAATGTCAACGAGCCTGTGGAATATGAAAATCTTGTTGATGACGTGATTAGCAATATTAAACGTGTAGATATTCAAAATGAAAATAATATACTATCTCCGGTTTTAAGTAAAAAGAACAAAACAGTTGTTACACTTAACCAAGAAAATTCTGGCTATTGTCAAGTAAATATTAAAAAATGTGATACTAAACAGCAGCTTTCTTTACAACTGTCTAGCTCGTTAGAGGAACTTGCCCAAGAAATTGAATTGAAGTCAATGCCTCTAAATAAAAATACATTGGGTCAAGATTCATTAAATGCTGATAATTATTCTAAGGTACACAATTTACTTGAAAACATTCGCAAGCCGTCCACTGTATCTACTAAGAATTTGACTGATATTGAAAAACCTGACCCCGGCAATCATGATCTGTTAGCCAAAAATAAACTTTGCTATACTGGCAGCTTTAAAACGAAACATGAACGTGATAAATGGGCCAAAAACATCATGACCAATGGTAACAATATTGATGAAAGTAAACCAGACGACGAAGAATCAATGACAATGATGAGTGATTCTATTATGTCAAAGTCAACATCGACACATGATGCTCATAGCACTAGTGCAGATCTCACTGGTGGATCAACAGACAGTCTTTTAGATGGTGATTCGCTGGGTGTAACCGACAGTGATCAAGATTCATTACGGATACATGGGTCCAAGAAACGAACTTCGTTGGCTAGAAATCGTAGAGTGAGTATTACATTTTTTTAGAACACCCCAGTTTAACTTTGTCATTCTGTAATGGTTAATTACAACTAATTAACTACATTTTGACTTGAATATGCCATCATATATAAACTTAATAAATAAAATAAAAATAATGTCTATTTTGCTCTTCCGTAATCAGTGTTGGATTCAGACACTCGAGGGAGGGGTGGGCTAAGGGTTTATAATAGGAGTTTTAAGCCCAGAGTTCTAGCAAGAGGTTTCAATGTTTTGTGCAACCTACAATACCTTTCTACCTACATCAGTTAGTTGTATGGAACACCCTATGCAGCCCCTATTTAGCCTGTAATTTGAAAAAATACTATTTTCTGTATTATAATAGGACCTCACACCTTTCTAATTTTAGGTGTAATAACTAAATAACATATTAACTGTCTTATTTTGTCTAAAGTAGTCATAAAGTTTTTAAATTTTAGAAATATTTAGAAATAAATATTGTACACTACAATTCACTCACAAGTCACCTCAGTTTTCACTGAGGCATCTAGGACTTGTGTCTGTCGCTGCTCGATTCCGTACGGCCTATGAGTGACCACCCGGGATTTTTAGAGGGCGGTCAATACCGATGTTCTTACCGCTTGTATACTCCCTACCTATTATCTACACACTACTCAAACCTAATCATAAACCAACTAACCAACCAAAAAAAAAAATGTAGGAAAAAATAAATAAAGGTAATAATTATTAAAAAGTAGGTAGAATAATAATTATACCGAGTGAATTCATTTTTAATTAATTTAAATTAAACTTAATTCTTTAGAGCTAAAATTTCTGTTTAATATTGGTGTTGCTTCTTAAATGACAATTATGTAGAAAAACATTGACTTATCTCTTATAGCCTTATGAATCTGCAAGCGGTAATAATTATGATGACCACTTACTCATTATGCCAGTAAATCTTAGTACCTACTCATTAAGCCCCAAAGTTTAAATACGAGCACGTCTACTTAAATAAACTACTACTTAGATAAATCCAAAAAAAAATTTAATTAGTGGGAATCTTCGAAAATTGTTGTTATACTTTTGATACAGTTTCGTTAGACGTATATTCTGTACACTGCGTCTTCAAACAATTTTTCATTAGTCGTTTAATTTTGTTGATAATAATACCATTTCCATACAATGCCCTAAATACTGTTCTGTCTACCTATCGTATTTCTTTCTTCCTCCAATGACTATCTAACGAATGTATAATTAAGAAATCAAATATATTTAATGAGCGATTTGGGGTTTGTAAACCTTTGGGATTTTTTTTACCTTTAAATATAGAATAACCAGCGTAAAAAAAACATTTCTTCTATTTATTACACCAAAACAAACAGTTGCAAACTGATAAGCAAAGTCATGCGTTTTTAATTATAATAATTTTTTTAACTGGTAGATAACCAATAAACTGACCTTCGTTATAAATTGAGAGCAGCCGAATGTTTAATGTCACACAATACGCATTATTAATGGTTAGACGTAAAAAATTGCCTAACTATTTTTAGTCGCTCTTAAAAAAAACAAACCATATTTGTTTTAAATGTAAAAAATATTAATTATTATAACTACAATAGATGTTTGATGTTAGTTGTAATTAAAACTTCGAATATCGCTTTCAATCAGAATAATCTTAAATATTGACTATTTAACATAATATAACGTCTATTTTTAGTAAATATTTGATTATGTAGTCGAAAAACATATGTAAATGACTTGGTAAATGTGCTACGTTTTAGATTTTACACTAGAATTTAGATGATTTGTATTAAAAACGGGTAATAAAGCACAATTTTCCTTAAACTCAAATTTAGTAATGTCTGATATTTTTTGTAGTTGTTTAAATCAATTAATTCCCTTTATATTATTGTTATTTGTGCAATGTCTTTATTAATATATTATTACTTGTATAACACAACAATGCAACAGTTATTCACATTACAAATTATTTTTCAAAAATGTACTTTTTTTAGCGACTTTTCGAGTAGTTCCAAAAACATTCTGACTTTTATCGAGTGCATTTAACGGTAAAGTAAAACCAACAACAACGACAAAGCTATATTTACTTTGTGATTTGCAATTTTTAATATTTTAACTCTGCTATTTTTTTTATCGTCTGTTATTAATTGTAGCTATTAATTCTATCTCGGGCGACAATTCAAATGGTTGTTATCTTGAAAAATATTTTTTTTTATGGAACAGTTGATGTTTAATCAGTTAAAAGCATATTGTGTTATACTAATGAAATTAAATAACAGCGAGAAATTAAAAAAAAACATATCTAATAGACGTAATAACGACTTGTGGGAGGAAATCGCTACATTTGAAACGCTATTTTTTTATTTTTAAACGCGAATTCGTTCTGTTCGATCGATCAAAACAACAATATTAATAATTATAATATTAGATACTTATTATTGTACAAATAAACAAAACAAAGTTGCCCAAAACTTTCCGTGTTCCTAGATATAACCAGGATTAACATAAAATAGTATTATAACGTCATCGGAATCGGTCTTCAGACGGTGTTACTCAATCGTCTGCGCTGTTGGGCACAACAAACTGTGTAGAATTTTCACTTATTTATAATCAATTTGATCGTCCACGTCGCTTTCACGTGTAATGGTTTCCTCGACTCGTCCTAATACACGACGGAAAGAGAGTAAAAATAAAAAAAAACAAAATAGAAAAAAATGTATATAAAAAAACGCCGATGGAAAACAATATTCGCCCGGATTTAATTAACCGTGAAAATCTGCCTGTTCTACTATTTTCACTCGCGTCCATTTATACATTTACAACCGCATTATTATATTTTTATTACACGGGGATCCGATTTGTTTTGACTACATTGAACGCGACCCACATCGAGGCGCAGACGTTTTTTTGTAGCTTCCGTGCGGACCTCGGAAGGTAGCTGTTGTTTTTTTGGTAATGATGTGTTTTTTTCTTTTGTGTCTGGACTCACGACAAAACGTTTTAATTGTTGCTCCGATTTCTTCAAAAAACGGTTCCATATAGAAATCGTATACCGAAGGAACGTTACCGCAGTTGGAAAAATCCCACTGTTTTCCTGTCGAAATCGAAAAATAATATATTTCTCTAGTATCAATTTTGATGACTAAAATTGACCGTAAAAATTACTCCCTTATTGCAATACTTTTTCTTTACAAAATTTTAATTAGTACCTAGGGAGGGCTGATTATTGATATGAGATACAATCTTGATACGTTTATAAAACCATTGTTTCTTTAGTATACATATTAGCGGCATCGTACACATGAACAGCGACAGATTTTATGCGGGATTCCCGCCGTCAACAGAGGAACCATCGTCTTAATTTTTGGACTTGCGGATGATTAACTCTAACGAGGGTACCTCTGTTAACGGCTGGAATCCCGCATAAATTCGTTCGGCGTTCTTGTGTACAGCACCGCGCACCGCATTATCTGTATAATTAAAAATCAATGACAAAACTATAAAGTACTTAAAAATACATTTGGGTACAACATGATTCAGTTATAAATTACAATTACAATGATAGTATCTATTAAAAATTTGGATATTAGATCAATCTTATATAATTATAATTTATAACTTATAAGACATATTGAGTAATGAACCGTACATAAAACCACAATATTTTTGGAATGTTTTTACTTTTTTGCACAAATGTACGTACGATTTCCCATTTCTTGACAACTAACGTTGTAATAGAGATTTTTTGTTACTGCCTGCTTGTTTGTATCAAAGCTTTTTCATTAAAGCTATTTTAGATTTCCAGACATTTGACCATCTCTACCTCACTTAGCCACTCCGTCCCCTCTTCCACTGCTCTCGTTTTTCTTCTTGATAATACGTACGCTTACTTTTTTAACAGTAATTCAATTTTTTCCCTCCGTTTTAGGTCGACTCCTATGCGAAACGTTACCCGGTGCGAAACATTTCTCCGCCCGTGCCCGACGCCAACGCCGTGCACGGTCAGGGTGAGCACATGTTTGGCTCCTGGTACAAGTATTCCACCGACGACAGCAATCGACCATTCTACTACAACGCCAAGACCTGCGAACGCACTTGGTCGTCGCCCAAACGACGTTGCGTCGTCGACGTGAGTAATTCATACCTACTATACATTTTTTGTTTCCCTATCAGTTAGGGAAAAAAACCGTCGGTTTTATTTGTTTAAGCCTATCAAATGTTTGGTATTTACTCATAAATATAGGGTTTAAATTACTTAATTTTCTCACGTCGCAGGAGGACAAGGGAAGCATCAGCCGCCACAGTAGCGTGGGCGTCATTAATTCAGGCAGTCAGAGTTCTTCGCCACTGGCCGAACTCAACGAAGAGTACGAACCCAACGACAGCAACTTCACGCCCGCGCCTAAAGAGAAGAAACCCATCGGCGACACGCCAGCCGGATGGATAATGCAAGCCGACCCATCGTCTGGACTGCCGTGCTTCGTTAATCGGTCGACCGGAGCTAAGGTAATAGATATATACATCACTTAATTAATATTTAGTTTACACAGTTACTGAACAAATTACTACCCAATTACGCCAAAAACTATGTCCCTCTTTTTTTTTTACCTTCTTATAACCCTCCTTATATATTTTTTACCCTTTACCAAAGTATATGCTTACTTCATAGTAGTAATGATTATGGTGTGTTTGAGAAAAATTTTCATTTTGTCATAAAATTATAATTTTTTGTAGCTTCGGAGTTGATTTAACAACAGTGTTTGTTCTAAGGAGGGAATACATAATATTAGAATGCGGAATGCATACTTTTTTTAAACCTGACTATTTTACTGAATTTTACTTAAGGATACAGGCTTAATGAATTTTGTAACTTGATCGCAAAATGAATCTTTAAAATATTAATAACAAATAAAAACTTACCCGACTTCCGTGGTTATTGATCTGAAATTTGGACATTAATGTAATGTGACTTATAACATTTAGTAATTATATTACTGTTATAATATGTATAAATAAAGTACTAGTAAAAAATTAGTAAAAAATTGATAACTATTGTAGTACAATTAATATTAGGTCAGAGTTCATCAAAGTAGCACTTGTAAAGTCTTAAGTTACTAGTATGAAATAAGTTATACGACTTAAACTTAATTTAAAGAGTCAGCGGACTATTTTAAATGCGTGTTAAGCATTGATTTTAAAACATAAATATAACAGATAACCTATTATAAAATCAATGTTTAAGGTCAGGAATGACAATTGTAAATTTTGATTGATAGTAAGGCAATAAAGCGAGTCAAATATTATGTTATTGAAATCATCTAGATGTATAGCTGAATTTTGATGTAATATAAAATAGGGTGAGCATTCTCACATTTCGTTTATACTTATTCTTAATTGGCTAAATGAAAACCAAATGACACCTCAAATGTATCCCAAAACATGGTTATATTATTTCTACTTAGTAAACTTTAAGTTCTTGCTAGTTTGATTACTGCCTAATATTTTCCTTTCCCCTCACTTTTACATTATGTTATAATGGGTTTTGACTTAGTTACGGTCTAATCCTATATGATATAGTCTATGCTATAATATTATCATTCGTTTCTATTTGGATGTATGAACTGTTGTAAATGCTGGTCAGTTGATATGAAAATAGAACATACGATTAATGTAGCGAAACGAGAATGTCGAGGTAGACATTTAGAGTGACTGAGCAAAGATGGTCTGAAATATATATAATATGAAAGATAGTTTAAAAATAATGATGTCGTGTGTAATGGAAAAAGCTATGTTTCAGTTTATAGAATTCTAAAGTCACAAAATAAAATAAAGCGTTTATTTGGTGGGCCCCATCGACTATTGATAATCAAAATAAGTGATTTATTTCAGTTATAAATCCTATATCTTTAAAAAATCCCAGCCCAATTAAGTTGGTTTGTGTTTGCTTAATTATTCCAATAAAGCTCATATTTTTTGGTAATTTTCCACTAATCATTACTCGAATCCAGAATTGTCCTTTCTACAAAATATGTCTCAAGAGTTTTATTTTTGCTGGGGAGTGGAGGGTTGAGTATACATTTTAGTAATAAAATGTTAAGTTAATGAAAATAATTTTCATTATATAATTTAAAATAAATATGGGTCGGTTTTGATAAAACGCTTAGGAAATGAGTCATAGTATATTTACATTTTTTATTCAATCAACGGCGGTTTAAATATTTGACGGATAATAGATTTCTCTAATCAAAGACAAAGTACAATGTCTGATTTGCCTCTAAATTAACATAACGATGGCCAAAATAATTAAGTTACAATGAGAATTAAGCGTAATTTATATCAATGATTTATTTATTTTATAGCTGTATTTGTTTCAATAAACAAAAATGTGTATAATCTAATAAGGAGTAGTAAGAAGATTTTTTTGGAAAATTGGAAAATGATGCAAAGATCAAGAGGTTTTACGAAAATTGGCTATACTGCAATCCTTAATACACATGAGGGATACAGACAATTAAAACCCAAGATTTGCATCGGGGCTAAAATACAAAATGTAACACGGCACAGTTTTTATAGAACAAATAAATATTTCTTAGGCGCTCCAATTTCAACACGTAACTTTTAGCATTATCAGGTTTGGTGGGGCTGAAAAAATGACGTTAGCTGTTTCCTGATGATGTCGACCACTGTTTGTGAATGGTAGCTAGGTATGATTTACTTCTGTCGATGCAATGAAACTCTATATGAACTTTACCCTTCCATAATTAATAAAGGCGGTGTGACGCGATGACTGTTTAATAAAAAAAAAAATATATATATATATATACAATAAATTATGCTCATAAAAATAACTGTAGCGTACGCGGGCTCTTATGCGGGCTCGTGTTTCGATTGAACGATCGTCTGTAGTTAAGCCTGTAAACCCAGGGTTTTATACAAAATTGTCGTATTTCAAACGTTTTAAATAATGTTTCTTTTTTATCTAAAACTACTAATATCCGAATATATTTTACTTTAGAATGAGTAAAAATTCGTGTAATCCTGCGGTTTGTCTCTAATCTTCATACTGACGTCAAAAATGATTTATTATTTAATAAATAAATTATGATTGGTTATTACATGATATTAGTTTACAATATCTGTAAACCTCTTTTGTATCTATAATAATAATATAACATAATTATTATTAGTATGGTCATTAACGTGTATAACGTTTGGCTTATGTAGTAATTGATAATACACGTTTCACATGCTATACCAAACCTGTTGATTTAACAGATTATAAAAAATGTGTATTAATTTTCACTTTTATTTTAATTTACTGCATACTTTGCAACATAAAACAACTGCACTCGCTTAGGATTATTACAATGATAATATCTGCGCCGATTGTATAAAATATACTAATTATGATTTCTAATAAAAGCTTAATACGAATATATTAGGTATAGTGTAAAAGATAATATTAAATATTTGTGATTTACTTTTTCTAATATGCATATCGTCGCTCGATTTCTTATCAACATTGCCAGCCGTTTCTAATTCAACCTAGGCGATAATAATTATTAACTGTATTATTCAAGTTATCAATTTTTTTATGGCCTTTTATTTATACAAATTTAATTTTATTATCAATTATCATCTTTAATGTTTATTAATCTGGGACACGGCGAATATTCGAACAAATATACTCATCAAGGCTACTCGTGGACGTGGGTAATGGGTACTACTTATTTGTAGTATTTAAAATAATCACCAAGGTAAATAAAAATTAAGTCAACCGAGATGCATCTGTTTGAATCCTTTCATTTTTTTCCGGTTTTAATATCCTTTTTACAATTAATATATGTATTATGTAAATTTACATTATTCGTGTAGCATATACATGCCTGTAACTAGCAGCGTAGTCTAATTTATAAATATAAATCTTGATAAAGTCTACGAATATACTTTATAATGTGTTTAAGTCCCATTGCTGAAGCTTGATTATTTATTATGCATATCATGAAAATAAGTTTTATTACCGAACAAGTTTTGACAAAAATTAGTCAAATGGTTCATAAATGTATCATATATAAAAACCGGTTCTCCTATTCGTATCATAGTCGCTATTGGAAATTTTTCCAAATTTTCGATTTGCGGTTTTATGCATTTTATTCAACTGCAAAAAACCGAAAGAGAAAGAGATCTTTTTTTATAAGCAGAAATCATCACAGTATGCATTATAATAATACATTATATAAAGATTAAGCGCCAGTAGATAAATAACAGTGAAATAGTTAATATAAATTTTAAAAAATATATAATGATATAATATAATGTAATTGTATTATAGTATAATTATGTGTAAATAACCTACACATAAGCACATTATTCGTATAGTTTTATATTATGTTCTTAACGAAGGCTGAGAGTAAACGAATTTTCTTCTGTCTAAAATACTTATCTGAATTAACGTGTTCTAATAATCATAATTAAAAACTTACCATTGACGATTTTTATATAATACTAATCGTTAATAGTACCTATAATATATATTTAATAATTATGAGAGTAATGTAGAGTTTACAACGCTGTTGATTGATGTCATATTATTTTTTTAGAAATAAAAACATTTAACTTTTATCATAATATAAACGTTTAGTCTTACAGTAGTAGATTTCATAAATACTTGTAATGTGGTTTGCAAAACGGTACCTAGATCAAAAATTAAAACATCTAATTTCGTACTGCTATTATATATATTATATTTATTTTAAGGGGCTTTAACCCAGCATCTAAAATATTAAGGCAATATCTTAATCACATGTGGATAAGCTGTATAAATAAGTAAATCCCTTGTATAAATTGTTGAGAATTCATGTTAACAGAATCAAAATCTGAATTAGCGTCTTAGCTGTTATAAAACTTGGAACAATAATTATTTTTATTTTACTATTGACAATACATTTTTATTTTATTATTAATTTGCCTCCTGGTATACAATTAAATAACGATTGATTAATATATTACATACATAGTATTAACCGTCACGGCACCACTAAAATGATCTAAGTCCTCTTCTCTAGTAATCTATTTTCTTTTCAAATAATTTGGTATATTATAATATAATCGTGTCTTAATATTGTGGCATAGTCGTCTATGTAATGTAACCGCGGTCATAACTGTTCATGAATGTTTTTGTTTTTTATACATGTTTAGTTCTTTGTAATTTTGTATAACTTTTCTTGTACCGACTACCGGTAATTGAAAAATTAAATAATCAGACACAATAAGTATAATGCGCATATAACGTGTATGAATGAAACGCATTACAAAAGAACAAAGCAAATAAAACAATTTATCTATAAAGTAATGATTCGTTTTGTGGAAAAAAACATGTTTTTTTTTTTTTAAGTAGCTTAGAGGATGAATAAAATTGATGATTTACAATGTCTGACGGGTCTTTTAAGCCATCGTCACTTCTAAATCCTATGGTGTATTCCATATTTTGAAAATGCTTGTTTTCCGATCCTATTCGCCTTGTCCTTTGATGAAATTTAACGTACGTCTACTAATTTTTGTCTGCGTTTTCTATGTTTTTTTTTTTTGTTTCCTGTATTATAATTATATAGTTTTAAAGGTTAATATTGTTATCGCGAGTAAAAATAACCGGGTCATGGCATTTAAAAATGCCAACAGTTTTGCGAGCCAATAGAGAAGCAACCGCCTTTCCGCTTCTCGTGCAAAGTGCGCTTCTCTCTATCGCAGTCGTCGCCAGCGCTATAATAATAATAATAATCATCATCACCATAATAACGACTGTCGTGATGTCATAAAGACAATAAGCGCCGATCTGTGTGTGTGTGTGTGTGATGCTCCCGTTGGTGTCGGCGTGTGTCGATTACTCTAGTTAGTGCGTTTCCAAACGCGGATGCGGCTACTGTCATGTCATGTTCTTATCGACGGAAGTGTTTGGTGACGAAAATCATTGTCATCCGTTTTCGTTAGCGTTGTTGTGGCGACCATGGAAGCGGACGTGGTCAGGTGGCTGCAGCGCCTCAGGTACACGGTGGCTGAAGAACACGAACCGTCGTGGGTCCGGTCGGCCGGCTCGCATTCGGTGATGGACTCTGTCGTCGACGACCTGTTCGATTTCGAGTCGACCGCCACCAGCGTTTCGTCGGACTTGGAGTGTCTCGACGTGGCCGACGAAGACTGTGGACGGCCGTCGTGCTCGCCAATGGACACCGCTGCGGAAGAGACGTCCGACACCTGCGAAGTGCTGTGGACCGACGTTAACGCTTGGAGAAGAGAGTTGTGGGAAAACGCTTTTTACGATGAAGACACAGAAGACGACGGCGACGAGCAACAGTTCGAGGTAGAAAGACACTGCGAACGACGTGGTAGACGACGCTCAACAGATTTCTGACTGTCGGCAGTAACTTATTGATGACCATAGTCTTAACTAAAGTGAACCTATTAACTATTCTGTTAGACATTAGGTGGACGGGCTCGACATTTTAAGCTATGAAAAATGTACTCTTCTGACTTATTACTTCTATTACGAGTAAAAATGTTCTGAATTTCTAACTTAATGTAATGATGGTATATACTGATAGACATTTCATCAGTTCAATGTGATTGATATATTAGTATCATCGTTACTTCAGTACTGTTATGATGTTACATCTGATTCATATGTCCATTGGGGGAGGTGGAATTGTGTATTGGGGAAGAAAGCGACTAGGTACTTTTTCCTTTGAGTGTGTTTTATGATTAACGTGTTTTTGTCTTTTGGTTTTCAGTGGTTCACATCGAAAGACTTTGAAGGCAGGTCGTATTACTTCGAAGAGAATAGCAATGAGTCCTCGTGGAATTTGCCCGAAGCTGGTGGTGGTGGCGGCGGTGACAATAGTAGTGCGACCACCAATGACCAAAGTCCTACTACACCTACAGCTAAAGCGGACTTGGAGGACTCGTCGTCGTCATTACGGTCAAACAAAAGCAGTCACGAAAAAAAAGATGACGAATCGAAGTAAATACCTGTTGTTTTTGTTAGAGGGGAGGGGGCCATAAAAAAAATTGTGTTTTAATCATTTAAGTGGTATTGATTATATTTTCAGAAGTCCCACATCAACGCCTCATGCCAACGTCTCTCGAAATTGGCCTCAACTCTGGGGCGGCCATATGGTAATTTTGAGCTGGCTGACTAGCTCTTTGTTTTTATCTTATAAATCAAAATAGTAAAAAGAGTATGGAATAACAGTAATTTATTGACAGAGTAGAAAGAAGAGAATGAAGATAGCCGACACAATTTGTGGTGGTATAAGGAGTAAGAAAAAATAAAGTGATGATTTTATTGTGAGGTTTATAGTAAGAGTTCTAGGCAAAGTTAACATTTTACTCTCTAACTAAAAAAATTGTAATCTAAAACCCTTGATTTATAGTATATACTAACCAGTATTGTCTCTTCTTGTAGTGCGTTCTAAAAGAAGGCCCATTGAATCGAACAAAAATGACTGAAAACGGCAAACGCCTCAGAAAAAATTGGACAACATCACATGTTATACTTACCGAACTATTTTTGTTGTTTTTCAAAGATGCCAAATCGTTTTTAGCGATGGTAAAATAAAAATAATCAATTTGGTCTGTTTTACAGCCATTAATTGGAAAAATGTTTATTTATAGAAAAATGGCAACGGAAGACCGGAACTCTCCGTTGATCTAAATGGTGCTTTAGTTTACCCAGCTGACAAGGTATCCAGTCGCAAAAATGTGTATGTTATCAGCACAGTACTCGGGACACAAGTGTTGTTTCAGGACGAATGCAACGTTCAAGCTCAATCTTGGGTCAGCGCTATACAAGCAGCCATATCGAATCTAGTAAATAATTATTATTACATATTTAATACCGCCAGATATAGACTAAATAATAATAATACTATGGACTAAATGTTTTCATACTTAGTGTTTTTGTATTGTTATTATTCTAGCCGAGTAGTTTTGACACATATCCACGGATGCCCAACGCTCGATCCAAAGACTCACCGGATACTGAAAAGGGCAATACCAAACTCAGTAGAAATAAATCCCTAAAATGTAAGTTACCCACAACTTATTTAGTCAGTTTAGGACACACTAGTTAACACAATGTGCATTAAGGTCACATCCTGTGAAGGGTAGGGAGATAATAAAACAGGAAAAATGAGTGTGTTTATCAATTTAGTTTAATAAAAATGATGTGAAGTCTGCCGAGCAATGATTAGATTACATGTAATCACTATTATATCTATTCTATTTTACTGACGAGATAGTTTTTTTGTAAATTTGTTTTCAATTTGTATATTTTTATTATTACTAAAGTATTTTTGCTAAGTATAGGAAGATGATAAAGTCATGGTTGGTTTTAGCAATTGATAATTTTAAAACTTTATTTTTTGTAGTGAAACTCAAGGATGGAGGAAGCATTGAAGACCTAACATCAAACAATATGGAACGTCAAACTAAAATAAAAGCTCGTTTACGCAAATTTTTCCATCGACGGCCTACAATGGAGTCTTTGGTTAAAAAAGGAATATGGAAAGGTACTTCTTTCAATATTTTAATCTATAAAAATATGAATTATAATTTTACCTATCTATTTTTTGTAGATGAGGCTGCTTTCGGGTGTTTTTTAGAACAAGTAGTCGGTACCGAACATCCCCGTGTTCCAGCTTTTGTGCAGCGATGTATAACTGTTATTGAAAGTAGCGAAGAAAACTTGAAGACTGACGGATTGTACCGTGCATCGGGTAACCTGTCACAAGTACAAAAGATACGACTACAAGTTGATCAAAATAATTTGTCGGTCATTGACCAAGAAGAGGATGTACACGTACTAACGGGTGCTCTAAAATTATTCTTCAGAGAACTCAAAGAACCATTAATACCTTATCACTCTTTCCGTAAAGCAATTTCTGCTGGAAGTAAGTATACAGAAACAAAACATTTAAAAAGTATTTTGGTTTTTAATAAATTTGTTTCATATATTTTTAACGATTGACTATTTCTTTGCATTAGTTTTATATTTAAGTAACACTAGTGTTGTAAAAACAAAAATTAGTAGAGATGTAGTAGCACACAGGAGCTCAAAGTTTAAATCCCATCCAAGCTGTTAATTTTTTTGTACATTTTACATTTTAAACTAAATCTAAAGCCTACTCCGCGGTGTGCTCATAAGTTGAAAAATCCGCATGATGATCGGATAAGCGGTTCTAGAGCCAACCTGTGATAAAGATTCTCATTTCACATTTATTTATCTATATAAGTAAATTAGACATAACTAAAAATACAATTTTATTTATAATTTGAGTTTTTATTTTAATAATTACCAGGTTTGGACAAATATTTAATATATTTTCTTTTGAATACTAACTAATTATTATGGGTTCAACACAATCATTGGATAAGTGTGATCCTAATTTAATGTGTCCCATTGAACTTTGGTTTTGATCTAACCTTTTTGTTTCAAAGACACAGCAAGTCAAGACTTAAACCTTAGATTTTTGTATTTATTTAATTTTAATATAAAATTATTATGAATATATTTTAGTAACAAATAAAACGACAACAAATTTTTCTTTAAACTAAATATGAGATATTATACTATTATGAGATAATATTAAATATGTGTTTGTTATTTTTCAGTAAGTCATAGTCGGAAAGACAAGTTGTTGCATTTTCGTGACATAACAAAATCGTTACCAGCACCAAACTATGATACCCTAAAATTCCTATTAAAACACTTATTGAAGTAATATAAACAATTTTTTAGTTTTTCAGTAAATTATTTTGTTTTTATATTTTTTAGGGTGACCAGTTACAAAGAGTTTAATCGCATGCAAATACCGAATTTAGCTATTGTTTTCGGGCCAACTCTCATGTGGCCAGAAACAGAGTCTACCAACATGGCCATCGACTTGATGCAACAAAACATGGTGATCGAGGCACTGTTGGTTGATTTTGATAACATTTTTAGATGAAAATAGGAATCCATACATTTAGTTTATAATAGTGTTCTGTTAGTGAAACCATACATTCCAAAAAATTTACTCTCATGTTAATTTTAAAATTTTCTTATTAATACCTAAGACTGACAAATATAATTGACATTTAGTGCAGGATAATAATTGTTGGATATTAATAATACTTTATTTTTTTAGAAAGTTATTAAAGAAGTTAACCAGTTTTTAATTATATACATTTACCGCTTACATATTATTATGACATACTACTATTATGGGCGAGGTATTATGTATGTATTTTTAACTAAGAATCACGTACCTATGACAGAGTAATTTTATTATTATTATTACGTATTTTATTTGTGTATAGTTACATTCAAATTGTAACACTGATACAATTACAATATTTATTTTCATTCTCACCATTTTTATCCTATTAGTTGTTTTTTTTTTTTTAATGTAATTACCCATAGATAAGATTATTTTTGTTACTGTTTCTTTTTGATTTAGTTTTATTTTAGATATTATTCTTATTAGAAATTTATTTTTCTGTGAATATTTTATATATAAATGGTTATTTTTGACTTAAATATGCACATATTATCAGCGATTTTTAATCGCATCAAATATATTACGTTAAATATAAAATACAAATTTTTTTTTTTTTAATTTAGCATGACAGTGTAACCATAATATGACTATCGTCCAGCTTATTTTTTAATGCAAAGGTGCCCAAAGTCTGATAACTATAATAAATAACAATGATTAATATTGATAAATGACAACTAAATACCAAACATGGGAGTTATTAAAATAACAAATAAATCAATTTTTGAAAATAACTAATTACTTAAATTATATTTTTATTTTAATATTTCAAATAACTTGTTATTTTAAGTACAAATTTATATGATTTTATTAATTAAATAATTTTTTCTGTTATTTACATTTTTTTAAAGAAAAATGTGTTAAAATTAATTTCTTCATATAAATAAAATTATTATATTCATTATTCAGTTTTTATTTAAATAAATTTTTATTAAAGAATTTTGTATTTAATAAATCCCAAGTTAACTGAATGCAACACTTAGAAAAAAGAAAATATTGCTACAGACAAAACACTTTTTTTAACCTATAACTATAATACAATGGTGAAGATCAAAACTTATAATACAGTTGTGGAAATAATAATGTTATTTGCATATTATTCATTAGTTGATAATGTAACATTTGATGACTACTTTACACAACCTTAAATTATAAACCATATATTTGCAAAATACATAAATCGCAAGTTATATTTTCCATAACAAGAAGTATTTTGTCTTTATAAGAAAGGTTCAATATTGATTTCGAATGCCGAACAAGGCATATTTAATTCGTATCCGGTTATCACTTCTGGATGTACAACTCCCATTACACCAATACTGACTCCACGATAGTATATTTGAGCACAACGTCCAGGAAAATAACTTTCATCTATAATCACAATTGTATTAATAATTTTACAAAACTAAAACAATTTACAATCTTTTTTACCATTGGCAGATTTTATTTGGTATGTGTTGCCGTCTTTTGGGGAAAACTGTAAGTTCAGAATTTGCATTAACCTGTCCATGAGACCATGCACTATTTCAAAACCTGGAGTTTTTCCATAGTACAAAGCACACACCCGTCTTTCGTTGCGAGCTCCAACTTCTAAAACACAAAAAGGGTTGGGTTTTAAAATTAATTTATAGAAAATTGCTTAAGTTGAAATTCAAATGTAATTTTTACACTAAAACGGAGCAGTTCATCTGGAAAAGTATTAAAACTAGTGACAATAAAAACTTACCACTTTTTAAATCCCGAAGTACTACGTCAGATACTTCAAACAATTTCATAGGCAATGGCATCTTTTTGTTAGCTGCAGTAGTTTTTAGGAGACCTGATAAAAGATTTGTGCGTGCTACTTGAAACTCTAATGTTTTGGGATTACTTATACGGACGGTACGTTCTACATCAAATGGTTTACGCAACTTAGTTGATACATCATCCTTAGAACACTAGAAAAAAAATATTCAAGCAGAATTTTATAGCATACAATCAGAGTTGGCAAACAAACCCTTTCTGAATTTTTTTGTTTTAGCAAATAGTTGTACCCATAAATTTAGGTTTTATTGGGTTTACACATACCCAAAAAATCTCAGATAAGTGGAACATTTATAAAAATAAAGGCGGGTTATTGCCAACTCTCAAAATAACAGTATTTTTAACTTAATTACCTACCAAAGAGAAAGTTAAGACTTCATTAAAACCACATTGAGCTATTTCACTTCTAATTTTATCTGATAATGAATTGATTGGTAATTGTGAGCCAACTGTGGTCGTTTTAGGAAGTGTTTTGGTAATATTGTTGTAGCCATAAGCAATGGCTACATCCTCGTATATATCACAAGCATGAATTATGTCATGTCGAGTTGGTGGAACTTCGACAGAAACTTCATCGGATTGTTTATGTGTAGACGATTTCAGACACATAGACGTTAAAGCTGAAGCAAGGTTATCAATATTTTCACTGCAAAATCATTTTTTAAACAAGATAACTATAAATAATTAGTTTAAATTAAACTACCAATAAAATTTAGTCATAATATTATCATACTTGATTCCCAAATAAGAGTTTATCTTTTTACGACTCACAGTTTCTTTACGATACTTAAGTTCTGGATACAATTTTACTGATTTATCAGGATACACTACTTCACATCGTTCAGCTGTATATTTTTTCGAAGAATACTTGCTAAACATGCATAATATGGTATCTAAAACAATATTAGCCTAAAAATGTTTTTTTTTTAGTAAGTCATTAAAAAAAATTCAAGAGCTATCGGCTTTTGTTAACTATGAGATACCAAAAAAAGAGTTGGTTATTTATATATAAAAAATATATTATAATAATTTATTTAACTAGTTACTGCATGTCTTTTGTGCATAACATATCAGGAAGTCAAAATGAGTTTTAAACCAGGTAACGCCAAAAAATTAAAAACATTACCATAACCTAAAACCGATACTCAAAACAAAAAACAGTTTCTCTACCTGAAACCCAAAAAATTAGAACCCGTTTGGACCCTCTATAATAAATTGCTGTTCCAGCAATCGAGATTTTCCTTACTATAGTATGATGCTTAATAATGTCAGACAGATAGCCTTTAAAAAGAAAAAAATCAATTTTATATTGTCAGCAACAAGTTGGAAATGTCTTGGTAGTAATGTATATGCGGTAAGATTTACTTAGACACTCATTTTTTGTTTATCTCATAATCAACTGTAAAGTGTTTACACTACCTTCTTTAAATCAGTCGCAGTACACTCAATAAAAATATTTTTTGTCTCTAAAGTAATTCTTGAATGATGACCGTTAATAATAGGAGGAAGAGACAGTACCACTCCATCACTGTCAGTAATGATTGGGTAAACACTACTGTCTTTTATAATATTTAAATATTGTTTCAGTTGTGCGTGTGTCTACAAGAAAAAATAACAATAAAAGGATGAGAATTTCAAAAATTATACTTTAACTGGTTATATTTACTGAATATATATCCATTAGTTTAGTGGCGCTATGAACTTCCGTTTGATTCAGCGCTTGAAACTTAATATCATCAGGAGGTTGTGCATCATAAGTAAATGGGCCTTTTATTGTATCTAAATCATGTGTACCAATAGCTACTAATGACCGTTTTCTGCATATATTTTGATGCAATTTATCTTGTAAATCAATGAAGCTAGCATAACGAGCTTGGTTGAAAGTAACATCTCTCAGCACAGCTGCAACGACGTAAGGCCTAATTTGTTTAGTCTAAAAACATAACAGGTAATGATGTTGTAAATGAAATATATACATATGTATATATATATATATATAATTATTATTAGTACCATTTAATATTTACATTATTATTAATATACATATATATATAATTTAATATTTATATAGTTACTATTACATATAGTATGATCAATTTAACGTAATTTTCTTTAGATATTCTCTTTTTAAGACACTTTAGTATGTGTTATTTTACAATATTAGCCAATATTCAAATTTGTATCTTTATTTTTTCTAGAGCACCATCAACTTTAAAAACTTACATGGTAATGTAAATATTTAATTCATTTTTTAAATTAGAATAATTTGCTGAACATTTTGGTTGATAGCTAGATTTGGATAATTATTTTGAAAGTTACTTCAGTTTAAAATTAGGATGGGAGGTGGAGTGCAGTATAGTAATGTGTGCAGATAAAAATAATACTACACTCCAACCTTTCTCCCTTCCTTAATTTTAATTTTAAAAGTAATTATCTAAATATTGTTATTGGCCAGTCAAAATTTGCAGAAAATTAATCATAATTTCAGAAGTTAATTAAATATATACATTACCATTAAAGTTTCAAAAGTCCTGTAAAATAATGAATAAGATAAATTTGTAGTAATTTTATAACATTGTAAAAATTTTTTCTGAGAAAATAACTATTCAATTAATCACTCTATATGCAGTGTCCCACAAAGATTTGACAAATGAAATAACTTGTTCTAGTGAATAGTTTTTTTTTTTAATAAATGTTTACTCATTTGCGCTATAAACATCACGGTTTGTATTACTCTTAACTGTTTTACTTTTTTAAACTATTTTTATGGTTAATTTTTTTTTTTAATTTAAGATAATTTGCTGAAAATTTAACTGGTCGACAATCGAAAAGTTATTATCCAAAACTGGTTATTGACCAACCAAAATTCTCAATAAATTATTCTTAATAGTTAATAAAATGCATATCTTGAATTTAAAAAAAAAAAATTAAATAAAAAAAAGTACTGCCATAAAAAACATGGTGTTTATAGCGCAAATGAGTATAAATTAATTTTAAAAACAAATCTTAAAATAATATTCACTAAAACAACAAAAGTTATTTCATTTGTTAAATCTCTTATATATATTAATGCGTGTATTGGCAAAAATTATAAATTTAACTTACATTAGGTTTTACAAATACTTTTAAAGGAGCTTTGGTTGTCAAAATATTAAAACGAGGTGGTTCAATCCTAAAACATTCTATAAATTAATAAATATTAAACTCGTAAAGTTAATAGTAATACTGAAAACTTGCTTTTTTTGGAAAACAAGTAATGCGTCCACTAGACCTTCCAAACATAATAAATCATATCGGTTAGCTGGTATGTCGATTCGGTAAATTATATCATCCGAAACACCTTCAGATTTGCTTTCGCTCTGTTCTTTAATAACCATTTGTTTTTCGGAAGTCTGAAATTTTAATTAACTAGTTTGTTGTACAACTTCATTTGTAACAAAATTTTCACTATAAATCACTCACTACTTCATCGAGTTCCAGTCCATACGATATACATAAATTATCAAATTCTTCATCAGCTACAAATGGAAAAGAAAATCAATTATTTATAAACTGGATTTGTGGCTTCAAGTAAAGAATTAACACCCAAATACATACTGTACGTTTTTCCAAGTGCTTCAAAGAGCAAATCTCTTTTGATATTAATGGTCGGCATTTTTATAAGCTGACGAAGTCGCTGGACAGCACTCAACTATCAATTCTCAGCTTAATTAGAAACTTAACAACCGTTTGAAGGTTTGCTAGGTACTTACGTATTGAATTATTGAAATTTGCGAATTGCGATGCCGACCAGCGATATGGCCAGTGCCTTAGGTAAAGCAGCATATACCACGATTCACGTGGCTGATTACCGGTTGATAATGATGATTTAATGATAATTTTTTTCCATGACAAGACAAACGATAAGAAATTTTTTATGAACACGAAATGGCGGTTACAGAATAGACCACGATTAAAATATACAAGGTTATTGCACATGTACTCCTTCTTCATCAAATATTCGATGATAAAAATAAAAATGTTAGCGTAACGGGCAGCCAATCAAAATCAAGTATAAAATAATAGTAAAATATATAGTAGTAGTAGTTAAGTGTATATTATATAGTAAAATTGATATCCCGTTGGCCGTTACGCTGTCATTTTATTTCTGAAGATAACAATATTTGAGATGATGTGTGCGATAACCTATATATTTTAACCATCGAATAGATCTGTTTAATCTATAAATTATAGATTAAACAGAATAGAATTATAGACTATAATTATTCTATTCGACGATTTGTATTTTTAAAAATAGCAAGCAGATAAGTTGCTGACATAACTGAAGGGGTGAGTGGATAAAAACATTAACTCACAATTTCAAAAATGTTCAAGAGGCAACATTTTAGTCAATAAATATTCAAATGCTTGGAACTTTTTTAATTTTTAAGCTCAACACACATTAAACTGTTATAATATTCTGCTGATTTGTAATGTATCCCAACACTTTCATTCATTCAAGAAAAACCATTTTACAAAAAGTGTCACTTATCACTCACCCCTTCAACTATATTTTGATTTTTGTCATTAACTTTGTCATAGGAATAGCAGGAAAACATTAAGTTTTAAAAATAAAGAATTCTGCAAAAAAAAATGAAACTTGATTCTCAAATTAAACAATTTACCTGACTGATAGTAAAGTAAATTAATTTTACATAATGACATTAATTTGCAGTAATTATCTTTATTCATACAATTTTATCGTATGCAGTGATTAATTATTCTTTTTTTTTCAGGTTAATCAAATGAGCTGAAGGTAGTCGTTTGTTCAATACTAATACTATTAATAAACTAAAAATAGAACTATTAATAGACTAATATATAATAGTACTGAACTATTTATTATTTTTAAACCTTTTGTAATAATTTATTATAGGATTTATTTAAATCTAAATATATAAAATGAACGTCCAAAAAATAATTCAAAAATTATTTTCTATCAACATTAAAAAAAAAATAATAACATTTACATAATATTATAACAATAAAATTATGAACCGTTCGGTAGTCCATTCACTGTTGCTGTAGGTGCTGTTTTTACTTCTGTGCTATTTGTATTATCACTTTTTGGACGTTTTTGGACTGTTTTATCTCTGATTGATGGCCTCTTTTCAGCTTTCAGTAGTACTACTTTTTCATCAGTGATTCCATCTGCTTTTTGTTTACTCTTGTGTGCTTTTTCACTCGAGTCTAATCTTTTTGAGACCTTGGATGATCTATGTTTCTTTACTTTGGGCGTATTACCACTATCACTATTACTATTGTCATTTTGATGTTTTGTGCTTTTAGGTTTTTCGTACTTATTTTGTGACTTTTGTTCAACACTACCGTCGATGACTTCAAATGTAGGCAATGATTCAGTTTTTGACTTTGGTTCTATATTAATGGCATTATTGTTTTTAACACCATTAATTGCAGTCTTTGGGTTAGCTTCTTTTTCTTCTGAACTGTTACAATTTTGTTTAGAACCTTTAATTTTTTGTAATTCATTCTGTAGAAAATATATTGTACTTTGCATTCCTTCAACATCTTCATCCAAATCTTGCAGAAACTCATCCAATTCTATAAAAACAAAATATTGAATTCATAGTCATAAGATAAATTTATTTTATTTTTAAATTGTTTGTTACCTGATTGTGATTTTTTTACTTCTTCGCTAAAGTTTTTTTGAAGAGCTAATTCACCTTCGAGTTTAGCAATTCTCCCATTGTTAACCATTTTGCCGAGTTCTTCATTTTCTTGGTATAATAATCGACATTTGGCCATCAGTCTTTTCCCAGTATTGCTTAAGAAAAATAATAACATCAATTAAATCTGTATCTTGGGTTTTAATGGGCATATTTCAGAACTAATAACTTGGAAAATTATCGTTCCAAGTATTTTTTTTTTTATAAGAGTTAGTAACTTAGCTATCAGGGGAACAGCTGCCCTAAAGTGCAAACAAATGTTTTGCTTTCAAGTAATTTAGACTGTAATTACTTTACTAAAAAGAGTGCAAGAATTTATTAACAAATTGATATTTTTTTAAGAAAGTTAGGTTGGGTGACAAATTTTTAAGATTGGCAAACGATTTAGATCCAAGGTACAGAATACTTTTTATAACTATTTAGAAAAATACTTTAACTCACCTGTCTGGTGTAAATTTCCAGGCATTTAATTCACTTTGAGTTTCTTCTAACCTAGTCTTAGTGTCACTTAAATCTTGTCGTAACTTTTGAACCAGTAGATTAACAGCTGGATCTTGTAGTGGACATTTTAGTGAAGATAGGGACTTGCTTTGAATAGAATTTTGTAAAGCTGACAACTGAGCCTAAAGAATAAAATGTTTGTGTTATAAAAAATTTAAAAACTATATAAGTACATAAAAATACATATTTAAATAAGTTAAATAATTAAATAAATATCAACAATTTAAAATCGATTTTAAACCTTAAACAATTTATAATACTTGTTGTATTCAATATGCTGGGAATAATTTGAATAATATGTATTATTATAATAACAATGGTCAGGCGTCTTAGCCGAAAGGGTTACCGCGGCAATGTTTCTAGGCACTAGCCGTGGTGCGAATCTCGGTCGCTGGCCGTTTCTCTAACTGGGGGGCAACCGTCTGGAGAGAGAAATGGCCACCCGACTGATGCGGAAGGCAACAGGAAACCACCGCACCATAACCACTTCCCCAGGATTGCAACTCTTGTCTTTAGTAGAGCAAGAGTTGTCCAACCGACTTAACAGTAGACTTGTTAGTAGTACACTAAATAATTAAATGGTAACAGTAGATAATTTATTTAAAGTAAAAATAACTGAATTAAATATTAAGTTAGTATGTCAATGAATTAATTAAAAAACAAAATATACTTGTATTTATTTATGATTTATTATTGTTGTTATTTACTTGTTACCTGCACAATTTTCCAGTTTTAATTTTAATTGAATCATAATATTATAGATAATGTTGTTTGGAAGGCTAATTTTGTTTAAATTTTCAAACTACTGGTACCAACAAAATTATTAAAGTAAGACAATACTTACAGCATAATCATTGATTTCTTGCTCTTTAATAGCTAATTTCCTTAAAAGGACTTTCTCGCGCAACATTAGCTCTCGAAAAGCTTGATCGGTACGCTCTTTTTTGTCACACCTATTGTTACACCTACTACATATAGTAGCTGAAAAAAGTTAATATTTGGACAATTAAAACTCATTACCTATTGTTTTTACTACATAATTAAATTATTAACTTTAAAGACAAACCATTATGTTTTTACTTACAAATTTGAAATCCCATAAAAACACAAATGCATTGACCTACCTTTGTATTTTTAGACTCACAAAGTCTGAAGAAAGACACTTAGATTACAGTCATTGTGTATGACAACGAATGCTTTTTTTTATAACACTTTTTCAGTAAAAGTACAAGAGAAATAGTGTGAGATTTGAGAATGCAGTTCACAGTCAAAAATAGTACCTTCATTTGCTTTTGCTTCTAAAACGCGAACGCGCGACATAGCGTTTTTATACAAATCGACAATTCGCTGTCGCGGTAGTCGAACCATGTTGTCGTCATCAATGACGTCCACCTGTCCAAAACTTGTTCGACTTTCTTCGACCATGTTTTTGCACAAAATCGCACAATAAGATTTATATATATATATATATTATACAAATTATGAAAACACTAATATAAAATTAAATGGGCACTAGGTAAACAGTTAATCAAAACTTCTTAAATGCATTTATACTCCACTGAACATCTACATCTATGCAATATGCACGGTCTTCGATTTTTCATTTATTTAAGATAAATTTAATATGTTTTGCTAGAAAATGAGTATTAAATTATACTTAAATTTTATATTTGAAATTGGAAAAATGATCAAAACCAGCCAATAGCAGTCAGAAAAAGATTCAGTGAAATAATTTTGTTTTGAAAACAAAAGTAAAAACAAGACAAAAATCAAGATAACCAATGACCATTTAAAATTTATGTTCAAAAGTTGGTACACTACTATCATATTATCCAGTTATCAGTTGATATTTAATGATTGGGCATCGAATATAATAATAAGTTAAAGAATACACTGGGTGCGGACTCCCTATCACGGCAACGTAAAAAAAACGAGTCGCCGCGCGACTTACGGTTGCCGTATGATGGTGGGGCGTAACGCATTACGTACAATACGTTTTTGCCGTACGGTAGTGGGGATGGCGGCTCGTTTTTTTTTCTCGAGTGGGCGCTCCAGTGTATTCTTTATCTCGATGTGGTTGGGTCGTTAGGATCTTATCAAAAAAATAAATAAAAAGTGATCCTGTATAAGTTGTCCACAATATTTTTCTTCTAAAGAATATTTGTTCCACATTTAGAACGAATGTTTAGTCATTAATGGTACAAATAATTATTAGAAGTAAATCAATGAGGCTTTCTATTTACGGGATAAATGAAAGATCATTTTTTTTATGACTTGTTACGCATAATAAAATATTTTAAATCGCTGATATTGGTTAGCAAAAATAAAAATAATTCTATTAGTTGATAAAAATTTGGTTGAGTTCACTTTAAAATAATATGTTTACCTTACAGCCCTAATATATTTAAAACTATAAGTAGACTTGGGAAAATTGTTCATCTTTCATTATTTTCAACATTGTAGAAAAACGCCTATAGATTACGTGATAACGTTTAATAATAAAGTATATATTAATGTATAAATGCGTTATTTTTTTACAATTTTAATTTTAAATAAAATATTGTTGTACTTATAGACTTCATAGTGCATTTATTATAAATCGAAAATTAAAAATGTGGAATTTTAAAATTTAGGTGTCCAATTATCGTTTTGACTAAATAAAACTTTTTCCTAATGCCGTATTACCCAACTATGTTCTTCCACTACTCCCTTTATCTACAATAAACATATTGCTTAAAATTGATATGACGGGCTGATTTCCAAGTTTCCAACACCCAACTCTTCACTCCTGTCAACCCATCGTTGTCATTAAATAGAATTTTCTTATAGTTTTTGTTGCCATAGTCGAACACGTTTAATAAAAGTAAAGTAAGTATATAAAACACATTACTGTTCGCTTAATACAAATTTATCCGTTGTCCTATTCTGGCATCCTTGATGTACAGCACAGTCCTTTTCTTCTTATTTGTATTTTGCATATCGGCTTAATTGAATTTTGAAATAAATTAAAAACACGGTGTGTATTTTCAGAATGTCAGAACACGAAGGAGATCCTGCTGAAATCGCAAAATTGACCGGATTGAGCAAACACTTTAACACTATTACGACTAGAGGACGTGTCAACGTAAGATTTACTTAAATTTTTAAGTAATTTTTATTAAAAACTCAATGTCAGTTCAAGGTCAATTAAACTTACATTCTTAATTTTAAATTTAGATATATTACCAAATAGGAATGCTTATAGTTATAGTATGTATCTATGATTACCGGGCTAAAAAGACTAATTGTAAGTGAAATAGCATATAGGAAATCAATCAGTTTAAGCATGTTTTTTCAACCCTTGCCGAGTTCACAGGAAAACTGGAAACTTCCCCTCTTTGTTTAGTATTAGTTTTAGGACTTGACTTCTAAAAAGCAAACTGGAGGTTATTAAAAAAAAAAAAGAAATCTTATTTAAGAAGTGTAACGTTAGTATCAGTTTAAATTGTATAATATCAATTTTTATGAAAATGTGATATTGTAATTCATTTATTTATTTTTAATATAACGGATAATTTCCAATACAGTAATTTTAACAACAATGGTAAATACAAGGTTTAAGCTGAACGTAATAGTGATAATAATTAAATTTAACCAATATAATGTGTTAAAAGGGAAAGAAATGTTTTACAAATAGTAATAGCATTAAGTACTATATATATTAATGGTAATAGTAATAACATTAACAAATAATTTGCAACATAATGAGACAAAAGGAGAAAGATAAAAAAAAATATACTTAAATAGATTATCAACTCGAATATTGCCAGAAGACGTTGTGTAACATACTAACATATTAACAACTAAAATCAAAAAATATAATGAAATTAAAACAAGGAGAGTAACAATAAAATACCTATAGTCTGTTTTAAATGAGATTGCACTTGCGCTGAGACTAAAACTAATTACTCTTTATGCACCTGCGCAAATAAAAGTAAACAGGAATAATGCCTTTTGGTTTCTGCTCAAGTACAATCTCATTTTATACAGACTATATATATTAATATAAATAATTTTTACCAGAATTTATTAAAATATTTAAGGGATTTTACTTATTTTTGAAAGACTTGAGGAGTATAAAATAATTTATTGTTATGAAAGAGTAATTTGAAAAAAGGTATTATCGACATAATTTCTACTTACATTTAAATTCTAAATTTAAATAAAAGATTACTAAAATATTTTCATAACTTGTGTGGGAGGTTCTAAATCTATTACAATTATAACATAAGGCTAAGGACTTGGACTACTAAAGTGACTTTGTTTTAAAGAAATTTTATACTAAGTCACTTTTTTTAACTTTCTTCATGTTAATCACTCTGTTAGATATACACATTAATAAATATGGGAATTCTTTAAACTTAATTTTTTATGTTTATTGATAATAAAACCTATGCTCAATTCTGTAAATAGCACATTTACGTCATTGAATTTTGATTATTGAATTAATTTTATCAAAATAAACGATTAAAGTACATTATTAAATAGTGTTGTATTTGTTTGTTAGATTAATATGCTTACGCATTTGGGTTATCTCGTTATAACACAATCTAATGAAATATATAAATATACAATCATTTGTTTTTAAATTAATAGGAGAATTTAAAACAGGTATAAAACAATGTTGTCAGTAAAAGTATCTCAAATGAGCATTTCTCATTGACAATCAGCTGTTAGCTAATCTTTAAACTTATTTGTTAATGATCACAAACTAAGACAAATTTACTGTACAGATATAATTAACGTGCAAATAAATATAATAAATACATACATCATTTATATAATGAACTATTATTAATAAGATGAAATAACAACTTTTTATTATTAATAATTTTTTGAAGTGTGATATGTTTAATAATAATACATTTTTGATTTCAGATTGTTGCCGCGACCTATGGAACCATTGCTGTTGGATATTTACTTTATAAATTTAGTGGTAGTAAAAAAGAAGATAAAACAAAATCATCTTAAATGTTTTATTAATTATAGAGATACTTCATAGTTAGGCTGTATGTTTTGATTATTATTTAAGATTTCATATTACAAAATGTATTATTTTTAAGAAATTGTAATAAAGTAACTGATATGCTTGTCATTTAATAATAATATTATACAAGTTAAGCTTTTAGTCCCCCACCATTTGAACATAGATATGTTTTTTTTAATTCAACAAATATGAACATTAAAAAATAAATATGAGAGGTTGCTATGTTTTACTATAGATGAAATTTGATGTCAAAAATACAAAAAAGTTCTAAAATATTTTTAATTTTTATTTGCATTTTAAATACTGAATGTTGGGTTAGGTTGTAATTTTGAGTGAACTTGAATTTGGTCTATTCTTAATAAGATCAATTTTATTGTTAAAATAACTTAATTATAGTACCAATGAGAGTTACAAAACATATATTTATACTGAGACAAAAGAGGGCATATAACCATATTAATGTACAGTCGTGCACAAATCGTTAATTTTTACCGTTTGTGGTCTATTAGCCACACCAGTATGACTTAAACCAATACCAAAACATATAGTGACCTACAATTGTTTTTTACTTGGGTCTTAGTAAGTCTTGGAGTATCAAATAAAATGCTTAAGCAATTCAAGAGAAAAAAAATACTGGCGTAACATGTTCTTAAATCACGCAATCTCCTAAAAATCTATGGTTGAACCAAGTGAGTGTAGTAGTAAGAGTATATACTGTATTTACCCACGTCCCGCTGTTCTATGTACTTAAATTGCCTTCTTATGCAATTGGTTGTGCCATCAATCAGCTCCTAAATAATCTTAATTTTGAACTTGATGATATTTAATTTATTACAAATAATTTATTTACAGTAGTAGTTGACAATATACATATTTGTTTTTTTTTGTAACAATTAGATTAATATAAAATATGGTATCAACGTTCATCCATTTGTTTGTCCCTAGTTATGACATGATCTTCAAACTTGACCATATATGTAGTACCTTTATGCCAATGTGCAGTTACTTTAGCATTCTATAAAAAAAAAAAAAAACATTTAACTAAACACTATTAAAATATGATTAAAAAGGTAACAATAAAACAATTATTTAATAATCATAATTATACAATCCAAATTTGAGTATGTTAGTGAACTAGCACATATCAAGGGTTAATCAAAACCCAGAATAACATTGATATTATAAATCACAAATGTTACATAAACGTGTTGTGGTGCAGTTGGACGTTGTAAAGTGTTGACAATGCTAAAGATTATACATTGAGTTGTCACTCTGCACTCAAGTCATTAAAATTAAAACATTGATTTTTAACAGTAATAATAGTAGCTTTATTATATATAACTACTGAATACTTACAAACCCTGAAGAATTCAATATCCCTTCAATTATACCGCCTATAAATATAGCACAATTTAAATTGCCTTTGTCTTTTGGAACTGAAATGAATTTGTTTACAATTGGATCTTTTTCAATTATATAATAAGTAGAATCATCATCATTTGAGTGTTCCAATTTATCAGCTTCACGACCAAAAAAACTCTATACAGAAATAAAAAAGTTACTGTCTACTTAAAGCCTAACGACTAAAATTATAAAACATGGAACATGCTTTAGCCTGCCTGCTCCTGAGTAGTGATTATTTCTGATCTATAATCTCCTTGCAATTTATGACAATAGTATAGTCTTAATTATATGTTCTGCCCAAAACATTTGCATGACGACGATGACTCGTTATATTATACGTTTAAAGTAGATACGCTACTTTCATGACACTATTTTGTGTTGTTTTCGAGCTAGGAGACCAAGGCTAAAGCATGTTCCATGCTAATTTAAAATATAAAATAATACAAGAAAATGTATGTTTTAATGTTTACTTTCCAAAACGTAGACTTAATAAGTAGTAACATGTTTAACAATTTAATTTCACGTTTGTTATTTTTCTCTCTTAAGAAGTGCAGATCGATTAATTTTGTTCCTACTTCTTGGCCCAAATCTGAAAGTCTAAAATAATTGTATTAATTGAAGTATAATTTTAATTATCATTATAATGTACCTAGTTTGTAGTTCAGTGACTGTGTGTGCTTTTCCTTGGCAATACTGAACCAATTCCGAAAACAATAGAGCAAAGCAGTTCATATTAATTTCACCTTTACCTTTGCTAATAGACTTATCGAGTATGCTCGTTTTTTGTCGTATATTGGATATTTGGATTGTGTTCATGTTTAATTTTACGTTTTACTATTTAAACTAGTATTGCCTAATGTAACTAAATAATAATATCTATGCAAATTATCGATTGACAAATATATTTCCTAATTACAAAAAAATGGTAAATTGGTAAAGAAGTATTAATGAAATATCGAATATGAATATTATGAAATATGAATAATGATAACATTAACCAATCAAAAGATAACATACCATAAACAGTAAGAATTTCACATTTCGGTAATTTTGCATAAAAATCCCGTTTTTTTAATTAATTTATCAACTAACATTAACTATTGAGGTGTTAATATTTAAAATATTTTATAAAAATCAACTTTACAATTTATTTGTTATTAGATCAAAAAAAGTTTAAATGTTTAATTTATTTAGGAATAAGGGATGTTGGATCAATTGTAGCAAATCATACACAAACCGACTCCGGTGATTAGATTATCTTGGCGTTTTAACTTTTCTTTCATCTAAAAACATAAATGTAACGTTAATGTTTTTAATATTTTGATTGAATTTAATCTTGGTGACTGTACAAATATGTATTTTAGGTATTAGTTAAATGTAAAAAAGCAATTACAAATTAGTAAATTAGTAAATTAATAAAACTATACAATAATGTTTTACCATGTAAGTAAAAAATATATTTATTTTTTTATGACCGCTATAATTATAATATTAAATATAAATATACAAAAACTATATTATAGATTGCTTTAGAACACGATGTTTTACTGCATCCCCGATACTTTGGTCCACAGTTATTAGATACAGTTAAGCAAAAATTGTACCGTGAAGTTGAAGGTACATGTACTGGAAAGTAAGAATATGTTTTATTTATTATTATGTTATATTATAATCCTGCCTTGATAAGTTTGGGGTAGTAAATGTAGAAAATGTCCTTTTTTACGAATTTTGTTTTGTTTACTCTGACTTATTTATTATTATATACGTTATTATAGGTATGGTTTTGTAATTGCTGTAACACATATTGATAATATTGGTTGTGGTCTTATACTACCGGGACAAGGATTTGTTGTATATACTGTAAAATATAAAGCAATAGTATTTCGGCCATTCAAAGGTGAAGTATTAGAAGCTGTAGTAACCCAGTTAAATAAAGTCGGAATGTTTGCCGAAATCGGACCACTTTCCTGTTTTATATCTCATCATGTAAGTGTCTTTCTGAATATAAATAATTTTTATAATTTTCCACATACTCCTAAAATAATTTAAATATACTAGTTGCATGGGATTGCTCACTAAATATTTCCAAATGTTCCTCTATAACATTTTCTTCTCTTAGCCTGCCCATCCATTTTTCCTACCATATCCACAAAATTACAGTCGAGGTCACTAGCTACTCCATCTGTGACATAGGATTTACGCTAACTCGCAACCTTTCACCAAACAAACATATTAAAGAGATTTGTTGCAAAGCATTTAAAGTCCTTGGGTACATTCTTTGGTCCTCATAATTATACCAACTTATTCTACCTATTTAAGTTTTTTACTGCTCCTCAGTACATCCTATACTCGAAAATGACAATATTCTATAGACCCCATTATCCTCATGTACTGGTGCTATGGTTGAGAGAGTTTAGAGGTTTCTCTTTGCTATTGCCTACAGGCTAAAATATTCTATCTTTCCAACAAGTACTATCCTATTCTACTAAATTTAGCCTACAGGCTAAAATAGTCTATCTTTCCAACAAGTACTGTCCTATTCTACTAATACTGGACGTTTCAAGTTTAGCGGACCATAAACAAGTGAGTAATACCTCATTCTTGACAAACCTTCTTTCTGATAAGATTAATTCTCCTACTTTTCTATCTCTCATCAGCTTAAAAAAAACCTTGTGCCATTCACTTCCATGTAATTTAAAATCATACTCTGTAACTATCTTACTATTTAGATAATATAATACATTGGCAGCGCTAATTTGTTTTATTGTAAAATATTAAAGAACTAAGAAGGAATTTAATCAAAAAGTTCATAAAAAAATAAACTTTGTTTTATAAGTAATACACATTATAATATAGAATATACTATTTTTTCATTTCAGTCAATACCATCAGAACTACAATTTTGTCCAAATACATCTCCACCATGTTATAAGTCTAAAGAAGAAGTATAAATCAATATTTTTATTTTTCATCAAATATTTTATAAATAATAAATATTAATAAAATATTTTTGTGTCATTAGAATATAGCTATCCAACCAGAAGATACAATTCGATTAAAAATAGTTGGCACACGTGTAGATGCTTCAGGAATAGTAAGTTCATATTTCAATTATTATTTTTAGTTAATATTCATCATCTATTTAAAGTCTTAAACGGGTATACCTACCATTAAAAACCATCTAAATGGTATGTCTAAAAAAACTGTAATATCACTTGATACCGGTATATTATTTTATTTTGAAAATTATATGTGTGTAATAAACTGGTATTAGATCTAAAAAATGTATTGGAGTTAGGGTTCAACTTATGCTGCGTTGTGAAATGGATGATGTCTACCCCCTACACTCAAACTCTGCTTATTAACGGGGATAGACGTAATATATCAGAAAAGTTCAAACCTAAAAACCATTTACGCATATATCAGTTTTTTGTTGTGCAATTTAAATTATTTTTAAACTAATATCTAAACCCTTAATATAACCTTTAACTTGTTTTATACAAAGCCTTTTACATTTTTACAGTTCGCAATCGGTACTCTTATGGATGATTACCTTGGTTAGTATTTAAAAAATAGCACAAATGTATTTTAATTTATTTAAAAATATTATTAAATATATTTTTATTTTCCAGGTTTAATTCACTAATACAGAAGCAGAAATCAAAATATACAAAATGTATTTTGCATAATTTACAATTGATATTATATGATATTCCTATTTTATTGATAATTTTATTTTCTAATAAAAATAAACAAATAGTTTTTGTAATTGATAATGAGTGTTACATCTATGTCTCTATGTTAACTTTTATTTATGTTTGTCCCTCAATATATAATCTATGCACAAATAAAATTCAAATGTGTCCATTAATAATAAAACTTTAGCATTGTAACCTTTTTTTACAGAATCTAATTTGCTTGCTGTTAAATTACCTTTCTGAAATTAAAATGATAATAAAAAAACCATTTTGCAGAAGCAACTATTTTTAAAAATCGTTAAATGTTTAATTTATTATAATGGTAATATATTTTAGGTAAATTTATCTAGATTTAAAACTATATTTTAAATATATTATAATAATGATTGGCGTATATTCAATCTTGCTCTGGGGGGGGGGGGAATTATTATGGATCTTAGTATAGTTTGGTTTAACACTCAAACTGCATATGGAACTTAGGTATTATATAGTTTGTTGATCACGGAAACAACTTCTGACTAGTCTGTGATGTAAGCTTTTCGGACCAGAAACGGCCCTATTTAGCACGTCTCACTGCTCACATGTTCATCGTACACATGCTTCTATGAATAGTTGAAAATGTCTAAAAAATATATATAGGGGACCATACGGAATACAAATTAAAAAACCCATACTTGATTTCAGCATAGTTCGGGCTATAATGTCGAAAGCCAGCCGAACTTGAGCGTCAGTCGTTCAAGATATCTGGCTTCTGTGCAAGAGTCAGTTTTTCAGGCAATAATTTTTACTTTACTTTTCCGATATCGCGTTCATCGCACAGTTTCTATAAAATCTTTATAGAAAAGCTTGTCTTTTCAAATTAGCAATAGCTCATTATAGTTAAATATTTGTAGATATAACAATGGTTAGTTTAAACGTTTACTACAAAACTTACTGTTAACGGGAATAGAAAAAAAGTGTAAAGAAACGAGTTGAAGACTAAACTAGCAGAAATTCCTAAATCGAAGCGCGTTAGTGTGTGTTACATACCGACACGAAGTATAATTACGGTATGTAACACAGTATAATTATGGCCAAAATGAGACGATCGGTAGTAATAAAAGTAAAAGAATAAGAGAAGATACAAAAATTAACTGTCTCACATTTGACATTTCTAGACTCTAGTTTAGATCTTTGATTTAGGGCTATGCTTACAATTGTAATTGTGTACCTATCGTCGGAATTTCAGATGTCTGTTTTAAGCAATTAAAGCCTGAGATAAATATTACGAATTATGGAAGCTAACCTACCGAAAAAGTATAGTTTGGTTTATAAAGCAGTAGATAGTGTAATAATATACTGTAAGCTGGAAATGATGATGACAATAATACGGTCACTGTTTACATTTAAATTTAAATCGATTTATTTAATTTTAAAACATCTGCCGACGCCTAGATCAGATAAGATATGTTTTTATCACTGTCAATTATTTTATAGATGTAGTAATAGACAAAAGTGTGACCAAATTTCAAAGAGAAAACTCGTGTGGGCCGGTCATGCGTAGAGAAAACGAGGTTCTTCAGTAAGGGCAACCATCAAATAAAAGATCACCAGTAAGCGGCCTCTGGGAAGACCATGTCTACGATGGGAAGGTTGTTTTAAACATGATGTGAAAAAGTCGAACCTGATTTTCAATGGAGGATAGTAGCAGTAGATAGGGAGAAATGTGTATAGTCTCAATGACCGAGAAGGCCAAAGAAGAGAGAGAGAAAGAAAAAGCATAGGTAGTCACGGTTTTTATAGATTTTTGAATAGTGTTAAAGTAACTTAATGATCAAAACTAATGAATATACTATTTCAGAGAGCTGTAAGTTGGTGGACATTCAAAATTGTACTTAGTATTGAAGTTATGGTTATTTTCTTCATCTATTTAATTTTTACGAGATATCTAAGGATACAACTAAGTATTTCAATAAACTTTTATTAAACTTTGTTAATCCCCTACCTCCATAAGGAAGTGGAGGTTTTTTAGTTTTACTTTCAAGGTGGAGTGGTACATTGGTTGTAATATTTTGTATATTGTGGAAGTCACTAAACATACAATTTTAATTTTGAAGGAGTAACTTAAGAAATACAAAATTTAAATTTAGTGTATTGTGGTAATAATTATGCCAACAGTCATTGTCCATGACTATTTGTACGTTTAATCTATGACTGTGTATACAAAATACAGAATACTCAAAATTCTTTAATAACAAATTTCTATAACTATAAAATCTATCGCAGAACCAAATTTTGTTAAATATTGCCTATACTATATCTCTTAAATTGTCCATTAAAAATTGAACCGTCGCCGAGTGAAATAGTTACTTCCGGTTTTTTTCATGAAACAACAACGAAATCGTTTTGGCGGGCTCAAATCCCGCATACTGGTTAACAGCATTTTTATTATTAACGGATGTCGCAGCTGCACACTGCACACTATGTAGTCGATATTCGACGCTGTTGACACCTAGTGACGTCAACGACCAACGTGCGTATCACTGTCGAGTATAGGTTGTGTTGCCAGACGAACCCTGTTGATTTTTTTTAACGGTATGAACAGCAGAATGCAGATGTTGATAGAAGATTAGGTATCATCACGCATAAAACTGTAGTTGGCGCGCGCATAGACGTCCACACCACAACACCGAGGCCTACCCCGAAAATATTCGCCTTGACCGTTGTTGAAAGATAATAAAAAAGTGAATTCCGTTCGTTCCTTTCTCGTGTCCAGATGGATTTGTATCGTGTTCGGAGAGTGTAATTTTTAATGTTTAAGCACACCGTCTCGTTTCCCGTTTTGCACAGCCCGGTAAACGGGTGCGCATAATCCATAAAATGCGAATATGGTCAGGTCCCGGTTTCTCGGCAAACCTCCCAAAACGCGTTGTCAGAGGACGATGGTCCGGGTTGGAGTGCCAAATTTTGTGGACAACGAGGCCAAAAACGCTCAACTGATATCTCTAGCGTTGGACGTGTTCCGCACTACGTTTGAAACTGACAACGATGAGGTAATGTGATAGCCCGTTGGGCTATATAGAATAGGATTCAGTCAATTGCCTCGGTTAACATTTGTTTTGGCATAAGTTATTCAATAATGTGAATAATTGGTAGGTAATGTTATTTGTTATTTTAGCAACAACAGGAGTTCAGAGGTTTCAGCGACTGTACCAAGGCCGCTTGTAGTTTAGCTGAAATGAAAAAAGAAATTACCGAAATATGTCGACAGAGAGGCATCCCTTATGAATCGACAGTTAAAAATGAAGATCTGGTATAAACTAATATATCATTAAAGAAATATATAAATATATCAGGAATTCAAAACGTTAACACATTCACATGAGAAAATATTAACTATCGTTTTGTTTCTAGGTATTTTCGTAACATTTTTAGCCCACGATTTTATAAATAAAATTAAATAGTTTTAAATTATTAGATTCTTTTTAATTCAATGAGTTCCTTTGGCTGATTTAATTTTTATTGAATTTTAGTATTTGTTATAAAAAGCAGCACCACATGTTTATATATTAGCACTAACTGTTAACACTTTTTTTTTTTAACTACAGTCTAGTAGTTTAGGTAGTATGGACTGTCTGAAAGTTCAAAATAAAGTTGTATCAACACCTGAATTGAAAAAATCTACAAATAAAGAGGCTGCAAAAACTATATCTTGTTTAGATGACGACCTTAATTACACTTTTGCAAAATCATGCAAAGGAGGTATGATGTTAAATATTTTTTTTTATATTATAATATATCTCTAAAATTAATTAATAGTCTTCATATTATTTAATACGAGTGACATTAATCATTATTTTACTAGTTTCATATTATTAACACCATACATTTTTTGAATAGGTCCGTTAAATTTGAATCAAACAAGTGGTGAAGTACAGTGCGGGATTTGTGGTGTTGTTCGTTTTTATAAATCTATAGCGAAGACAAAAAAATATGGAGCCTACAGCTGTGATTCTTGCAGAAAATTCATTACCAAATCAATTGAGAATACAAAAGTTATTAACCGTTGTAATAATGAGAGAGGTAAGTGACATTTCATTTCTGAGGGCGATATTCTCTTGCTTTTCGGTTCAGTCTGCCACTAATGTTTATACTTGGACAATTTAATTGAATTTAATGGCACTAGGTTACCTAAAATATATTTAACTTAAGTGTCAATAATTGATAAAACCACTTGACATTTTCATAAATAACTAAAAACATATAATATTTAAAGAAAAGTGACAACTGTTAAGTGATATATTAATTATGTAACTATACTCTGCCCCACTTAAGAAAGGCAGCGTTCTGTGCATCCTAAATAAGGTGTCTAGCACTGCCGGACCATTCAATTTAAGAATTTTATTTAAGTTTTTTGAACTTATATAATTATATTTTAATCAGGTATTGGTCAGTGTCGTATTCCCATCGGTATCAAGTCACAAAATAGGATTACACGAGTTATATCAATAGATGCTCGGTGTAAAGCATGCTGGCTTCAAATGTGTTTGAAACGGTTAAAGTTACCAGAAGCGACTATTGAACGACTTTTAGATACACTTCCTAGAGAAATGGTACCAATCATTTTATGGGCTTTAAAAAAACCAGATCCATGGACTATAAGTATAGATAGTACTCTGCAAAAGAAAATCATTCGCGATTATAATCTTCATAAAGAAATTATTAACGCTTTACAAGGTAAAACACAATTTTAAAATGCTGAAATGAGAATTTGAATTAACCTTTTTTTTTGTTTAGATGAAGACAGTGATGAGAATACAGATGAAATAGATAGTAATGAAGACAGTTATGATGATTCTTCTGACAAATCTGATTCAGACATTGAGTATATTGCCAAAAAAAAATGTTATAAAAAAAAATCTAAATTAGAAGAAAAACCAAATAAACGCAAAGGAAAGACGAAGCGAGCCAAAAAAATAGAATTTTGTAGAGAGGTTCAGTCAAATGACATAAGAAAATTAGCATCGTCTCGCTCAAAAATTACACCAATATCCAATTTAACTTACGGTATGCTGATTGGATTATTATAATATATTTTGTAATATAGATGTATGAAGGATGATTCTTATAAATCAATGCTATCAAAGTTATTCACATCTTAGGGGATCTCCATATTTAAGGATTTATTTTTTTAGTCTCCTAGATTTTACTTACCTGTGTTTTTTCATACAATGAGTATGAATTTGAGACCGAGCCTTTGAGAATCGGGCCTTACAGAGTGTGTGAATAACATTGTTGACATTCGTTTAAGAAACATCCTGAATAAGTGTGTGTGCAATTTAAACCATCACTTTTATTAAATAGTATCATTTCGCTTGACAAACAATTTCTATTATAATTTATTACAGAATCTAAATCACTTGCAGTTAAAGGACCTAGAGTTAAACATGTTTGTCGTAGTGCTGAATCAGTGTTTGGACAAACTCCGGCTACATTTAAAAATGTTTCTGACAAAAATGAAAACGCACTTGAAGACAACAGTAAGTTACTTTGTCAATAGAGAAGTTGCATAAAAAAAATGCAGTATTTTTTATCAATAAACAATAAACAAAATTAAGTTTATGCAACTCTATAAAATATTTTGCATTTTTGGGCAAGTAATAGCATTTTGCTATTTACTTTGACATGGCAGCTATGCCATGGTGGCCAAAAATATCAAGAAAAATAAAATAAAGGTGGCACTACAATTTTTTGAAAATTAATTTTTTGTAACTTGGTTTGCACAAAAAGTTATATTTACTAAATATTGTATAAACATATATATATATATATATATATATTATACTGTATTGTTAATACAGTACTGTATTAATTCTATACTTAATATTATGTATGTAAAAAAATGTATAATACATTTTATATAATTTTGTTATTAGAATGCTATTATTATTGCTTATTGCTATTAGTCAGTTTTTTATTAGAATAATGCTCGTTTTTTTTTATAATTGAATGGTTTTATTTTAGGTTTGTTAAAAACAGATTATTTCCTAAATAATAAAAATGAAGAGGAAGATGAAAGTTTATCGGATAGTGGTTATGGGTAAAAAATAAAAACAATTTTATTTCACAATTGTTTTTTTTTTTTATAAAAATACATTTAGGTATATTTTATTTTTAGAATTATGGATTCATGCAGTCATTCAAAGAATTCTAAATCCTCAACTCCTGTAGATAGTTATCCTACATTTCAACCTAATGTAAGTAATAAGTATAGGGTCCTTAAAGATGTAATTCTATTTAAAAAAAATTGTTTAGAGAACGTTGCAAGATTTAATGATGCAAGATCACATAAATGCCAATAACGAAAATATAGAAGACCAAAATACAGTTGATTTAGATTTTCGGGAAAGTTATGATCCTGACAGAATTGCTGAAAATGGATTTGCTGTCGTAGGAACAGAGCCGCTATTAGTTCCTCGAGGTGCTGTATGTTACCTGTGTGGTAGTGCTGGAATGGAAAAAGTATATTGCTAAAACTTATTAGATACTTTCATGTTTATTACTTAAAAACAAAAGTTAAAATAAATGAATTATTATTATATGTTTAGTTAATCCATTGTGTTAGCTGTTGTGAACCTTATCATAAATTTTGTGTAGACGGCGTCGGAATTGGAATTCCTTCTCACGAAAGTGAATGGTCAAAAATTAGTTGGACATGCCCAAAATGCAAGGTAAAACAACAACACAATTTCATTCCTTATGATACAATTTTTTTCCATTGTTATTTCATTTAAACTATTAATGTAAAACTAAGTATTCATACGTTTAATTAGTTATGTAAAGGATGTCAAAGTAGAGGCAAAACCCGACCAAAACTGACATGTCAAAGATGTAAGGATTCATATCATGACAATTGTTTAAAGGATAAGTTGACTTATGATAGAAATAGGCCTTGGGTATGTTTCAAGGACACTTAATAAAATAATCTGCTTTAAAAATTTAACAAAATGTTTTTTTTAAGGCATGTCCATCTTGTAGAAAATGTAAAAGTTGTCAAGTGCCTAGAGTTGATTATTTTGTTGGTAATTTGGCTCTCTGTGCTGTATGTTTTCATTTGAGACAACAGGGTAATTATTGTCCTTTGTGTCAACAATGTTACAGTTCTGATGATTATGATTCAAAGGTACAAAAAAATAATAATTTAAAAATTAATAAATTACTAGTTATTTTATAACTTGTTCTAACTATTAAGTTTTGTGTTTCTAACTCTTTTTAATTTTCTGGCAGATGATGGAATGTGCAGTTTGTAAACATTGGGTGCACGCAAAATGTGAAGGCCTGTCAAATGAACGATATGAAGTTCTTAGCATTTTACCAGATGTCGTGGAATATGTTTGCAAGTATGTTCATCTATTATTTATTATTTATAATTTATATATGAAGATTAAAATGTATTTATACATTAAAGAGTATCTTAATCACATGTTTGCAATTATTTCTATTCTTAATTTAATGATGATATTATATAGTACTATTACAAATATTATATATTAAGTAGTATCATTATAATTTTAACCTAACTGATTTTTTTAACTTAACAGGAGTTGTACAACTGAAAGTACTGTACCCTGGCGATCTTATGTTGACGAAGCATTAAAGAATGGTTTTAAAACAGTATTAATATATCTGGGGAAAAATAAGAAGACTTGTGATTTAATAAAATGGAGCCCTCAAAAGCAATCACCTGGTTGCGTTTGTAAAAAATATATACCGCCATTTCCATCACTTGATGGTGAATCTACCATTGTTGCTCAAAAACTAAACAACGATGAAATTTCTAAACAGTGTGTTTGCCATGGCTTAGAAGGATGGTCCAAAGGTACTCCTACATTAGTAACAATTAAACAAAAAATTAATAACAACGAATATGAATCACTTTGTCAGTTCAACAATGATATGTTAAACACTATTGATAAATTTAATGCTCCCGAACTTAAAGAAGAATATAGAAAAATAGTTTTTGAAGTATTTCCATGGTTTAGCAATGATTTTCAAGACAACTCTCCTCGAAAAAGTTCCTATTTGTCTACGTCAATACCAATCATAAGTCCACCTAAGTTCATTCCAAAACTATCGTTAAACTTACTCAATTCTGATATTAAAGCATTACAGGATATGATGGGTAATGATGAAAATAGTTATTATGTAACTCCAAAAAATAAAGATAACCGAATTTGCCAGTTTTGTAAAAAGGTAGGAGAGGGTATGCCAGTACGAGAAGGTAGACTTCTATATTGTGGGGACAATATTTGGGCTCACGCTAACTGTGCATTGTGGTCGTCGGAGGTTTTTGAAGAGATTGATGGTTCATTACAAAATGTACAGTTGGCCTTGTCTCGAAGTAAACTAGTCCGATGTGTAGTTTGCAATGAAAGAGGAGCAAGTATAGGTTGTTGTTACCGAAATTGTGTAAAAACATACCATTTCCAATGTGCCAGAAAAGTATTTTGCTTGTTTAATGAAAACAAAACGGTTTACTGCAATAACCATGCATCCGATACTCGATGCAATGTTAAGGATTTTACTTTAGAAAGACTGATTTATGTAGAACAAGAAGATATCAAACAAAAACGTATCGAAAGCTCAGAAATTCATATTCTAATTGGTTCATTGTATATTAGTTGCATTGGACACCTGCATCCTTTCTTATCAGATACTATCGAATCCATATTGCCTGTTGACTTTAAAGCAAAAAGATATTATTGGTCTACAAAAGAACCATGGAAACTGATTCAATACGATTGGTTGACTAAGGTTGAAAATCTAACTGAGAAATTTAAATTTGATGATCTGAACTTAACTATTGATCACGACTTAAGAGACAATAATGTTGATATAGTCGAACCTAAGAAAGAAGTCAATCTTAATTTATTTACATCGATTCACTTGGATAATTTAGACAAATGTTATGAAATTTTAAAAAGAACTGGTCCTCTTCATAATGTTAAAACAAAATATTGTAAAGTAGATGACATAGATTGTTTTGCGTATCCTAACTATGAAACGGATACAGAATTATCTACAATCGATGACACATGCAGAATGGAGCTTTTTTCTCACAGCTACGGACATAAAACCACAACAATTCCACAGTTGGATGGGTTGTACGATTCGAGTGATGACTCAGAATTTGATTTGTACCATATTGACAAATTAACAGATGTTATTGACGATTGTACTAATGATCAACCCGTAAAGTGCGATCGATGTCATCGGACGTACAGAACTAGTATAAGTTTTGAACGACATTTACCGAGTTGTAATTTTGATTACGAACTAGGTAGTGATAGTGATTCTAGTGAAGATGAAAAGTCGGAAAATAAAACTGAATCCAATTGTATTCCAGCGATAGAAGAAAAAGTCTTGCATGTCGAACCTATAAAAGAACAATCAAATTTAATATCTCAACAAAATTATATTCCCGTAACTCAAATTCAACCGCAACAACCACCACCTACTGTTATTCTTCAGCCGATGCCATCGTTTGTTCAACCACCACCAAATGATGTTCAGTATATAACTATAAATAATCCTCCAACTCAACCGTTAATGCCGTGTTTTCAATATCAGCAACAGCCAACTGTTATTGTTCAACCCTCCATTGACCCAACAACTGTAGTACTTAACAACCCTTCTATGGACATGTTTTTGACTCAAAGCAACAATTTGTTATTTAGTTCTCAACCTATGATCATGGGGTTAGACCAAACTTTTAATATGGCTTCAAGTTATACTTTTACTCAATCGCCTCAAATTTATCCGTCCCCAAAACCTGTAGAAGTTAGTACTACTCAAATGACCAATCAATATTACATTATAAACACTGAGCCTACTACAGTGTCTAACGAATGGTCATACAACATAACATCGGAGATTAAGGCAGAACGTAAAATAGTATGTACACCACAACCAAAAGTCTATTCAAATCGTAGATTAAAGTCAACAGAGTGTTATGATACTAAAGAAAATATTCCTAACAGCCTAGTACAATCGGTTCAAAATCAAGCTTATAGTGTCATGAATATTATAAGAAATGTTAATCCAGAGCCATGGAAAAAACAAAATATAAAAACATATCCACCTAAAAGAATTGAAGAAAAAAAAATTCTCCCGAAATCTATAAATTCTTACTTAACTAGACCATCTATAACTAAAAAAGCAATAGAAACAAAAACATCTTCTCCGATTGACATTAATACTGTATCCACTTCAAATATTAAAGAAAAAATGTTATCATCTAGTCCATTGAAAACTGATGTAATGTCTACGATGAAAGTAGAAAATAAACATTCGCCAACGAAACCCGAGTATATGGCGAAACCATCTCCAACTAACATGTTAAAAGTTATGCCTTTCCAAAGATGCAATGAAAAACAAGAGTTTAATTCGCCATCAAAAGCAGAAAAAGATTCACTAGTTAAAATAGAAAAAAATTCATTTATATCATCACCAAAATTAGAAAATCAGTCTGATAATTATATAAAAACATTGCCAATTTCTATAGAAATACAAACATCACTTTCACCACCTCCTTTAAAAAGAAAAAAATTGTCATGTGATAAACCAACAGAAGAAAAATCTTTATTGAATACTGATACACCGTCATCACCTTCAAATAACGAAACATCACATTCTTCTTTAGTAGTAAAAAATCAGCCATCAACTATATCAAAGGTTGATACATCACATCAATCTTTATTTACGAAAGAAAAACACTCGACTACTGATCAAACAACCGTTGCAAAGTCATTATCGCATACATCTGATGCGAGCAACTTAGTTTTTTTAAACATAGAAAAAGATAAGTTTGACGTTCACCAAAATACGTATCCTGATCCTGTCAATGGAAAGGTCAAATTGTTGGAACCGGTTTCTAATCCGTTTGAGAAATATTTAAAAACAAATTTCCCTCAAGAGGCAAAGAACGGGAGACCTCAACAGAAGCAAACAGGGCGTCAGTGGTCAACAGTTATGTCAGATCGTGAACGTACTGTACCTCAACTGATGTTTGAAATGAATTCTGCAGATGGTGTTTTTTGCAAAGACCGATCACTCGTAGAAATATGGTCCAAACTGTTTGAAGCTGTACAAGTATCTCGAAATGAACGTAAAATGCCTCCTTTACCATCAAGTAACCCATTTGCAAATGACATAACTGCAGCCATTCGTTCGTTGGGTCTAAGTAACAATTTTTTAAAATACCTATTAGAACAACTCTCAGAAGCTAAAGAATTTGTCAAGTATAAGCCAACTTACCACAAAGGCTTAGATGTTGTTGGTTCCACAGCAGAAAACCCTTCTGGGTGTGCTCGCACCGAAATTATTGTAAGAAAGAACAGGTATGATATGTTCAGTTGGTTAGCGTCGAGGCATCGAAAGCCACCTAAATTATTGGCCAACAATGAAGATTTTGGAGGGCGACGAGCGAATTCTTTACCTAATGAAATGAAGTACAGAAATATGAATAAAACATTGACAACTACTGTCGGAGTTTATCGGTCAGATATACACGGCCGTGGATTGTTTTGCTTAAGAGATATCGAACAAGGAGAGTATGTCATCGAATACACTGGAGAAGTGAGTGAAAAAATTAAGTTTTTTTTATGTAACATTTACGTTAAATTGTATTTTGCTTAATTATTTATAGGTTATAAGATCTGTAGTAAGTGATGTACGCGAGCGGCTTTATAATAAAAAAGGAATAGATTGTTATATGTTTCGAATTGATCAAGATATTGTCATAGATGCCACAATGAATGGAAATTCTTCCCGGTTTATAAATCATTCTTGTGAGGTATTAAATTGATTTTTAACTTTTGTAGAAATTAAATTGGTTAAAAACTATCTATTTTTTTATTTGAATAGCCCAATTGCCAGTCAAAAATCGAAACAATTCATGGAAAAAAACATATAATGATTTTAGCCAAGAGAAAAGTACTTCAAGGCGAAGAATTAACATATGATTATAAATTCCCATTAGAAGATGATAAGATTACGTGCCATTGTCTTTCAAGGAGGTGTCGTAAATATCTAAATTAAATGAAAAATTTAATTGTATTACGTACATATACTGTTTAGTTTTTTTTCATTATTATATTTCTTATCATTTCTTTTCTCATTATATTTCTTTTGTAGTTTTTTTTTATGCATTATAATTGAACAAACTAACTTTATTCGTCTTTTTTTGTAATGTTTCCACTACTATGTCTAATTGTATTTTTTTTTATATTTTGGGAACAATTTTTCTTTTTACTTTATGTTATTATATTTTAAACCAAACAGTTATAATTATTGAGCATTGACAATTATAAATTGACTAAAATTTGTTTGTACTTTAATAAAGTTGTAACTATCAAATATTCTAAAATTGTATTTAAATATTTCATTTGTACCAACTGTTATATAAGTATTTTTTCCCCAATTTGTATTACACTCGTCATAAGAGAAACAATGTGATTAAATTATAATTAATTTTTATTGTAATTTGTTTGCTATTGACCATTAACACATATAAATATAAGTTTATTGATGCAAAGTTTATAAGTAATACTATTTTGTTAAATTTGTCAGTTCTTTAAATATATTTTATCCATGTATTTAAAGTTATTGAATTGATTATAAATAATATGTAAATAGTGTTACATAGTTGATAGTGTAGTTAAGAATTACTTAAGTTTATTTTTATAACCGATATCAAGAATTTACTATAGGATATTAATGTTTTTCCTTAATTTACCATCACTTTAAAACAATATGTGATAAAAAAAACATAAATCAAATTAATAAAAACAATACTTATTATTTATTTAATTTAAATTATTATTTTTTAAACGTTGCCATTTTTAGTTTTGTTTATTTTTGCGCTATTAACTGATGGTCGATAAATAAATTGATAATTAATAATTACCTAGATGAAATTCCAGGTTATTATATTGATATTGTATGTAAATATTGTACACAATTTACGAGAAAATTTATAATAACACTAGCGCACTCAGGGGACACAATATTACCAGATTGCTTGCTTTGATTACCTCAGAAACGCTTGTAATTATTCCAAAGATTTAGAAGGTTCATGTGACTAGTAATCTTATGCGAGGAGTCCATTAATCTTTTAACACAGATTCATACTTCATCGGCGAATTTTATCGACCACGTGTAGCATCATTCTGTTGGAAATACTGAGTGGTCGCAATCCAGTCTGAGATTGGCACAATTTGTCACATATGTCAGTCAACTTAGTAAGCCTTCCAAGATTCACTTGAAACCATTATATTTACAACAACGGGTCAAATTAAAAACTAGAGCTGGTGTGATTGTAAAGCTTTTCTGTGGGTATGCAAAAGCACTTTTAAAACCGTTGACCATACCAGCTATGTATGATACGTTTATGTTTATTTTCATGTACAGAGTAACTGGATTAACGTTTTTATTTAGTATTGCCTGCGCTGGCGATAATATTTTTATATTACATGTTATACAATATACATATAGTCGATAGATCAGAAATCGTACACTAAAATTGTATTATACCTTTCCTAAAAGATAAAGAAATCCACTCAAATTTGTTTTTTTTTTTATAAAAACGAATAGATTTTTTCAAATTTTAACTAAACCAGGACTGATTTCATTTTTAGACATTTTTCTAAGACAACAAAAACAATTTATTAGTCAACATGACTGTGAGTCGATAAAATATAGTTTTGGACGTCATTGTACATTATATATTTAGTTTTTAAATCAGGGGAGTCTCCCAAAATATTTTTTATCATTTGAGTATGCACAGCATGGTACGTGTAGGTACGCATAACTTTTGGCCGGTGGGCGTCGATAGGCTAATCTCATCACGTATGTTTAATTTTTCAAATACTTTACACAACTGTTTGTCATTTGTGGGTGTAAATTTTTATTAGCTATTATAGGTAGCTATACAATTCTATAATTTATAGTTCGACAACTATTTCTATGTTGTGCAAATTTCATCGTTCTTTTTACCTACAAATAATTATTTTGCGGACTGCGATGACGATAAGCTAGCACAGTTTTGTTTGGTAATGTGGTAACATTTCATTTGAAATATAACGCACAAATATTTCCATAAAAAAAAACCTCCAAAGAAAAACGGGATTATGAGGGGAACATTTCCCAGATAATAAAATAGTGTTAAATGTTAAATTAATATTCAACATTCTGGTTCGAAAAAACCATTAACCTCATTAATTAAAACTCAAATTTAAATACCTGGAAAATGCACCCTCAAATTTTTTATTGAAATTGCGCCTATGGTGAAGTGGAAACGAAAAAAAACAGGGGTCCATGGAGTCATAACGCTTAGTTCGATATTTAAAAAGTAAATTCGATTCGATAATTTCAAGCATGCTCCGAGGTAACACTGTACATTCACTGACGTGTTGTTGTGATTGTGCCATTTCCGACATCCGCACAATGTCATATGATATTTGATAACAAGGTATCTTTGGAGTTCAGTCTGCGTTGATAACGCGTATTATTATTTTGTGTGTTCGTCGGTTGTCGATTGTTTTAGTTATTATTTTGAATCGTATGAGTCGTTACTGGTTTTACTTAGATCCAAACGAAGAGAAGCCGACATTTTTTTAAAAAAATTACTGCTGTCGAGTTTCGTCTATTCCTGCCTGTGAACCCTATCATTTTTACTCGTCCGTTTATTCATTCAACAACAGCTATGAACAATGTCTGTACACCCCATCGATTAAACAACATCAGTTATGCTGTGGATACTGTCGTTTTTGCGTTGTATACAATAGTTTAACCGTTAGTATTTACAATAGTAAAAAAAGAGTCTGACAACAAGAATATGCTGTTGCGAGCCGTCAACTGTTCGTTCCTACTAGTGATCAATGTGTGTCTCTATGTGAGCGCTATATGTTTTTTCTCAGCGCCTGGTCCAACAGCCACAAAGAATTTAGATAACATTTGGCTCAATGAGGTAATACTATTTTGTTTGTACTTTGTTATTTAACAAAACTAAATATGTAAGGTCAATTATAGTGATTGTCGTGTAATTAATAAGTAGGTCAAACTGTTGTCGATTACCTGTTTAATATTGAAGTATATCTGTTATAGTGACTTATTATAAGGTATTGAGTAGTTTAACATAGGAACTATGTTCCAGCCTGATTACAAGTAAAAACTATCTTAAGTATAGTATGTCGAATTGCAATTTTACAGTTATTGTTAATAGTAGCTGTAAGATTATTTATTTATAACTATATTAGTTTATAGGTGTAGTTAAACTAAACTATTTTCAATTAATGGTTTTCTTAACATTTGAGCTTTTCATATTAATAATTACCATGTCTGACTAGAATTACATTGCCTATGTGTATCAGTGTATGAAAGATGTGCTCTATTAATATGATTCAGATATAAGAGAAAGTAGAGATTTTATGGACTACATTCTGTTAAATAACAAAATAGACATTTTTTTATATTTCAATGTCAAAAAGTAAATATTTTTATACTTATGTTATGGTTTTTACAGCTAGATTACTCTTGTTACACTTAAAATGTATGAGTAGTAGATGCAAATAACTATCAATTAGTTATATTTTTAACTTTGGTGCATATTGGTTACTTTTACAGTGATGTTTTTTTTATTTTGGCTTCAATCCACATTTGAGAAGACTTTGGTTTGTTTTATATTGCTATTATTTTTTTTTAATATTTGGACACACATTACAATTTTAATGTCTTGAGTGTTTTAAATATTATGCATTATTGTACAAATAATACTGTCAATTGGCAAAACAGTTAAATATGGTTACTAGTTTTGTTAAATTTTATAACTGCAGTATAAATGAAGTAAACCTTACAAAGGATTTAAAAAACAATTTTTTCTCAATATTTCATTCATTGAAAGTGTTTAAACATAATTGGTTGTTAGTAAATGCTCATATAAAGAATTTTGAGATTTTACCATTAACAGCTAAAAATAAATGCAATTTTTATTATTTTTATGCTTTTGAATTTGAACAATGAAATTTATAATATAAATAATATAAGTTTTCCATTGTTTATGTCACTATGAAAATAGTAATTAGGTTAACCTATTTTTATTTTCAAAGCTAATATACTCATTTTGAAAAAAATTGTAATTTTGGAAACTTGAATGAATTATGCGGCTTTCTAGTAAAATTCTGTAAGCCTTTTTAATGAAATCAATATTTTGACTAGGTTTGAAAATTATACCTTTAAAAAAAAAATAATTGTATTATTTGTTTTTTTTCAAAAATACAAATAACCTCATTTTCATTTTTGATTAGAATCACTAAAAATCATCCTAACCTTGCTTCATTTCTCTATTGTGTAGTATAATTACATTATTTTTCGCTAGAACGCTTACAGGTGGCTAATTAGTTTAACTATTAAGTATTAACTTATTTTCGTCAGCTTCTACATTTTATCAAGTTTTACACTTGTTGTTACCTTGTTCAAATTACAGAAAAAAGGTTGTTCAGTGTTCACATTGTGTGGCGCCATCCATTATTCAGGTTATCTGCCACTGCCCCTATAGCAGATCAGGGTTTATTGTTTGCTGTCCTTAGGAATGTCATTTCTATTGTTATCGTGACAAACGACTATTTTAGTCGTTAATTTTTTTTTGTATATAAATGGTAAAATATCTTGATAGAACCCCCCCCCCTCCCACAGTGGTTTAGATGTTACGTTAAGTGGGTGGTACCCAGAATAATATTGTTTGTTTTTAAAAAAATAGCTCAAGCCGCTATTGTATAAGACCTTTGGTTTGTCAATATATTTCAACAAAATCGTTTGATTAGAAGACTTAATGTCTTAAACATATGTTTTTCGTTGTGTACACTAGTATTAGTCATATTATAATAATGTATTTTAATATTGCTATTTTATTTTTGTCTGGAAACACGGCAGTTAGACAATTAAAAAAAACAATTATTTTGGATATCCGTATAAGGTTTAAAGTATTATGTATATTTACACAATAATCTAAAAATGACAAATCAACTTTTGATAGTTAGCCATAAGCCGTGTTAAATGACACCGATGTGAAAAAAAAAATATTGGGTATGTAATGATTCTAATTAAAAAAAAAACGCAGTAAATAGTTGTTAGCACAGTCGCGAGCTGTCAGTTTAAAGGTAATTTAATCTATGATAGTGGGATTAGGAATGACAAATAATAAAAGTTTAGTGATTTTAATTTAAAAAAAAAATTGATAAACGTTTTTTAGATGCATACATACAATTAGACGATGTTTGCGAAGAAAAATTGTCATTCGATTGCTTCTTATAATTCGTTATTTTTATAGTTTTAAATAATAATTAAGTTTTCCACATAAAAGTGTTAACAGTTATTTAAAAACAATTTACTATTGAAAAAAATCAAAGCTATATAGTTTCAGAACTCAAATCACTAAGTATTATAATATTTTTAGACGAATAAAACTTGAATGAACAATTTCTTTACTAGGATGAAGTAGGACTATTTTTATAGACATTTTGGGCTCATTAAAATGTTTACAGTAGTATAAAAGTGTAGAACAACACTCCATTGTAAAATCATGGTACATATTATATCAGGCTATTATAGAGCAATAACAGAAAACTACAACAATAAAATAATTGGAGTTACTTAACCGTCATGTAACTTAACTAATCTATTGTAAATCCAATAGTTTTTCAGGTAAAAATATCTGTATTATTTCGTTGTTATATTTTGTAATTTATTGCATGTTATTTATTTTTTATTAGCTATTGCCCATTATTGTATGGGCCATCGATTGCACAATTGGTAGAGCATGTTGTACCTAGTTAAACAGTATGAAAATCATAATAGTCGATTTTTTGTGCGCTAACGTTTGAAACCGTGTAAAAACTGGCATCATAAGCATTTAAATTTTGCTGGTGACAGATACCCATTAAACGGTAGCTGTTAATGAAAAATCGAAAAATACCAATTTTATTATTATCTAATTATTACTTTTGTGCAGGTTTATCAATTATGTTATAATGGTAATCGATTGACGTTTTTATGGAACTAAAACATTTAACGAAAAACAAGTCGTTCCATATTGCTATAAAAAAACTAGACTTGTTTAAATACTATTCAAAAAGTAATGCAAATATTGCCAAGTTGCAATAAATAAAAAGAATCTAGAATTTCGTGTACATTAGCTTTCTGTTTGCTCGCATTGTCGTCATTAGAGTAAAAATTATTCGATGTGCAATTCGAGTTGTTTTAATGATCATTTATGCGATTATTAATTGTAAAAATTAACTTTGTAGTTTGCGGCCTTGAATTTACACAGGAGATAGGGTTTAGATAAAAAAATAGTTGGTACTGTCTAAAAATGAATAATTTGCTTACGTAATTAATTGAAAATTGTATTGTTTTTTTAATTCTTGTAATGTAACAAAAATCGACTTGTTTAAACGGCACGTACCTATTTACGTTGGAGAGTAGCAGTCCATAAGTAAAGATAAGTAAAATAATAACGTTGCTAAATTTTAAAACGAGTAAATGATTAAAACTGCTACTCTGTGGGCGAATATAAGCGCATTGTGCAGACGGGTCAATGCATAAGTCATTCATGCGTTAATATTCTTTATTGTATTTCTATACGAAGAACTAGCAGTCTGAAATTCCGGGGAAAAGTTTATTATCTACAACAAAAATAAAAAATTTGTTTTAAATGAATTGTCTTGCTTACTTATAACTTGTTAAAAAAGAAATAACATTGCATGTACAATACAAGACCTATAGTTTTTATTTAGCGTGAAAAACAGGATTCAAACTAGTTTTTAGTACCAACATTGATTATAATTAGTATTTAAAATCAATGGTACAAATAAGAAACAGAATATTGTTTAAGTTTACTATATGATTTATAAATAGTTTGATCTCGTACCTTTGTAAACCTTATATTTAATAAAACCACGTTTGTTAAAAATAGCTATATGTTATTTAGAGAAAATTACGTATTCAATAATTTAAAAAAAAAAATGTCTGAAATTTAAAATTTTACAAAATTTTTGCTTACACTGTTCTTTGTACTTTACTCATGTATATTTATTTAAATTATAATATATTATATTACACCATTCATTCGTTTCTTTCTACAAGACATTGACTGGATTAGGTGAAAACCTGTGGAATAGGTAGAATAAACGAAACACGTATACATTTTATTATCAAACTGTGTAAAACATCGCATATTTTATTAAATGTTTTTTTTAATTAAAATAAAATATTATTAATTACTTAATGAGAAAAATCGCATTTACACTTTTCCTGTTTATTTATCTAATTCCCATTTGACTCTACAAAGCTAATATTCGATGTTAGAACGATTTAAATCAATTAATTATTATGTGGTATAACAGTATTATCGGCACTTTTAAGTTTCACCAATATTGTTATTATTACTCGCATATTAAGTTAAACAAACACATCATATTAAATACAAAAAATGAATCTAAGTATGATATTTTTTAGTTTGCACGTCTAGGGGTTTGCATGTGGTCTGTTTTTAGGGGTTTTGTATAGGCAATATATAATAATGAAGAGATTTTAATAAATTTAAACCATGGTCCATATCAATTAATTTACCGGTTAATTTGTGTAAGCTTCAAGGTATTACTTTTAATTCGAAAATGTTTTTCTATGAGTAAAAGTCATTTTGGTTAATTTTAGATAAAAAAACTCAGTTAAGAGTATTCACACTTCATGCAGATACACCAATACACGGATAAGTCCTGGCGTATAATTATATGATTATTTCCGATCTATAATCTCCTTGCGATATATGATGATAGTATAGTCTTAATTATATATGTTCTGGTTGAACGTTTTTTTAGTAGTTTTATAATATCTGGCCTTAATCGATTAACTGGTAACATTTATCAATATTTAACATTTCTCATAAATCAATTGAATTTCCGTGGTTCGCCAGTAAGTTCCTACCTAACAAATTCATTTGACTATCCTTATATATGTATCGTTATATCCTTATAAATCCTGCAACTTGATGTATCTGCATGAAGTGTGGATACTCTTAACTTTATTTTCAGAATGACCCTCCATATTCCATATTTGCCCCAGCCATAAGGCATATTTATGTCAAAAGCTAGACAAAATGTCGTCTACATAGGATGGTATAATTTCAATTCGTAAAGAGATTTGAGTTCTTTGACTACTTTACTAGGCTATGTAGGAAGCCGATTTTTATTTAAAAAATTCAGTTTCTTGTAATTAAATAAATTTAGTTTTGCATTTTTGCAATATTAAAACTCAATTCTTAGACATAAAAAAAGCAAAAATCTGTTTTCTATACAACCTAGTGAAGTTGCCCGAGAACTCGCGTATCTTTACAGATTTGAAATCGGACCATCCTAAGTAGACGAAATTCTGTCACGTCAAAAATACAGACCGCATGCATTCCCCTTAATTGAAGAGAAGTAAAATAATTGGGTTTAGGCTCTTTTGTAAAATATCAGACACCACACTAGGATGTGTTGCTCTTTACTGTTTAGGTATTATTATGTTGAGTAGTTTATAACTACCTATTATTCGTTAAAAAAAAAACAAGTATTTACAGTAAATAACATAAAACATGTGTTATGGTAAACTTTTAGTAGTATATTTTGACTCGAAAATGAGTACCACATGTTGGCAACATTTTGAATTTTTTTATTGTATGAGCACGTCAGTATAATTAAGTTAATTTACAATGCATTATTAAAAAAAAGAACTTTGGTTTTATCGGTTTTTATAAATTAAACGCTAAGCTTATATTATAGAATGTTATTTTTTTAAATTTTCAGTTAGGCTTTCCCATGTGGCAAATGTGATAATGGCTAGTTAGCATTCTTAAGGGTTTTTACAATTTATCTTTTTTTGAACGTTAATATAAGATCAAACATATCTGTATATTATTATATGTATAATCAATATTTTATATTTACTTCATTCGACCTTTTTTTATTCAACGTCTAAATTTTAGACTCAATAAATTTCAATTAAAATCTTTATTGCATTTGCTTTTATACGAGAGGTACTTTATTGCTAAAACAAACAAATTGTGAAACAATTATGCGAATTGACGTGACCTATGAACAGTATTGACGTATAGTTTAATAGGAAAAACTATAAAATACGTTGGTTTTCCTGACAATTTATGCTAATTGTATTCTCAATTTTGTGCATTTAAATAAAAATAAATGCTTGCAAAAATAAAAAAACTCGTTTGAATTTTAATTTTACCTTGGTGAAAACAATAGTCACTACAACAGAGGCATATGATAATAATATTGGTGTATATTTTAGTTTTAATTCAAACAATACTGGGAATTGCATTTTTGGCCTCAAAACTAGTGTCATTATTTATTCTGATTTCCTGTACTAAAGGTATTTCGACGTCCGCTTTATTATGTTGTTCGTTGCTTACTAGAGCGTCATGTATAGGATGTCATATAACTCATTAAGTATTTATATTTAAAACCTGTCAACGACCAGTCATATTATGTTCATTACACCGTCTTGTGTAAAATAAACAATTAATAGGTCAATATTCGATTTTTTAAATTTAACAACCATATAAACTACCCATGAAAACATATTGTTCAATGTAGTATTCTCGACCGTTTTCATTGTCAATTTTTTTCAACTTTTAATATTTCAATTAAATGTTGCTAGGATACCGATGGGCGATAAGAAAAAATCAAACTTATCGTTTTTGTAAAAATATAGCTCATAAACTATGAGAAGGTCACCGGTTATTCATTTGCCATTTCCGTTCACAAAGTTTTGTACAAATGCACACAATTTCGGGAAAATAAAAGTCACCTATTGTAATATTACAATTTCTTGTGGGTAATAATATTTGTTTGTTATTTATCTGTTTATACTTTTTTGTTACATTATATGCTAACATGCCACATTTATTGCATATATTCATATTTATATTGTTTATGTATTATTGATTTTCCAACAAATTATTAATGTGGTTGACGCTTTAGAATTACAACTATATATATCTAGTGGCCACGATAAGAGGCAAATATTTGAAAATAAAGTTGAAATACAAATTAGGTAGTAATAATAACTAAAAAAACTGTTGATTATACAAGTAAAAATAATAGTAACTTTCAAAAAACTAAATAAAAAGAATAAGCATTTTTCATCTATTCCTAAAAAAAGGAATGTAACCTATATTCATATTTCAAAAAAAATATTGTACCTCGTTCCAAGACTCGATCCTCAAAATATTAACTACTCAAAATAAACCCATTCCTTTACATTACTCTTATGTATGGGTAATTAAAACTTTTGTGTAGTAATTTAATCATGTAATATTACTATCCGTATTTCGTTAGGTTTAACATGTAAGAATTATTGTTGAATAAGTTTGGTTTCTTTCAAGACGATTAAAATACTTTGGAGTATGGATTAATGACAAATTATACTGAATTTGTTCTTGTTTTATTTTACAGTTATTTGGAAAAATCGATGAAACCAATACTACTGTAGAGACAGTGGACAAGTTTAACAACTATCAGATTTATCCCAGAGTCATCAGTATCGTGTCCAAGGATTATTTTAAATTTTTTAAGGTATCAAATTAATTTTAAATATTAATTTTTTTATTTTAAATATATTTAATTGGAGTTTAAAGTACATGACTATTATGCATAGTATAAGTAACATAACTTTATTGATAGTAAACATTAATTTTTATAAGGTTAATCTTCGAAGAACTTGTCCTTTTTGGTCAGATGACAGTAAATGTGCAATGCGATACTGTCAAGTTGAGTCTTGCCAGTTGGTAAGTGAATAACATGCAATTTTAACAATTATAATTTTAATGTTTATTTCAATTCAATTAATTTTCTAGGAGGACTTACCAATTGGTCTCAAAGGTAGCCGACACAGTTTAGTGGACGAAGACATGTCGATTAAAGTGAGTCAGAATCTATTAAGAACTCTCTTAACGCTGTTGTTGCTTATACCTATGATTCTTTTCTTTAAAATTATATATATATACAATTTAATATTTTTATTTTCCTATTTCCTAGTGTTGCTGTTGTTTCTGTCAGTCGTACTGGTCTCAGTTACACATCACTTGTAGAACCTCTTACGTAATCATTCTATTTGTTCCTATATCAGTATCATATATGTTTTCTTCTTACTTCTTAATTTTATTTTGTTGACATATTTGTTCTTGTGTGTGAAATGCAGTTTAAATTTATAATATTTCTTTGAGTAGTATATGGAAGGACCACAACAACAGGAATGTGAAGAAGCTATGCAAGATCAACTGGGATACATTAACACAACAATAAGGTCAGTTCAATCTTGATTTATGTGTTTATATAAATTATCATTTGAAGAGTTTTACAGTTTGTATTTATTTATTTTAATTTTCTTTAACTAGTATTCCTTAAATGTAGAATTTTAGACTGGGAATTAAAAAAAATTGGCTTAACAAACAAAAATGAAGTTAGGAAACATTTGTTTTTTTTTTTTAATTGAAATAATAAAATATTAATATTATTTTACAGTGCAGCGGCTATGGAAGATTTTGCTCTATGGCAAGCTCACGATGACTTGCAAGAAATGTATTGTACGCTACCTGAAGACGATGGTGATGCTGAATATGTTGATCTATCATTAAATCCTGAACGATACACAGGGTATAAAGGACCATCAGCAAATCGCTTGTGGCATACAATATACATGGAAAACTGTTTTAGGTTACTTCATACAACATTATATCAATTACCTTGTATTGAATTATATGATTTATTATATTTTTCAGACCAAAAAATTTATTTGAAGTTTATATTAAATCAGCCAAGTTGACTGGTAAGATAATATACTTTAATTTAATCAATATGTATGTATATTATACATACATAAATCAATAATTCTATGATTTATGTTGTCAAGACTCTACTTTTTATGAACTCTGTTTTAGGTATGTGCTTAGAAAAACGAGCTTTCTATCGTGCTATTTCTGGTTTGCATACAAGCATCAACATACATCTTAGCGCTCAATATTTATTATCTGGTAAATTTTCTTTTTTATCTAAAATGAATGAAATAAAAACATTTTATGATAACGTGTTATTATATTAGATAAAGGATCAACATTTTTGAACCCGTGCGGCACCGGTTTTTGGGGTCCAAACGTTGAAGAGTTTGAACGGAAGTTCGGGCCACAATACACAAAAGGAGAGGGTACGCAGTGGTTAAGAAACCTATACTTTTTGTACCTCGTTGAACTTAGAGCATTGCAAAAAGCTGCCCCTGTACTTGAACATGTAGAATACTATACAGGAAACGATAAAGAAGATGAAGCCACTCGACTTGCCGTAAACAACTTGCTGAGTATTGTCAAGTGAGTGAAATTTATAATAATTTTATGATATTTATTTTTTAAGGAAAACATGGTTTACAAAGTCAACATATTTTTTTTTTGTACTTATGGACCATAAAATTATTAAATAACATACTTATTAAGGTGTCAAAATCTATATAATAAATATAATCTAAAAATCGATATATCATTTATTACATTTAAAAAAAAAAAATTTATTTTCGTTCACTTCATCAAATATGTCAAAAAAAATTGAACACTACACAACACTCGCAGCTAGCAAAAATCATTAACAAAGCAATCATACTATTGCTATTATATCTACAAATTTGATAAAAACGGTTATTTAAAAAAAAAAAAGAATTTTTACTACAATAATTTGTATGTATGCTTTAAACTCGTTTTAAAATTAAAAAAATATAGATTACATACTAAAACAAGAAAACATTTTCAAAATACAATTTTTTTATGCTTTTTGAATCAGGTTCCCCTCTGTTTAAAATAAATAGATAATAGTTGTTAATTAATAAAAGTATTTTTTTTCTATCAGGCAATTTCCACAACATTATAATGAACGATCTATGTTTTCGGGCGGACAACAAGCACAAAAGTTAAAAGAAGAGTTTCGACTTCATTTTCGTAACATATCAACAATAATGGATTGTGTTGGGTGCGATAAATGTAGGCTGTGGGGCAAACTGCAAGTTCAAGGGTTGGGCACAGCGTTAAAGATATTATTCTCAAACAAAGCACGGACAAACGGATATAATGAATTGTCTCCTACTGTCAATAGACATACGCTACAATTGGAGCGTAGTGAAATTATAGCTCTTTTTAACGCTTTTGCGAGGTAAATTTTTATTTTACAATTTTATTGTATTTTTTTTATAAAATTTCCAATGAAATTTTACTATGTTTTTATTTTTAGATTGTCAACAAGTATATACGAGTTGGACAGGTTTCGGCAAATTCTTAGGTGAATGGTGCAATATGTTAACAAAATATATATATACATATTATATATAAATATAAGCATCACAGCTTTCCCAGTTTTACTTCCGTCGCATTTAAATATTTTAATTATGATTCATTCCCGAGACATGTATTCTGACTCAAATACAATTTTTAAAAAGCTCTCTAATTATATGAGTTTTTATAGTATATAATATATATATTAATACTTATTTATGAAAAAAGTTTAATTTGGTTAGGTGGTTGTTAAACATTTGTTCTATGATATGTCTAGTCTTATTATCTTATTTTTCACCTCGTATTTGTTTTTTTCTTATGTATAATTGAAACGTTTTTGTATTTTCTAACTTTGTTATTTGTTTTGTACCTGGTTATTTTTTTATTTTAAATTATTACTTATATTTTTTAATTCGCCCAAAAAATATTTTGAAAAACTACAAAATATTAATTGGTTTTATCTGATATTATTTATGTATGTATGGTGCGAGGATAAATATGATTGTTTTGATTATTACTAGTATATACTATTATGATTTATGGTTAGTTTATTTTTTTTTTTTTATCTATTCTGTAATGTAAATTGGAGTATTTATTATGATTATTGACCAATTTTACCAGGAAAAATGAAATTCATTTAAAAAAAATGTGCACTTGAGCTGCTGTGATATGGTGTAATAGGTCTGAACAAACAAGATGTGTGTTGATTTTATTCATTTTTAAGGTAACTTATTATTGTCTTATTTATTAATTAAATGTGTTGTATAAATAATAAATTTAATTATTATTAAATATTGTTAAAATTATGTTGAATGTAATAAATATAATCTATTATAAAAAAATTGTTCTGTCTTATAGCTAACATTTTTTTTTTTTACTTTGATATAACTACGACGGTACGTGACTCTTGATTAATTTCTTAGCAAGTCACTTGCTTTATTTATCTACTCAAAAAAATTCCTTATAAACGGTAAAAAAGTTATTATTATAATTGTTTTGCATACATTAACGCGTTTGTGTGACTTAAATTCGCAGATAGACAACCTAAAACCCGGTTCGACATACACAATAGGCGTGCTAGCGAAAAATTCATGGTACGGACAAGCTAAGAAAATATACGTGACGACTTTGTTGTTAGACGCCACATCAGAAGTAAATGTTTTCAACACTACCCGAACGAATTAATACAAATCCAACAGTGTTGCATGGTTTTTAATTAAAAAAAAAAACAAAGCTATATATTTATCAAACTGCAAATAAAATAATCCATCGTTTTAAAACGATATACCTACCTTGTGTTATTATGCAATTATAGGTATTGACGAAAATAAGATAAGTAAACCGTACAGTTAATAAACGTTTTGTAGTAAATTATTTAAAATAAAACATTCAGTATGTTAAAATACGTTTGCCAACGTTTCGGGACACTTGTCCGTTCCATCCTCAGGTTTAAAGGTTTTTTTTTGTTTTAAAAATATGCATATGTATGTTATATAGCCACCCTTAATCTACCTTTAGTTTTATTTTCCAAAAACTACGGCTTAAAGTTAGTTATTCATATTTTACTGTATTTAGTCTATTATAGAACAATACAGAATTATGTTCCTTTAATTTTTAGACCTTTACCCTAAGACGGTACCCACAAAGGGAAATAGTTTGTAATTTATTAGTTTTTGATTGCATATATCTTATGTATGTCTTAAGATCACAAAACAAACTTGAAATTAATGTTTCTTTTTAAAAAAGTAATAGCACGCCATAATTTCAAAGTATAAAATGTATACATTTTTTTGTTTTTTTTTTCAGTAATACGATTCATACATCAACTAAAAAATGGAATAATAATAATTAATAATAAAAACACACATTTGTAAAATGTACACACTTTTCAAAATAATTTTATTAAACACACAGTTTATCAAGCTTACAAAAATATTTACACGATTAATTAAATATATTATATAACATAAGAGGAAAAAAAATGTCCACAATGGATGAATCAGAACTAAAAAAAAAAAAAAAACAAACAAAATTGATTATGGTGTTTGCCAATACACATTGGGTCAAGACAAAGACTGTCGGGGTATTCCATCAATGTTATCGGCATGATAAAATGAGATCTAAGCTTAGCAACAACATTATACTTTTTTTTTTTACTTTTTGAAAACGTTTTAGAAATGTCATACGCACAAAAGCGTGTAAGTAAGGCAAAGAGAGCAACAAACATAACTACATTACCATTTTCTTAGAAATTATTTTGTGCAAAAATTATAGTAGTACTATAATGATTATAATATATAATTCAATACATATATATTTACGTATTATGAAATACATAATTACGTTTTTTAATCATAACAATATATATTGTAAATTGAAATTCCCGTTTGGAAATGGCGGCGATAAACGATAACAAATAAATGTATTATCTTTTATATTTCTTTGTGCGTAGTTTGCATAAGACTAGAGGACATAAAAAAAACAAAAAAATAAATAAATAGGCAGGTGGTACAGGCGGGTGGAGCGAAAACTAGGATATAAAGACAAATGTACCGTTTAACGATAATCTGGAAAAATAAATACATAAGTATCAATAAGTTATACGGTCGTATTGTGTAAAAACAAATGAGAAATGATAAAACAAGTTGCAAACGATTTTCAAAAAATTAAAAAAAGAAAAAAAACATGTATAATTGCAAGTCAAAAACGTTTTTGAATAAGTCGATTAGATTTGTTGTTGCTTTTCACATGCTGTTGTAAACTGTACTGTTGAACTTTAGCTGTTTGAAAGACAATTTGGTCAGCGGATGCGTTTTGCCCTGTTGTAGTTTGTTGTTGGCCGCTCGGGTGACAGACGCGCATATGTCGCTGTTCTGTATGGGTAACACGACCGTTTTCAGCACCGGGTTATTGCATTCGGCGACGACGGGTTTCTTATTTATGAACTTGGGGTTGACGACAGCGTCCAGGCTGGAGTTCCTGGGCGGCACCGGCGGTTGAGGCTTGCCGCCGCGCGGACATCCGCTGTCCTGCACAAACGTTTTGCTACGGCCCCGGCCATTTTCGTACTTGCCCACTAGCTTCCGAACGGATATGTCTTCCATAGACGCCGCCGGACTGGGCCGTTGGTTCATTGCCATCTTGGGGTGTTCGCTGACGGGTGACGTGGGTAGACTTTTGACGTGTTCGGCCACGTCGTCCTCTGCACTTTCGCTCTTGCCGCGAGCCACCACTTTGTTGGCCAACGCCGCGGTGGGCACGTCTACCGTATCTATCGCTTTTGCCTCGAACTCCTCTTTCAGGCTCTTCACCAGGCCGCTGTGCTGCTTATTGTTGCCACCGCCGCCGCCGCCACCACCCAGGCTTGAAATGTTGGGTTGCGACAAGGTGGCGCGGTTCACCGGTCTCGGCGAGCCTTGGCCCAACGTCGGCGAACTCGCGTAGCAGCCGGGCAACAGCTTCTGCTCTTTCTGCTGTTTCGGCCTCTTGGTCGGCCCGTCGTTCGGTATGCAACACGGGACATTGGTCGCGTCCGGCCTTTCGCCCCGCTCACTCACGTACTGCATGGTGGGCCGCACGTCGTACGAACCCCAAGAGCTGTTCCGGGACGGCAGGGTGCGCGTGTCGCACGATCCCCACGAACTGTGCCGGGATATGACGTCCCGCAGCACGACGGCGCTGTCGTAGGAGCTCCAGGAGTTTTGTCTGGAAACGTCGTTCACGTGGTCGGCCGGTTCGCGGCACTGCTTGCGTTCTTCACGCTCGAACACGCGGTCCAGCCGGGACGAGAACAGGTCACCGTCACGTTTCTGCAGCACCGGCGGCGCGGCGATTGTGGTGACGGCCGGCGGCGGTTTGGCCACGGTGATCCGGTTGAACTTTGGAGATTCGGCCGAAAGGGGCTTGACTAGAATGTCGTCGGAAGGAGAATTGGCCGCACTGCCGCTGGAGGCCACGCCTTCGAACTGAGAGGTGAGATTCAATACCAGGTTGCGGCTGGGATCGACCAAGGATTTGCGGTCCGGACTAGAAGTGGATGTGGAGGTGACGGCGGAGGAAGGAGGGACGGTGACGGTTACGGACGGGCCACCACCGCTGTTGGATTCCAGTTCGTTGACACGAAGTTTCACCGAGGAAGCCCTGAGGGAACGACAAATAAATATTTAAAGCTCGTGTACTGTGTGTGTTCAATACTTAAAGAACTGTTTCAAGACACTCACCTGGGCGGAGGCGGTGTTGACTGCAGCTGAACGATCTTGTTTTGCGATACGCTGTAAGACCTCAACCCATTGCCGCAAGGCATAAACACACTGACGTTGTATTTGTGCACTTCGAGGGGCGGTAGTGGCGGAGCCGGTGGAATATTAGGTACGTCCGGTTCTACTTCGACGGCGATCTTCTCCGTGTTTATCTTTTCCAAAGACTGCGATAGCAGAGCTAAAACCAGATAAATTAGTCGTACGTTAACAAAGTAGTTTTGTTTGCGGAGAAACCCTTAACGTGGTTGATCATTTGATATTATATTGTCTACTATACCAGATCTGGTAGTGCATGACTTACCGGGATTGGTCAGAATGTCTGCGGCGAAATTGTTTTCGGGCGACCAAGATTTCGGTCTGCCGCCTCCACACTTCATCAGATCGTATCCGCTGACGTCCAGCTTGGGCGGCATCAGGTGCACCGGCGAAACGGAAGCGGCAGGTTCCTGCACCACCTCGTCGAGCCTCCTGACCGGCGAAGCGGCGTCCTTGTCGCCTTCGCTCTGCGACCTCGGGCTGTCGGACGGTTTCTTGGGCGAGTTGGGCGGCGTGATCAACCCGGACGTGGCCACCAGGTTGGTTTCCGACTTGGACCGTTGCAGTTTCTCGCGGTTCTTCATGGCCGCCAAAATGCCCTGGTAAGTCTCCAGCTGAAGGATGAAATGCTTGTTGGGTTTGATGCACGTGCGCTTCGACCGGACGTGATCGAACGCCTTCCGGAACGACCAGTTGTACGCTTTCATTGCGTACGCTATGACGACGCTGGCCGAACGGCTGACGCCCATCTTGCAGTGTACCAACACCTTGGAACCTTCTTTCCTGTAAACCGACACAAAATATTAAGCATGCCGTTCCGAGGTCGGCGAGAAACACCACAAAATCCACCCAATTGTGAATTATGTACATTCCAAATTCCATATACAGCGGGTCACCAACGAGTTGCAGCGTTAACTCTCCAACGTCATTCCGGACCATACTGTACGTTCTACGAGTCTACTTACTCGGCATTTGTGATGTACTTGAACGTGTTGTCCCAATGTTTCAAGAGATCAGTCTTTTCGTCGTCGTACACCCTAACATTGAGATATTTGAACATGCCAGGGAAAAAATTGTCGATTTCTCTAGTCACGTTCAGTATGTGTCGTACGCTGAATAAAAAAATAACCAAATGGACGATCATTATTAGACGTTGGGGGGGGGGGGCGTCAGACACACAGCGGCCGCGGTCAGGACGACTTACCCGTTTCTGTTGAGCTCCTCGAGATTAGACGCGTTCCACTCGGAGCCCAAGTACACGTGAGGGAATATCTGAGTGGCGGCGTCCATCTGGCCGAGCACGGTGAGCATCTCTTGGTCGATGAACGGCTTGTACTCGCCCAGGTCCATGTCCAGCGTTTCCTCCAGCCGACCCCTGATAAACTTGGACGTCACTTCGTCCAAGTCCACGCTCATCATGATCTCTTTGAGAGCGCTGCGTATCACGCGTTCCGTCTCTTCTCGTTCGCTGGGCCTGCAACCAAACGAATACATAAGTAACGGCTAAGTACAACATTGACACGATTTCGGCGACGGTAGCGCAACCAAAGCCTGCCGAGGAGGGTCAAGCAACAAGTCCCTAAGGGTGGTTAACGAGTGTTTGAAAGAACGTTAACAGCGGTCGGCGAACGTTTGCTAGCACTATGACTCGAAAGTAGGTGTCACGTGACGTACTGTCCTTAATGTGATGTACTCACTTTGTCCTCAACGAATCCGGCGACGGTGGCCGACGGGACTCGATGGAATCCATGGCGTTCCATTCGTTTAGACACGACTGGTCCGAGGATATCTGAAGTTCGTAGTGCGTTATCCAGTCATGGGTGAGGCCGCCCTCGAAGAAGTTGTGCTCTCTGGCTTGAGCACTGACCCGGTGCAGCGACTGCAGTGCCGACCTGTAAGCAAGAAAAAAAACCACACACGGTTAGACGTTGTATAATAAGCACATATATGATATATTTTTTTCTGTGTTTCACGCTCACAGCTCAACTTTTCCAAAAAACGCTCAAGAAGAAGAATGAAAAAAACAACCACAAGTGTGAGTTTTTTTCAAGTACCGCTGCACGTCTATTGAGCACTCGGTGAGTATATGCAAATAGCTTTCATCGAACGAGGAAGAATATCACAAGAGGACTTGCACGCATGTGCCCAAACAACAACAATAACAGTTTGTAAAACATTGGCGTCGTTTTTCGCGACGGGACCACCTGTTTGGCGCTATATTATTATTCTACGCGCAGATAAAATTGAATTAAGAATAAATAAAAATGAATAAAAAACAGATACCATAAAGCTGGCGGATGTGGTACGACAGGATTTTAGTTGTGTCGTCATAATAAATAGTAAATCGTCGGAGACGCGGAAATAAGAGCAAGGAGGACCGCGACAAAATCATGGTCGTCAAAACGCAACACAAGAATAACCATCACCGTGGATGCCAAACAACTTTCTTTCTATGCATGGCGCTGAATCTGTACAGGGGCCACGGACGAGGTGTCTTGCTGGGTTGCTGTTGTTTTTCGCGACGAATAAGTAATAATAAAAAAACACACACACACGCATAAGTAGACTTGGGCAGTGAAAGCCAAATGGACGTTTGTGAACGTGTCGAATTGGCCGGCGGCCACGAGGAGAATAAATTGCAATAATAATAATTGAAAAAAAAAAAAAAATCTTATAATAATATGGTCGGCGCAAGGTACTGGCAAAAACAGAAAACGATTGTATAATTTGCGCCCTACTAAGACGCGCTTAGAGTACACACCAACGCACACACTTAAGCTTATGCAGAGTCCTCGAAACGGATCTACAACTTGAAGAGGGGACGCAAAAGTTGGCAGACACCGTTGATCCGGCGATTGAATGTCCGTCCAGAAATTATTTTCCACAAGGTTAACCACAAGGCGATATGTGTTTGACAATTTTTTTATCAATTTCTTTACACAAACACGGTGTTATAACCACAAAAAAAAAAAAATTACACCTAATAGAAAATTAAATTTAAGCGATCAACCTACAAGCATACCTAAAACCATAACTATGTAGAGCTACTCGATAACGTACAACTTAGATAGATGCATAATTGAAACAGGCCAACGCGTTTGTCGTGTATAGATTGTTTTAATGGATATTTCGCATTAAAATCGTTTTCGATAGGCAACCAAATAAAAAAAGCCGCGCAATTTTAACATCTAAAATAATTTTACTAAAACAGATTCATTTGTTCATCACCATTAAGGCGTTTAATTTTTTAAATGAACATTAAAGGTCGATGAACTCAAGTGATATTCGACATAATAAATCTGAAGTTTGTCCAAATTTTTCTTTGTATCCTCGCAAACCGTTTTAATGGGCAGAAATATAATTTTAGCATCATGCCTCATGGCGTTTCGTAAAATCAGCAACGGCCGTCAGCGTACACGTTTTTGGAAACCTAACAAAATACAATATACGCGTTCACACATATGCGAATTTTTGTGTGAAACACTAACAACTCATAAAAATGTTTTCTAGTTTTAACTACGACGGAATTCAGTTAAATTTGTTTTTATGTGCCTCTGCGGAGGACTTACGTTTTGTAATAAAGTAAACTTTAGTATTCCATAGCCATAAAATAACATATTGTGTTCCTATACAGCGAAGGAGGTCAAAATGTAAATTATACATTTTCTTTTTATCGTCCTGGAAAAATTTTAAATGTGGTTTTATCTGGTTGCTGTTCTAAGCTCCTCAATTGCTTTGTTAGTATAAAAAAGTGTAACGGTCAACAACTAACTAGCGATCGTCAGAAAAGAACATTTTGGCTCCAGTTTTCTTTCAACCATTGAATCCGTTCTGATCTACAGGCCAAATGTCAATAATGTGCCATTTCTCTGTTGTAAGTATTAATTTCTGTAATATTCTCCAAACTCCGCGGGGTTAGGGACTGACTTTAAAAAAAAAAAATGTTATTGCCAAATCTAGTGCGAGACTTTTGAGCCGTTTCGACTGAACAGCGATCAAGTTTAGACCCCATTCACAGATAGAGACAACATCAACGAGAGACACAGCAGGTGACGTTGCGAGCAAAGAACCAACGGGGTAGTGAACGATACGACTATAAACTCTGTTACAATGACCTGGAAATACGAAAACAAAAATAAGAACCGCAACACAGTTTGTTCACACCTGCTCGGCTATCCCAAAACACAGTGCAGTTCTGGTCGTACGATTTTGCGACCATACCGTTATCGTAAACGGCTTATTATAAGACCATCGTCGATCACTTTCTTTTTTCCTTGTGTCTCTCGCCTCCTTTGGGTACGTCACCAATAAAACGATTACGGATCCAACGGCGCGAGACCAACGACGAGCCGATGTATTATTACTTTATATTTTAATAGGCTTTCAAAAATGTATAATAGTCCATAAAGGAAACGAGCACTGCGCGGCCGAGGACGAATAGAATTTCTACAGAAATTAAATTTTATTCCGTAGACGAAGATAGCAAACCAACCGCCGTCGGTAAGAATGATCATTGATTTAACAAAAAAAAAAAAAATAATAATAATAATCGAAGACTTTCAAACGACCGAGACACGGCGGACGGGAAACACTAAAGTCGTCCAAGCGGATCACAACAAACACAGTAGTAGTAGTACGGCTACGACGCAGTTTCCCAAGATTTTTAAGTCGTTAAACTTATTGTTTTGACTGATTTATTTGTCACGGGACGTCTAGACGCCAACAAATTTACCGGCCTAATGATCCGCCCAACTCATTCTGATTTTTGACGCTTAATTCTTATACGACCACTTACATCTAACCGTTACTACGTTTTTAAATTATTTAAGGTTGGTAAGTCTGTTGGCGCGTGAGGCATTGCCAACATATTTTTATTTATTTATTTATTATTACTATAAATAAATAAATTAAGAAATAAATGAAATTACGTTGGCAACACCACTGGTGATAATAGCTTTACCAACATTTAAAATGTTTTAAACGTAACGGTTAAATTGATGCTATCATTTTTGATAATTCATTTTCATTTAATATCGTAAACATTATACCATAATATAAAATGCTGACCCGACACATCAAATCAAAACTTATTTCTTTCTTTTGCACATCAGATTTATCGCAAAATTTAAGATTTGCTGTGACTATAGACAGATCTCAATTATTTGGTGTACGAGTGATTGGCTCGACACGCTAGTTCAATTTAGAATTAAATACATAACGCCTAACCTAACATCCTAAAAACTTGACCCCACTTTACCAGTGATCCAATTAGAAGATGCCGACGAACTTGAATTAAGGTAACTAAAGGAATGTTTGAAACAGAACTGTTATATATTTATAAATATGTATTTAATATTTTTAAATTTTGACTATTTTTCAATGTTGGTAGAGGCGATGTAAATTGATTACCTTCTATCGACTACAAGTGTAGATAGTAAAGTGTAAGTATTTTAGACATGTCACAATTCTGCAACACAATTGTGTCCTACATACCAACTATGCGTGTCAACAGTTGGCCACATTGTCAACATACATCGGCTAAAAGCGATAATATAATTATCCTGTATTGTGCAAGATTATAACAAACGGTTATTATTGCAGTTTGGTGAAGCTATTCATAAAATACAGTTTTGTTTAGTTGAAATAAGGTAGGTATGAGATATACAAAATAAGGCAGCTCAGAATTCAGAGCACTCAGTTGACCGTTTAGGAGTCTATGGGCTTAACTTCAGATGCTTTACTAAATTGTTGATATGACTCAGGTGATCAGTTACCTCTCGTTCGAGTTCTATAAAATTATTAAGTCCTGGAATTTGTTGTGGTGTTGGGTCTACAAACAACTGGTTGGTTCTTGGTGACAGACAACAGCTTGTAATTTTTCTACTGACTTAACTGTCCGTTGCCGTCGTTACGTGATCGGACAATGGAATTCGTCTGAAAACCGTTGTAGACCTATGGACTACACACAAGTACGAAGTATCGCGTAGCGTGTCTTTGGCAATGGGAAATATATAATTATTACTTACACGAGTGAAGCAAACCAAGAAAACAACGACACTACGTCCAACGAGACTTTTCTCATAACAAAATCATTACGAGAAAAAACCGTATCGGCTCCGTTGATGATATATATATATATATATATATTAATATTAGTACTTATTGTGTATTATCATTCCGACCAATGAGTCAACGAACTCTTTATGTGCGCAACGAATGTGCCGAATGAGTTTGGGACTGCTGTCGCCGAGACTTAAGTTTATTGTGTGCAAGAAGTGTATACATTTTACATGTGCTGCAGAGGGGAAGATTTTCACTGCACGGAGGGTCATATAAAGGGTAGGCGGCCTGCGAGAAGGGGTAGCACCCCGAAAAACTGGCGCCAACCTAATATCGTTTTAATGGTCGACTGTCAAAGAGGAAAAAGGAATTGGTATATTTGGGATCTTTATACTATACATTGTTAAAATTACACAACTTTTCCGATGACCTTCAGCGATGACGCTTTGAACTCACGAGTCAGGCTTATTAATCCACAACTTTTTTTTTGTTTTTTTTATTGAATAAAGAATTTACAGCTATAAAAATATGTACAACAAGTAATAATGAGAATACCTAATGAATTTTAACATAACATGAATATGACATGATAGGAGGGCACCTCCTAATGGAGCTACCCACTTTAATCTACAACTTAAGCATGTAAACCAGCGCGTCAGGTGCGTTTAATTTTCAAAAATATTTGAATTCAACATACATATGCTTGGTCACTTTTCTGACACCTGGCTCAATGTATGATAGAAAAACAGGCCCCCGGGTTATTCTTAAATACTTTTTTAAAAGGTAACCCAGGGTTGCCTTCTACTTTTTCAATCACTCGACTAATTGACGC